CCAAGCTTTACAGGATCTACTGAAAGAACAAGAAACTACGATGGAGGACAACTGGAAAGGGATAAAAGAAGCACTAACTTCAACGTGTCAAGAGGTTCTGGGTCGCAAGAATCATCATCATAAGGAGTGTATCTCTATGTAAACCCTGGACAAGATTCATGAAAGGAAGAACAAAAAGATAGCAATTAACAACAGACGAACAAGAATTGAGAAAGTCAAGGCACAAGCTGAATACGCAAAATCAAACAAGAAAGTGAAGAAGAGCATTAGAGCCGACAAGCAAAAATACGTGAAAGAACGAGCAACGATGGTGGAAATAGGAAAAGATTTCAACAGAGTGTTGCTGAACCGGATGAAAGACACAGTAGATGCCCAACATCGAAATCAACAGACTAGATTCCGTAAGGATCGGTAGTACACAGACCAAATCGCAAGTCTACGGATCATCGTCGAACAATCAGTTGAGTGGGACTCGTCACTATGCATCAACATTGACTATGAGATTGCTTGACAGTGTGGAGCGGAGAACATTATGGAAACTATTATGGACATTACGGTGTTCTTCAGAAGATCGTCAACATTACCCGGAACTCATACAACGGATTACAGTGTAAAATGGTGCATGGAGGAAAGCTGACAGATGCATTCCATGTAGGGACCAAAGTCAGACAATGCTTCCTACTATCCCACTTCCTTCAAGCGGTTGACTGGATTATGCAGACCTCGACATATGAGGGGGAGCACGGAATACAGTGGACATCTCAGAATCAATTAGAAAATGTGGAATTCGCAGATGATCTGGTCCTTCTATTCCATACACACGAATAAATGCAGATGAAGATAACTAGCGTAGCAGCAGCCTCTGCATCAATAGACCTCAGTATACACAGAGGAAAAAGCAAGATCCTCAAATACAACACGGAGAATACCAACACAATCACACTTGATGGAAAAACTCAGAAAGATGTGGAATATTTCACGTATGTGGGGAGCATCATTAATGAAAATGGGAGATCGGATGCAGATCTAAAGACGAGGATTAGCAAAGCAAGGGCCGCATTCATACAATTGAAGAATATATGGAACCCAAAATGTCAACTAATATCAAGGTCACAATCTTCAATGCGAACGTCAAGACAGTCCTACTGTACGTAGTTGAAACGTGGAGAACTACTGTAACCATCATCAAGAAAGTACAAGTATTTATAAACAGTTGTTTACGCAAAATACTGAATATCCGTTGGCTGTATACCATCAGCAACAGCCTACTGTGAGACTAAACCAGGTTCCAGCTGAAGAGGAAATTAGGAAAAGACGTTGGAAGTGGATAGGACATACATTGTGGAAATCACCAAACTGCATCACGAGGCAATCACTAACTTGGAATCCGGAAGAGAAGTGGAAAAGAAGAAGGCCAAAAAAACATACTACATCGGGAAGTGGAGGCAGATATGAAAAAGATTGTACAAGACAGGGTTGGATGGAAAGTGCCGGTGAGAGGCCTATGCTCCTCCACAAGGGATAACAGGCATAAGTTAAGCAAATCCGTACTCTCTATTCAGATCAGTGTCCTTTGATTTGTCAAGGCTGTATTGTTGGGACTACCTATTTATGACAGGAAGTAATATCATATAATAGGGTTGAGATAAACTCCAAATTAGAAGAGGTTTATGACAAAACACCTTGTTGTTTTCAAGGAAGTGAAAATATCCACAACAATGACCTTGTGTTCTAATTATGTTTCAGAAGATTCACATAACGTGAACTACGAAGCCAGGTTATTCATTAATTTATTGTTTTTATTCAGTAACAAAGGATAAAAGTAGTGTGGAAAAACTGAACATAGGGATTTTGAAAAGGATAATGAATCCGACAGGTTTCAAGCACTGCCAGCTCCAGACCTCGTTATTCATGCGCGTGGCTTGAGACGCTAACTAACGAAATATAGATTTTTGTGAGAACATCAGAGATAACTTGCTACAACGGTGGTTTCACAACTGATGAGTATCAAAATATCCACCTGTCAACTGAATAGACACTTAAATACCTCATATGGCAATTATTAATGCAGTATTATAAGCTTTTAAAATATCTGAACACTACTGAGTAAGACTGGTTAGCTATGTTTCTGTGATGAAATTTTGTTTTTGTAGTACATGAGATTTCCGAGATCAATGAAATTAGACTTATGTCAGTAGAACTGGTCATAAGTAGCGTTTTTGAATCATGGTGTTATGGTGAATGATTACATATCAATGGAGCCGAACATAACATACAAAAAAGACGGGAATAACCAAGGGTACAAGTTGTCACAGTATACGGCATATTATATATATATATATATATATATATATATATATATATATATATATGGCTCTTCCCAGTTTACCTAAATTTGCATTTACTTATAATATTATTGTAAAATCCCAAAGCCATAGTCAAAATGAATTGATGAGTAATTTCAATATTTTATTAGCGTAATCATCTGTCAGTATAACAACCAATTTTATCAGTGTTTCTTCGTTGATTAAAAGAAAGTTGGATCAGATTATTAAATAACAGAATATATATAAAAAAGCTCCCTGTTCAAAATAACAAGGATAATAATATCACAATAGCCTGTTAGTGGATTGATATTACACACTTTTCTGTTGTAGGTCTTCTAAAATTATAACATACTGACCAATCATTTACGTTACAGGAAAGTGATTGGGGATACAATACAGTTAGTAAAATTAATACATCATGCTTTTACATACTAAAAACAACTGGAAGTGGTTCTCCGAAAACAATTACTAAGAACATAGTTGAAGGCATGAATCAATTGAAGCTAGACCACCAAGGAAAACCTGGAAGCACTGGCCTTCTAATTAGTAAGAACATTTTTGTTGATGAAATGATATTTCTAAATATCATAATGTTTTAGACACAATTGCTGACCAAACTGTCAAACAAGAATCTATTTTTTATAAGCAGAACTTTGTATCCAACGAAAATTCCGCCCATGAGTTAATCAGTACGAGAGATAGAGATATTCAAATGAATAACTACCAGCTATTAGATAAGCAAATTTAAACATTTTGATAAATCTATTATGGAAACATGCGATTTAACATAATATAAAAGCTAACAATATATCTAAGCCACATTTCATGATCTGACATATACAAGTCCCCCTAGAAATGGAAAACCGAGCAAAAGTACGATTTATAAATCATGATTTTTTTTTGAAAATTGTACTAATATATTTTTCAGCAGTTTGGATAAAAAGATCATATATATATGTACGTAATCAGTTACGAAATTACAGATATATATCCCTTTATTTGTATATATGTATAGAAGTGTAAACATTTGAGTAAATAACATAATTATATATATATATATATATATATATATATATATATATATAAAATTGTACTTAGGTATAATACGTAAAAGTAGAACATGGAAGGGAAAACCTAACAGCCATCATCAACAACAAAAATGAGGCAAATTAACAACTGATCAGAAAAAAAGAAGCAAACAAACGAACAAACAAAGAAATACATTTTAACAAAAATTGACTGAGCTCAAAATAAGACAGTGGCAATATACTACCACTACCTCCACCACCACGTCTGATTCATACATACATGGAAAGTATAAGCAGTTGAAAAATGCAACGAAACATTTAGAAAAAAAAACAAAAGCAAAAACCAAAAAAAACAGAGTATAAATAAATCAAACAAAAAAATGTATTACTAAATAATAAATTTATTACGAAACGGAATTATAATAAATATGCACAAGGTTATCATCACCACTAATAGGTATTGTGTTATTATCATCATCAGCAGTATTGTAAATGGTGTACAGTTTTATACAATAACGTTAACTATACTTGTTTTGTGCAGAATGTACAAATTCCATTTGTTGAATATAACAAATTCAATCATTAGAAGAAAAAAAACAGAACACAATAATAGAGATCAAGTGAAATAACATGAATAAAGAGCATTAGTTATCATTTATTATACAATAAGTGAATATTCAATGGAATAAATAGATAAATTGTTTTACAAATGAAAAAGAAGTGGTTTGAATATCTCGGAAATAAAAGCTGTAGAGTAGGTTGAAATACTTAACTGAACAGTCAAACAAAAGGCAGACAAAGAAATTAACATTTGATTTCTCATGATGTACTGATCACTGTTTAACTTCTCAACGACTAGACTTTAAAACAATAACAAAATTAGTAATAGAACGTCTGTTAAATTATCAACTAAATTATACATAAACAAATAATAAATATATGGGATAAGTATTACATTGAGAGAAAAAAATGCTGTTATATAACATAAACAAGTTTGAGGGAGAGAGTATTCCAGAGAAGGAATATACACAATAAGGTTATTCAACTTAATTGTTGGTAAATATTTATTTAGAGAAAGTTACCAAACACACTTCATAAGAGAAATTAGTGAGTTCATAGCAAAGCCACTGGTTAAAAGATTAAATGCGCTCCAACTATTTTTCTTTATCATTAGTCGTAAAACAGGTATGAGTGATGAACTACATATCCATAGAAAAAATATATATAATGTATGAGAGAGAGAAATGAAAAGAAAGCAGCGAATACCATATCGAGGTAGTTGTTCTAAAGAACAGTACACCTGAATTATTTACTACAGCTGCACTGTAGGTTAACAAATCACGTAAACCTACATTCATACTAATATAAACAAAAGACTATGCATCAACAAAAGGTTCAACCGGAGTTAAACACAACACATATGAGAGAAAGTAAATGTGTCAAGGGACATAAGAAAAAAAATCACATTATTACATTAGTACAAAACATTATAATGCACAAACAGCAAATACACAAAAATAATTTGGAAAAACGTCAAGAAAATTGCAATGAAACATAAAGATATCCAAAAAATAACAAACAAGCAGACATGTCTATTCAACAAAATAGGTTATGTACATATGCATATATATATATATATATATATATATATATATATATATATATATGTCTAAGGAAGAAATTTCATTATTTTCACACAAACATAGTACGCAAAAAAAAACAAAACACTACTACCAGAGTTGAAACATTATATATCATTGTGGTGGATAGGAATATGAAAAATTATTTATACACCTATACGATTGTGTACCGAATTAACAGGTGGATGATTGATTTTAGTAAGGTGATCACAGTCTGTTCCGACAATACTATTATTATTATCAGTATTTGTTATTTGAGAATGCATTGAATTTGTGTCATTAGACTGTTGATTTGATAAGGAAACTGTAGAATTGTCTACCAGAGGATTATTTGAATGGATCGATTGGAAATTCGACTCTGAATAATAATCTGGTCTTAGCTGTACTAAGTGCATTTTATTAGGCTTACGACGGCTAGATCCACTAAGAGTAATAGTTGATTTGTTTTGTGATTCAAATACAGGTGTATTAGATATTTGAATAGCTGGGAAGGGATTACATAAGCCAGGGACATTTTCATGAGAACTATGAACCGAAGAAATACCATTGATTTGTAATGGATATACAATAAGAGTATTATTATCATCAACACTATCATTAAGCCGTAATATTTTAGCTGGTCTTGATAAATCAAAACTATCATCGCTCAACTGGTAATCAATTGAATTGTGGAAAATGTTAGTTGGTATTTTGGGTAAATCCACATCATCATTATCAAAAACGCTAGAATTTCCATTCACTTCTTCACTCTCATGGTTGTTGGTCCTATCTTCTTCTGTTAAATTCCCTGCTGTTCTGTTTGGATTGGTGGCTTCGCTTCCATCTGCGATTCCAACATCTTGAGTAGAAATCTTGAGTAAAATGAGAAAAGAATTACTTAAGTAAGAAATCTCTCTCGTAAAAAAGACAAATAACACGAAATTATCCTTTAAAAAGATAATATTTTACTACCAACTTTTTGAATTGTGATCGAACCGTGTTCGAACGTATTAATAAGCAACTCGCGAAAACAGAAATTTGTATGAAAGTCGACACAATGAAGGTTATTATTAAACTTATAACCCAACAATATTTGGTAAAATACAGTACCAAGAAACATATCATGCATATATATATATATATATATATATATATATATATATATATATATATATATACTCACCTTGTGATTTAAATCAAGTAAATTTCACTATTCAGTAGTGTGAATGTGAGCTTATTTTTTTAGTACAAATTTTATTATGACAATTATTGTTTGAAGCTTAAACAAAGTAGTTGGACACATACAAGCGCATCAAAAAAAATTTTGGAGGGAAGAAATAAGAAAATAAAAGGGGCTAATTTATTGAAAATATATTTTAAACTTAAAATGGGTCAACCCATGATGCATTTAATATAAATATTTACCGACTAAAACTGTTATACGCCCTAATTATTACGTAACAAATCATTATGTGGATAAAGTCGCACATAACTTGACTAAAATTATTGAGTTTCATAGCTGCTGTGAATACGAAATAATAGTACTTTAATGTGGTCAATCAGCCATATGCAACGTAGAACCTGGCATGTGTACATAGGCTCAATTCGCCATACCCATTAGCACACCAAAATGAAGTTGTTGGGGCAAATCCCAAAATAGTAGAGGTAGTAACAGTATGTGTGGTGGTTGAAAAGATTAGGCTCTGAAAATATGTTCCGAGGAGATGTAAATCAGTGAATTTAGAAGCATGAGATCCAGAGGAATACAAAGGATGAGTAAACCAGTCCTATTGTGAATAATTTTGAGCTATATCACTCAATCTCCAACCAATAATCACGATAATAACGCGGACTCTAACCAAGCAGTATGCACCTACCCTCGTAACTCAATCTAACAGTGTGTCTCCATCAACTAATGACATGTCTTGGTTTGGTCGCCCCTAACTTTATTCCAAACTTTTACACCAGCTGTCGTTGCGCATTTGGGTAGCTGATGGCTGAGGGTACGTAATACATGTCCCAATCATCTTAATTTGCAAATATTAGCTGAGTCATCAGCCGATCTGCAATTCTTACCTAGTACTCTGCGTCTAACCTCAGAATTGCTAACTCAATGGTTCCAATATAAGCGAACAGTGGCTCAAAGGGATCTATGATCGAGTACTAGTAATCTCTAATAAAAGTGGTTTCAAATTAAATCACTGAGTCAATAGTACATAAGCCAAAAACCAGGATCAATGCGCTACTCCTAAAAAAGTGTGTTTAAAAGCAAGTCAAATTAAACAGTGCTAATCACTATATATAATGAAAATTAGGGTTTAGCATGTCTATTTGAACAGATTACAAAACCAGTTAAAGCCTAAAACAAATGTGTATTTTTTTGCCGTATACACTAACATTTCAGTGAGGGGTAATTTATTTAAACCAAATACTCAATTTTAGAAAAAATACCATGATTTTTTTCTAATTAGAAGATTTTTGGCACCTAATAAAAGATTTTAGGGATTACTGAAATGTTACTTGATGTAGGCCTCGTCTCTGTAGGTTGAAAAACAATTTGAAATGGCTTTAACATTTATACGAAACATGAATATACATAGATCTCCTGATTACTGTAATGTAGAGAGTGTGATTTAATTTATCCTTATAATTACGGTATATATGTAATACACTAAAAATGTTAAGAAAAGATAATTTTAATGAAGGATTTTGGCTACAGAATACCTAAAACTCACAACGCACAGAAAGTCTATTTTAGAATTTCCACTTGGTATGACAGTCGACTAAGTGATTTAAAAGCTAGGCGTTCACGCGTGAGATTTTTTTATTGCTGAACGAACTAGTTCAGAAAAAATCGTCAGCAACTATGAAAAACCAGTGATTACTCTAATAGCTTTTGGGGCAAATAACAGTGAGAATTATGAATAATTAATCTGGTGGTTTATGTAACTACTACTCGAGTCAACTGTGTTAACGTATTCAAATATACTTTCCAAATTAACTATGCCCGAAAATGCGCTGGTACGGCCGAGAGTGGGGAGAGTCCGCTCTCCTTCTAAAAATGCTCTCACATGGCCTCGCGTATATAGCCTCTGTCAGGGAAGTCCTACTCACTGCCTTCTCGTGGCATTACTGTTGTTTACGAAATTGGAAGGACGAAAAGCAAGAGTCCGGCGCTTTAACCGGGTTGGTGGACACAGAAAACCCACCTAGGGGAGTTGGAAAACTCTGATTCCAAAACGATGGTGCACATGGGCTCCAGTATCCTGAGGGAACACATGACGCGTGAATCGATCGTTGGTCATCGGCTACCATGGGATTTCATCTCCTCACGATGCTCCACTGCCTTGTGGATCAGATCTTTAGGTCAAACGCTCTGGGTGTGGCCCCCTAAGAAAACCACCTGCTTCGGTTTGGGCACCTGGGTAGTATCACAGCCCTCACACAAATCAAATGAAATTTGTGTGGCGCATATATATATGGTGCCCCTTTGTACGAATACTTATGTGTTTAAATAAATAAATAACTATACCAGAAGGATAGAAGTGTTGCTTTCTTTGTCTTTCTCTGTCTTTGAAAAATAAACATTGTGAAACTTAACAAGTCAAATCTCATAAAAGTAATATCGGCGAGGCTATAATTTATAGACGAACTAACCATACTTAAGATAGCATATCTTGAATTTTGGTGCGAAATTCATTTACTGATATGGTTAAACACCATTTTAGAATTATAGCTGATGTCAGTTAGTGATGAAAACATCAAATCTAATTCCTAACCCTAACGTTCAACTGTAAATCCTAATTTCTCACACTAATCTATAACACTAGTGTGTAGGTGAATATTCCAAGGTTGTCAAAAAGTTATAGTCTCACCAATAATATCATTACATATTTTTTTCCAACTCCGCTTGTAAATATAAGTAACTTTCCAGGATAATCTGTAATAATGATTGATATTCCTGTCCATGTGACCTACAAGTACTTTCCAAATGTATTTTATTCATCTAAAAGAATGATGTAACTATTTTTATTTTATACTGAATTTCGATTACAAGATGTCACTGAGTTGCAAAATAAGGCTAAATAATAAGCAAAAGGTAAGGTCGACAATAAAATCTTAGTTATCAAATTATTTACAATGATATTCAGTGTATATGTGAAAAACTACGTTTGTCATTACTGTACCTTAGTTCACAAACTCAAAAAAAGTTTGCTATTTACTAAATGATTTTGATTACCTTTGACAAACTTTTATTTACTGGATGTTTGCTTGGACTGGAAGAAAAATGTTCAGGACGATTAAAATTGACTTCTCGATGGATAGTAGGTTGATAAACCTGAGACGCAAACTGGCCTGAGGGGCGAGGTAAACCAACAGCTGATGCACGACGAGATCCAAACTGACTAAGGTCCATTTCAGACAGTGGCTTAATCACTGTTCCTTTCCATTTCATTTTAGCCAAGTGAAGTAAAACATGATTCGGTAATAGAGTGTTATCTTCACGACTGAGGCGGCTACAATGCATAGCAGCAGCTTTGTAACGTTCTGGTACTTTAGCATGTACACCTAGTATGTGCTTTCGAATGTCACCCATTCCATGTGGTGAAGATGAGGAACAACCAGAGCAGCAGAAATATCTTCTACCTCGCCGTCTGGTAATATACACCTTTAGTGAACTGTAGACACCCATTTTAGCCTGTAAAATAATAAACGTTACATTTATCTGTGATTGATATTGTAAAAACTATGAAAAAAATAGTAGAAACCGTGAAAAATACAAAGATTTTCACTTTTTGGAATAATAGTTATCAATAATTATTCCATTTTAAATAAATATGGTGCAGCAGCTGTGCAGGGATTTATACAATAATCTGCTTGTCAACATTTTCGATCGATCGAAATCGATGCTTATATGAGTGATTTGAGTGTTAAAACACTCTGTAACTATAGAAGGAAGATATAGAGTGATTAAAATATTGTTAACGAACAAGTTTAACTGTTGGACTGACTTGGATGGAAAGAATGGTATTATGTAAAACAATGAAAATACAAGTTTTTCTTCGATTCAAGATTATTCTGATGCTAAAGTACCAACACTGTTAAAAAGTTTAATTTATGCAAATACCATGATAAAAGCAAACAACAAGTTATACAAACCTCAAGAACCGGAAAATAGTTAGGTGGACAGTAGCCTTGTACTAAAGTTTTTAAAGCTTCGGATGAATATGGAAGATCAATTACACGTTCCACTTCCTCTGCACCAGAAGCCTGGACAGCATTTAATTGTGCAAGTGGATCTTCCACTTCTTTCTGCATCTTTTTAGGATCAACATCTGAGCCTTCTTTGTCATCATCATTTTCATTACCGTCATATTTAGTAAGTGAATCATCATGACAAATTGAACCGCTTGCTGCACCGGTATCGGTCCCTTCACTAACTGAGTCTGTTTCAGCAACATCTGTGATTAGTGTTCGAGGTGAAGATGAAACAGAGTGAATATTCATCGACGGCTGAAGTGCTGTTGTAGGCACAGAAGGATAAGGAGCCAATTCTTTCAAAGGTTTTGCGAAGCTAGATGGTGCTGAACGACCATTCATACTAGTAGTGGTTACGTCAGGAGGACCAACATTAGGAAGATTATTAAGTTTAATGGGTCTGTCCATAGCCAATCGAAGAAGCATATCATCAGGATAGATTTGAAAATCATATTCCCTAGTAATACGAGAAGCCTGGCAACAAATGGTGATAAATACATTTGGAATACGAGCATGAACACCCATTACATGACGCCTACTATCAGCTAATGTTGCGGCGCGAATTTTACTGTCAGGTTGTCGAGTAGTGATAAAAAGGCGCCCACAGGGACAGCGGAAAGCTATAGTGCGATCATTACGACATATTCGGCTCATTTTGTAAGTTGAGTATACGCGCATTTTCGATACTATATCTTCTATATGGTGTTCAGGAGCACCAGAGGATTCCAACAAATGACGGAGAACTGGTTCAGAAAACGGCAAGGCAAGGTCAACAACTTTATCAGCGCCTTCTATTCCTGGTATAGATGGTAGTGAAGCTAAATCCACATTTGAGTTGGAAGATGCTATCGACTGTTCTATATTAGATGTAACAGGGGAACCATTGATGTGACTATCAGTTGATTGGATAGGACTCGTAGAATTAGGAGGATGAAAATCTGGAGGTACCGGAGGTCGAATTTTTACAGTAACTTTAGTTTGGGAACCCGGAACAACGGTAGTAAAATGAGAGACATACGAGTCTTGTGTACAAGACAAACTATTCAACGATGTAGCGAAAGTCGTAGAACTCTCAGAAGAACTAGGATGATTCTCATCAACTGGATTTGGTGAAGCATTTGGGCTGGTTGGATTATTTGAAACCAAACGTCTGTGTAAAAAATCTCTAGCGAGACGACTTAACTTTTCATCAGAGAACAAAGTAAACTCAACAGGATCCAAGCGGGATGCTTGGAGACAGTGGCGAAAATGTTTAGTCGATATGCCACAATGAGACCCCAATATATGCTTCCTCACATCAGCCAGAGCATGTGGTGATGAATAAGAACAATGGTTGCATTTGTACCTCCGAAACCCTCCGCGTGTGTCAACTATAACCGACAGACGACAGTACAACTGCATCTTTTGCTCCAGGAATTCTCGCGTAGCAATAGGAAGATGGGCAGTCAGTCTTCGTAAAACGCGTATTGAATATGGTAAAGGAATACGACGGCGCCCAATCTCGAGGACACGAGGCTTCATCTGACGCATAGCGAGCTGCTCTTGAACTTCCTGAAACCTCTCCTCACTTTTGGGGAGATAAGTAAAACGCAAACAATCTTTTAAATGTTCTCTGGGGACTTCCAGATGCACTGTAAGTAAATGTCGCTTAAAATCACCAAGACCGTATGGAAACACTTTTTCGCATTCTGGACAAACTGGGATACGACGATGATTCTCCTTCCCTAAAATCCGAACAAAGTAAGAGGAGAACTGCTTCATTTTTAAAACTAATGAATCTATCACATGAGGTTGTAATTGTGCACATAGTTCACTGCGGAATTTACATTCATCGAATGGGAAAGAAACTAAACCTTCGCAGCCACGAATAATTTCATCCGATGAAAGGTTATCATCAGCAAATTTATCTAGTGAATCTAAGGAGTCGCTGGACTGGGAACCCAATACATCGTTATTGTTGACTTGTTTACTATCTTGAATTGGATCTATAGATTCTGTAGACAGGATGCTGGGTTTAGGCTGAATTGGTATTGGAGATGATATATCACAAGCTAATGATTTTGAAAATGTACTGACTGAATTCGGAACAGCATTGTTTATGTTGAAGTTAGTCAAACCTGAAAGAGCTGCTGCAGCCATAGCAGCAACAGCTGAGGCTGCATCACATGCACTTAAGTTTCCAGCAGCGTTATTTATTATATTCATTGGTGAACTTGCTGGGATACTGGCTAAACTGTTACTAACTATCATACCGTTATTATTAGATGAAGACTGATCAATAGAAAGCGTATGAACATTGCTTGGTGGAGTTTGTTGAACTCGGCTAGTTAAACTCATTAACTTTGATGCAGTAGGTCGGGCCAAAGCTGCAAGATTCATAGGTGATTCAGTTTTCTCGGTATCATCTTCAGGAATTGAGGAAAAAGAAGGGAAAAAATCAAGAGCATATGTAGAGGATTCCGACTTCTGTTCAGTACTGAGAGATATATCAGTTGTAACCGGTTCAGAGTCATTATCCAGTAAAGAAACGCGTAAGTGTTCCCGATAGACTGATGCTTCCTTTAAACGAAAAGGTAAATAAAACTAGAGGATTTAGAACAAGCTTACTGTATAAAAAATAAGTATGAAGACTACAAAAATTTAATAAGACTTACTAACTAAAGAATTACACTAGATAAGGCTGAATGGTAAATACTACTATTATTCGTCTCCATTATCAAAAATAGACTGATTAACTCGAAACTAAAATTCAGTGGTATGGAATTAACTGTTTATAGGTGGTGAAGCACCATAAGTAATATCCTTTAATCCCTAACTTATAACCACTAATAAACCAAATATGTTGGAAGTTTTATTTATTTTATATCGAAGCCACTGTTAAGTTTCAGTTCTGAGGATATGAATAATTAAGACATGTGTAGAGAATGGATCGATATAAACGGTTGGGAAGGAAAGTATTAATTACTCCTTGTTGTTCAATCTGTAAGGGAATAAAAAGATCTTTCTACAAGCTAACATTTATTCAACGAAATGCGAATTACTTTGGAATTTGTCTAGAAATCTGACATTATTTCCAATTTTAACGGAGACTAAGGTGATTTAGATGACTAGCATATATGATGAAAATAATAAGATACAAAAAACCTGTAAACTAAGACGCAGTTGATGTGATGTAACGAACAGTGCAACACAATGTCCGTTTTCTCTCATCTAAGACTTCTCATCTGGATGTACCCGATCACAGTATTGGTGTTCATACTGGCACTCGACCCCAGTACCTTTCGCTTCAAACGGCGACGGGTTATCTACTGAGTTACTGAATCTAAATAACCAATAACTTGTTTAATGAGCACGAGGTTTACATTATTATTAGTAATGGTTTGAATTATTCCGATCAGTCTTGTTGGCATGTGCGCATCCTCTGTGTGAGTTGCTTCAATGTAGGTGACGAGTCCCAAACATGATTGAACATGTGTTTTGGATTCTACTACTAGCCACAACTCATTTATTCTAAAAATATGCGACAAAATGGACATATCGAGGCAATCAGCATGAGATGTACATATGCCGATAGAGACTGATCGATATTCAGTCCTAAATAACGTGGTAATTTAAACAACCGCTAATATGTTTCATTTAAAAGCTATTATAAAGAAGGATGAAACTAAGTCTTGACTTAATGGAGATTACGAAAGTTGGATATCTAGAAAAGTATTGAAACTATTTAAGTTTGTACAATCAAATTACTAGACCATAGAAAGAGATTCAGTCCTATATCTGAACAGTCTATCGTGTTTACTCAACAAGTTATATTTTAACAGCAGTTACGCTTTCACCTCTAACGGTTTCAACAAACAAGTATAAAAATGGGTACATACATGAAATTTCTATAAACGTGGATGTATGGCATTATTTACCGACTGGAAAGGAAAGCTTTCCTACCAGCTAATCATTTAGCATACAATAATACTTGTAATGGAATCTGAATTTTCGTGTGTATTTACGAGCGCATGTTAAGAACAGATAATTAAAAGGCATGGAAGTTATTAAAACATCGATGTTAAAGAAGTAGTCTCCTTTTCCAATATATTTAGGTGTAGATACAGTTATCGGGTCAATAAATGTAATAAACCTTTATCGCTAGCAGAGTTGATTTTTAAGGAAGCATATACATGACATCAGAGAGTACCATTTGTTATGGGGAAACCGAACGAGGAAGTTAACAAAGAATAGACGCAACCACTTTGAAATCTAATGATTCTGAAATGAGAATTTATTTTTATCAGAAGGGGGTTTTTGTGGAGATTGTAGTAATTTAATAGTTGAGTTTATGAGTCAATTAAAGCTAGACCACCATAGAAAATCTGGAAGCACTGGACGGCCGTTTCGTCCTAGCATGGGACTCCTCGGCAGTGCGCATCACGATCCCACTCGCAGGACTCGAACCCAGGACCTTCAATACAACTCATGAAATAAAACCTGACAACTAAACAACTTACCTTGGGATTATGAGAATAAGTAACATGTTCCGCAATTAATTTTTGCTCTGTAGATACCACCTGACATTTCGAACACCAGTAAATATGACAGCGATAAACTAGAGGTAGTACTTTCTCAGATTCTTGGCAACGATTACGGAAGTATGCCCTTATACCTGTACAGGAAGCAGGATGCATCAGAAAATAAATCCACCGAACAGTTGTAAGATCACAATAAGGACAACGAAGTAGAAAGACGAATGGAGAGGACATATCTGCAAATATCTTGTTAACAATAGAGGCCTGATCAACTACAGTCAATGAGGAAGTGCAATCATATTGTGAGGCATTATCTAACTTAGCAACAATTGTAGCAAGATGGTTACAAATTAACTGAAATATAGATAAAAAGCAGAACAAGTTCGAGAACAAATATCAAAAATCAGTTTGCTCAGTAATAAACAGCAAGAACAAAATAAAACTAAAGAAAATAGCTATATATATAAGCTGTGATAGTACAAAGTTTGAGCATTTATTTCAATATTTTTGGATGGAGGGTACATGGTTAAAACATTTAACTATCGATCTCTAGATTGCAATTACTATAAATAACGCTCTACCTAACTTCAGTTTTGGGGGCCAGACATTCACAAACCTTTAAATAAAGTGTGACTTATAACGGGATACACAAGTCTGTACTTGGTGAACCAGTTGGTACATATTTCAGTAAACCAAAGGGTAAAATGAACCAAAATTTCCAAATATATGTCCATTTAAGTGTACAGAAAGCGGTTACTTAATTTACGAAACTATAACGAATACCAATAATGAGTAATCACATGCTTAACAGGGCTGTTTAGAAACTTACAATATCGTTCAAAAAAACAAAGATGAAGCCACAAACAGACGTACAGTAAACACACCAAATAATTCACAGAATATTAAAAAAAAATAGTAGATAGCTAAAACTTTACAGCACTGTAGGGGGGGGCAGCGGATACATATGCGCCACATAATGACAAGTAGAATGGGAAGAGATAAAGAGTAAAAAGTGTGAATAAAAGGAAAAAACAATAACGACCACAAATTAGTGTATGGTAGTGAAGAAATAATAGTAATGGGAAAACAGAAAAGTACAACCAGAAAGAATTCTTCAGTCAAAGAAGCTACAGCCAGTTTTTATGAGGAAAGTAAAAGAAGGTTACAGCAGGCACGCCACTGGCTTCTATTCTGAGCCATATCTGATAACGTTTCTAACCACCGTGTTACACTACCACTAGGACCCCAAAAAGGAAGTCATGGAAGACTAACAGAAGCCAGTCTTGTACAGCTTTCCTTCATACCACGACACTATGTCACATACTGACCACCTCTCCGTTTTATCCAACCACCACGTGGAATTCTCTGAGACGACATTCTTAGATTATGTCCAAGCCACCGAAGTCGGTGTTTCAAGATGGTGACACCAATTGGATTATTGTCCCTTCGCCCGAACACACGATACCGAACCTCTGCATTACTAACATGGTGTTGCCACTGGATGTCAGCAATCTGCCGGAGACAACGATGATCGAACATAGAGAGACGTCTAACATCCTTAACTCGGAGAGGCCAGGTTTCACAAGCATAGAGCAAAACTGCTCTCACCGACGGGTCATAGATCCGACCTATTACAGCCAGACTAACATCATGAAGGCGCCAAAGATGGCCCAGATTGGCATAAGCCGCTTTGGCTTTCAATATATATGTAAATCGAGCTCATCACTCACGCCACCATCAGCACTTATGCAGCCACCTAGAGACACGAATTTCTCGATTACTTCTATCTGCTCACTACCCAGGGTAAGCACAGAATCAGGATCCTGCCAGTCTTGTTGAAGTACTTCACACATACATTATATACAGATACTAATTGTCAACTGATTAAGCACAGATTGCATACCTTAAGTATCATCGCACAGTAAGGCTATCGGAAGTAGATTTATCACCGATAGTTGTTACAGAGACGATGTGAACCTTTTTTATAGATAGGGACAACTATCAACTTATTCCACGATGTCGGAACACTCTCTAACTCTCAAACCTTTTTAAACAACGTAGTCAGTTCCTTAACAAGAGAACCACCACCATCTTTAAAAAAGGACGAAGGTAAGTCGTTGGGATACGGTTAATTGAAGCGCTTCAGGAGTTGGAGTTCCTTGCGGGCTTCCGCCTCATTTGGTGGATCAGTTATCACATCCCATCGAGGGCAGGACGGTCTGATCGATGTTTCTGGAGCAGCATACCAATTGAACTGCTCCACGCCAGCAGTAGCTGATCACGATGTGATCAATCTAAGTCCAGGCTTGAGATGCAGAGGGAGAATGCCAAGTGGCACATTCGCGGACTGTGCCGAAAGTTAGTGCTAGCCAGAAAAAGGTTGTGGTCTGCGCACAGTTGCAGTAGACGGTCCACGTTATCTGACCTGCGACCAACAAGTCCCCATCGGCCACCTAAACGATTCTCTTCTGTGACTAGACGCCAGACCTGAGCATTCAAGTCTACGGCTAGTACTACAATACCTGTCATATGCACTTTCTGAAAAAGAACAGTTAACTGGTGGTAAAATGCATCCTTGATTGTATTCGGGCTGCAATCTGTCGGGGCGTAAGCGGGAATGACGAAAAGACATCGATTCTTACACAGACGTTTTCTTACTTTGGTGGAACTTTCTAATCTAACAGCACATAACCGACTGTTAGTGGGGATCAAATCAATTAATGCTGTCTCAGCTCTAGCGCTTAGTGCGACACCAACGCCAAGTGGACCAGACGAAGATGCGACAGAATCCCCTGGACAAACGCACATAAAACAAGCCTTTTGAAGCGACAGATGGAGAGCAAATTTGTAGTACTTCACTAGAATCTTGAATACGGGTCTCCGACAAACAGTAGACGTTGACATTAAAACTTTTTAAGGACATAGTCAGCCCTATCTGTTGTCCGATCTGCATTAGTGTGCGAACATTGAGTTTCCGCCATGGGCAAGCTGGTGTATAAGTTGAAAAATGGGAGTACATAGAGGAAGATAAGTGACGTAGTATATAGAAAAACAATAATAGTAATAATACTAAGACAGTGAAGCAACTTAAAGAGATGCAGTCCCATGGTAACCGACGACCAACGATTGGTTTATACGCCATTTGTTCCCTCAGGATACTGGAGCCCATGTGCACCAACGCTTCGGAATCAGGGTTCTCCAACTCCCCTAGGTGAGCCCTCCGTGTCCATCAAACCGATTAAAGCGTCGGACACTTGCTTTTCGTCCTCTCAATTTCATAAACAACATCCTCGCCGCAAGAAGACAGTGAGTAAGAAAATATTTCTGTATAAGTGGAGAGCAACAAGTTGCAATTAGCAATCTACAAATACATTATTCAAAGAACTAAACTAGTCTATGAAAACATTTTTTTCCGATCCCAAATCAAAACATGGCATCAGTCCATGAAGTCACTGACAATTGAACTGAGCCATGTTAATAGGTGTAGATTATCTCGTTAGGGTCCGTGTGATTATCGTAGCCAGTGGTTAGACTTTGAATGACATGAGCCAAAATAGTTTGCAATGGCGAAGGTGTACCCAGTTTTCCCCTAATTACTGAGCTTCTGAATTTACCACAACTTATGTTTTTACATCACCGATCCATACTCTCTTACAATCTCCACTCATACCATTACTCTTATTTTTTATATATGCATCTTACCCCTTTTCTCTTCCCATTTTCATTGTTTTGTGTGGCGCATACATATCTGGTGCCCCGTTGCACCGATATTTAAATAAATAAATAAATAAAAATCTCTCCTATTGTGGAATTCGGTCTGGAAATTTGAACCGATGTACATATGTACCAAGTTCTATGTAGAGACTGACACCTTTTCCATATAGCAAAACCAACGAACATAAATATTGCATGACTACGACATACGTTTAAAACGTTGTTGTGAAGTACACATTCCATAGAAATTGAAAAAAGCTTACCTCTGTAGTTTCGCCAAATAATTGAAAAGAAGTATTTTTTTTGAGATCAAGAGAATCAGTATGTTTTCGTCGAAAATGATCTAAGATAAGTGTTCGAGATGGTGATTTCACAAAGCAACCGGGGAATGTACAGTGTACAAGTGAGCATAGATTTAATTTAATATGTTCTCCCCACTCCAACAATGTAGAAAATTTATCCATGCATTGACTGCATTGCAATTTGGAGGTCTCAGATGAACTACTATGTTGAGTCTCCCAGTGAATCTGCATATGTTGAAAACGATTAGTGCTGAATTCATGAGAACACTGAGGTTTAGATGGACAAGAAAAGATTCTCGGCGATTTTGAGGAGGAAGGAGTTAGTAAGTGCTGGGAAATGTGAATCATCAAATAATTCCGATGAACTAAGGAGTCACAGTAAAGGCATAAATGGTTTTCATCATTTGAATGATACTTCGTTAAATGTGAGACAAAAACTTCGGGATCAGAAGTACTTGAGTCAGGTTTATGAGATATATTTGATAGATAATTTAAATGGCCATCACTCAGCCCCTTGTCTTGTGAGCATATAGAACACGTAAAGCACCCTGAAGCACTTTCCAACAATTGGATATTTCGCTTTAAAGATGAATAGGTACGTTTTCTGTCGTAACTTCGGACACTCATTGTCAGTATGTTCTAAATAAACCCTGACATTTAATACAAAGAAAACGAAGTCAGAATTACAGTAGTACTGAACAAATGTTAATTACTATAGATTAATAAAAACAAATACTAGATAACGCGAGTTTCAGATGCCGTATGAGTTCACTTGAAAAGTAAAACATAATAATTGACTATGTACAGGAGTATTAGGTTTATTGCGTAAGACTAGGTGATAACACATGACATAAGCAGAGTTGTAAAATGGGATTTAAACAATTCTGAATCGCTGAGGAGATTATCAAACCTGTTGACTAATGGAAAAGCAAACAATGTGAAATCTCAGTCCATTGCAACGGTTCAGGCTATCAATTACAAATGTAAATATAATAATTGCCAGAGAACAAATGTACGTGGTAATGAGTGCACGGACTCGCTCTTAATGTTACGGCAATTAACTATATTATGCTAAGTATCTATAACTAAATGAAATACTTTGATACGTAAGCGAAAGTAGCGGATATGGTCTATTTTAGAAAATTCATTCTAAACCAATAATGGACATAGGATCCAGGATCTTGAGAAAAAGAGAGATATCTAAACCTGACTCGACTAAAGAAAGCCTACAATTATATCTCGTCCACCCACTTGGGAACCAAACCTTTCGTCAAAACATTTGAATGATTACCCAGAACGTCTAAGAAGTTTGTTTTCGGTGCTTGAACAGTGAAGAGCATTTCGTGTTACAAGTACCAGTAATTCCCAACTGTAAAGTTATGCTAAAAGACGTATCGATTTCATCTTGGTTTGTACAAGTGAAGTGAACTGACTGAAGACACTAAGGCTTTTACATCATCTTAATTTTCCAGTTATGTGACTGACCGCAAGAGAATACGCATAGCATTCATTGTAAAGCGGTCAACTATGTATGAGATATTGCATTGTTAGAATAAGTGATAATTAATACACATCTTACGACAATGAAGAGTAACGGGGATGTAATAAAAAAGTGTGGGTTGGTTAGTATACTTTGCATTGCTAACAGAAAAAAATCATCCGAAAAACACAATAAAATTAAGGAATGAAAGCGAGATAAATGCAGTGATAAGATATTGAAGCTGAAGGAAGTAAAGAATAAAAATATTTGGATGAATATCTTCCACAATCTTCAACTGCCAAATCTTATTATCTTAAATGTTCATGATCGACACATATACGTTGCAAATAGAGGCTATTCAATAGATTAGTACAAGTGAGACTGCATACCTAGCACAGCATAGATACATGAGGAATTATCGAATATTTTTTTTCAATAGTCACTGATCGGCAGTTACTTCTACAGATATTTGAATATATTATCAGACCATACCACATCAACAGCCACCTACTATTCGTCACTATTCTAGAAGACTTGTTGGTGAGACCACACTTAATATCAACACGTAAGCGATAAACAACGTAGAACCCGACATGTGCGTCAGCTGAAATTGCCACAAACCATTACCACAGCAGGATAAAGCTATCAAGACAAAACCCATAGCAGTAGTAGTAATAATATCAGTAGATTAGACATACAAAAAGTATAAGGGCATTTCGCCACCAGGTTCTAAGGGAAGACAAACAGTGGATGCCTGAGCCATTGAGAACAATCCTGAGAATGTCATTTGAAGTCTTTGACTACTGATCACGACAATTGCGCGGACCCCAACCAGATAATCTACACTTACCTACATGGCTCAGTTTGCGTGCATCTTCAAAATGAGAATGTAGAAAATTTAAAGTTTATCTATTTAACAATGCCTCAAATTGTAGATGAATAAATAGCAGAATACAGAATCATTGGTCAATTGAGCAACTACAGAAATAAAACTGTCAGGATGACTATGAGCTAGATTTAATACAGAAAATAATAAATAACAAGAGGCGGAAACTGTGGGCAGACCTTTAGGTCAAAAGCCCCGGGGTGTGGCTCTCTGAGAAAACCACCTGCTCCAGTTTGGACACCCATGTAGTATCACAGTTCTCACACAAACCAATGAAAACTACTACTGGTCTCATTGTTGTTGTGTCGCGCATATGTATTTGGTGCCTCCTTGTACTAATACTTGTGTTAAAATAAATAAATAAATAGGTAGACAACTGAGTACCTGCAATTTGCAATAAATTAACGATATTCACTCAGTAGTCTTGACACAAGCGAGCGTAGTTACGTCAGCTACTCGAAAACCATGCTTAATAGTTATAAACTAATACAGACATTGTTGCAGAGTGTACTTCTTTGTTTGGTGTACTTTGCAAACGTTTAGTGAAACTATAAAAAAGTCATTCCCGTCGACTTTAACGTCTATTTTGATAAACTATCGGCATTATAAAGTGGTGCAAATTAACGATGGGAATTTACACTAGCCAAAGCATTTTTATTCAAAGTCAAAGAATTAGAACATAATTGAAATTCCCTTAAACTGATACAATCAAAACGTATGATAAATGTAAACACTTTGTCAATTCCCCCTGAATGAAGTGCTACCCAGCCTTGATTTGTAAAGCAATTCTGATTTATAAGAAAATACGGTAGTCTAAACGGAGACTATGTTTGCTGCACACGCATTACAAATGCTTGTAGCTTAAAATAACGATCTGTTTGAGTATATATAAGCCATTTAAACAAGTCAGTTTTTGCGCCACGTATTCACTTACATGCAACCAGATTTATAGGCAAAAAACTAGAAATAGGGGCTAGATAGAAGACAAACTATGATTACAACCAGAAACAAAAAGTATATGAGTCAGTTAAAATGGACAACGTAAACAGCAGACCTACGTACACCAATCATTTTTATTAACATTCATAGAGAAAATTGAATTTTTACAACGATATTTATTGCTTAGAACACTAGCAGTCAACATAACGACTAATTCTTCTTAAAGTAAGAGAATTCACTTACAACTAGTAAATATGCAATTAGGGATCAACATAAAATCCGAAAAGCAACCTCGGAGGTGGGCACTTGTTTAATCTGACAAATGAATGACACTCACAATCCCTGATAAAACAATATCACTATTAACAAACTTTTAGCCATGAAGGATGAGTGCGTCACCTAAATTATTTGACCGCTTAAAAAAACTGTAATGTTCGGAGGGAATAGATCACCTGACAACCAGTCTGTTTGAAAAACGCAAGTACGCCAAAAACATTAACAGAAATAAGAAACTATACCTTTCGGTGAACCGATACGGACATTAAAACTTGAATGAGCAAAATACTAGACTGACTTAAAAAACAGTATAACACTTTAAAGAGAATTAAACACACTTTTAAAGTCACGTGAAAACTGTTGGTCTGATTTTTGAAATGTTGGGTACAAGTACAGTCCTCCAAAAAACCATTTGATAAATCCCGCTTTTGCAATCCTAATAAGCGGTCGTAAAACGCGCTTTTTTGACTCGGCCAAACAAAAACGGGACAACTCGATACTATTTGAACCGCTATGACTTTTAATTAACAAAATCAACTTATATTGCAATTATGCATCATTTTTTATTCATATCTTTATTTTGATCGTTTGTTTTGGTTTGTACGTTACTTCGACGATTATTGTTCCCTATTATCGTTGTCAATGTCTGCTGCGTTGAAGAGTTGGAATTAGGATTGCTGTTAGTTTCAGTCTTTTTCACGTGTAATATTTTGGCATTTTCATCTCTTGACATATGATTTACTTCTGTTTACTGTTGTTAGTTTATCAAAATAATGATCTATATTTCACTTGCTCACGGATTGTAACATGCAAAATATGAAAACCTCTCATTATCCAAATCAATCATCTACTTGTGTTTTGCGAAAATATTGTCTTCCTACATTCACTCCGTGTTTTATAGAATGTCATCTGATAAGTTTTAACTGATACTCTCATATTTCAGTAGGTCCAGTGGTATTCCATTCAGTGTTAGCTTTCAATTTTTTTCGACCAGTCCAGCTTCTGTGTTAGGTCTTGCTAGTCGAGTTAGATTTCGACTTAGTTTGTTAATAAGTATATTTTCACGCCAGGACTAACACTGGCCATCAAATCCCCTGTTTTTTCCTTTCCAAACTGAAACAATCAATTCTCTGCCGATCTTTTGCATCATCATTATTATCTAGTAAGAACAAATCCGATGTTCTTGTATCTCTTTCGCTTTGCAATTTTCTATAGGCATTAAAGCTTATTACAAACATTCCGTCATTTAAGTATCTCTGTCAGTTTGATTTTGACAGCAGAATATACGGATCATCATCTGTTAGTTTCAAAACGTTTGAATCTAGGATAACATATGATTTCATTAGTTCTTTATTTTTCTCAACACAACTCCTTATTTCACAACCTTATACTGGAAGGTTCGGTTCGGATTTACGTTTAGGAATAATAATTTCTTGTACATGTGAATTGTTCATACAAGCAAATCGCTTGTTAAACTTTATACCTCCTCACAATTCGCTTTATCTGCTTCTTTAAGAAATGAATTTTTACCTCTTTTTAGCCAATAATGGAACACAATTTCTCATCGCATGGTAAAGTTGGTGTATTCAGACTTCAGTAAGTATGGGTTAACCAAAAATAGTAATTTTGATCTATTTCTTTCCAGATTCTTCCAAAGTTTCGGAATGTCCTCTCGTTAAAAACATATCACTTTGCTACTTGGTTGTTTTGTTGGTGTTTTCCCTCCTAAAAAAGACCAAAAAGCCACATGGCACTCGTCAATAAAGTAAGTATTTTGATAACTTAGATGTCCTTGTGATTAGATTCAACCTTGTCAATCTGTCCCACCTACTAGACACCCAGGAAAGCTAAAAAGAGTTGGGTCTCTTGTGGAATTATTTGATTTCTTCGTGTTGAATGAAGGAAAGGTTATTGATACCGTGTCTGTTAACACCTTTTTATATACCTATCGCTTATTTGCTGATATGGAATTAGTTTTGGAAGTTGTAAATAAAAAGCAAGTATGACTTTCTATAACCTGTATAATAATCCGTACAGATTTTGGGATACATGTCTTTCAAGCCTAATACCTACCTCTTGGAAAGTTGGGATTATTTCGTAAGTCTCTTTTGTGAATGGTCTGCCTTTTTAGTTTGCACATTCTCTTGCCTTTACCTTTCACTATGGATTTACGTACTTCATCTTTTATAATGTGACTCACAAAATTTACCATGCGTTCTCAGCCTGCTAATCAGAACACCTGAAGGATTAGACGGGTAGCTTACACTACTAAGTATTATTCAGGCTCTAAAGCTCGTGTTATTACATACTTAAAATACAAGACTATGACGTCCCATGAAGATATATCATATTATGTGCAAATCTAGGATATTCACAATATAAACCTGGACAACGAGTGTATAACTGATTAAAAATATTTTGAGAATGGAGAAAATATGGGAATAGATAATGGGTAAAACTGAAGGATGCAATTAAGGCGACATTGAAATACCGCAAAGCAATTACTTGCTTAATATGTATTCGCCGAGTCGCTGGAGAATATCGTCCAAACTTCCTCATTCCTATTTACCCAATATTAGCAAAATCTCTGGTAGATAGTATTTTCAACTTTGCAGTAAATATTTGATTTTTCAAGCATTGATTTGCCTACCGGATATGGTTAGGATTTAATAAATTACCAACATTATCAAAAAATATGTCACCTGTTGTTTTGACGAGGTATCTGCATATGTTAAAACTGAAGCTGTACTTCGGATCCCTGGATTTGTCAGATATTTGGTACATATTTGACATCATTCCTACCTTATATCTTGTTAATTCTACAAAGTTCCTTCAAGATGTGGTAAAGTAAAAAATCACTCATGTTTTACGCACTGAGGTGTGGGACTTAAGTCCTAACGTGATTAGAAATCTTTCGTCTTTGTTAAGCTTTTGTTTTATTATTTAATATAAACATTTTTTGTTGGCTATTTTATGCATATTTCTCAAAGACCATGGGAACACTCGTTATTACATTCATATTTGAAAATATTATTTGATGTACTTATAAAATTGACCTGAATGCATGACAAAACATGTGCTTACTTACTACTTGCATACTAGCTTCTCGTTTTCTTTAATTGAATGTTCGCTGATATGATCTCCTACTGTAAGACCAGGTTTCGTTGAAGAATTATGTCAATTATCCTTTATTATCTCACATGTAACTTGTATTTTTTTGAAAGCCAGTTATTTTCCAGTGATTTTAGATCTCTATCACCTTTTAAGAGTATTTTGTTTGACTGAATTTTCATATTTGAATTTAAATTACACGAAGCCTCTCGAAGTTGTTTGTATTCCTCATCAGAATGTTAGCGATTTACCACCCACTGTTTTGGAAAATTATTTTCTGTGTATAGGTCTTTCCTGTATTTTCTTGGGGCATGGTTGCAGCAGCCTCACGTCAAAGATTTCGACTCGCCACAGAAAATTATCCATCTTAAATGTCTAGTACGGATCCTCGCCGGCTGGTTTGATGTTTTTCAACCCTCTTATAATCAAGATAGTCACAACTATGTCCTAAATGAGTTTATGAGATGCTGTGGAAATAATGTGTTTTCTAAAAATCAAGATGCGACGCGAATCGTCTTGTGCAACATTGATTCGGAAGTTTGGGATCGAGTTACTGCAGATATGGAGTATTTATGCCGACAAGCTATAAATTGTCTGAAAATTATAGCCTGTAAACATCAAATAGACTTAAATCCAGAAAAAAAATTGCCGTCAGTGCGTATTATCACCATAAATCGAGGTAAATGTTAATTCTGTATAACGTCTAATAATGTTTATGTATATACATAACTGGATAACATTTGTGGATATTTAATCTAATTACCATCGTGAGGTAGTTTAAATTTGTATTTGTAAGGTATTTATTATTTAAACACATAAATATTGGTACAAAAGGGCACCAGATATATATGCACCACACAAATCTCATTTGATTTGTGTGAGGGCTGTGATACTGCCCGGGTGCCCAAATCGAAGCAGGTGGTTTTCTTAGGGGGCCACACCCAGAGCCTTTGACCTAAAGATCCGATCCACAAGGCAGTGGAGCATCGTGAGGAGATGCAGTTCCATGGTAGCCGGTGACCAACGATTGATTCATACGCCATTTGTTCCTCCAGGATAATGGAGCCCATGTGCACCATTGTTTTGGAATCAAGGTTTTCCGACTCCCCTAGTTGGGCCCTCCGTGTCCACCAACCCGATTAAAGCGCCGGCCATTCGCTTTTCGTCCCCTCAATTTTGTAAACAACACCCCCGCCACGAGAAGGCAGTGAGTAGGACTTCCCTGACAGAGGCTATATACGCGAGGCCATGTGAGAGCATTTTTAGAGGGAGAGCGGACTCTCCCCACTCTCGGCCGTACCATGGCATTTGGGGGCGAATTTATATTTTTAGCACAATAAACAAAATTGCATGATTCAACCGCTGATTTATATATATAATTCTACCAATAACATCTATTTCGAAAAATTAAGTTATCACGAGTTTTTAACTTTTCCTTTTTTTAGCCAGTTGCGATCACTCATCACACAACCCTGCAATGCATAAATCAGAAAAGCATTTTAAAGAAATAGTTACCATTACACCTTCTATTAACCCCTTAATTAATTTATGGAATCTAAATTTAGATACAGTGGCTGAACAACTGACTGTTGCTGATCAGGTAGGATATTTTATTGAATAGCCTGGTTATTTTTATATGAGATTTCTATTAGAAAAACATTTTGTATAGATATTTTCCTACGATTTATGTACAAAAACTCACCCTATAGTAACAATACGTGGACAATTTCGATGATACGTTTTGTCCATGTGGTCCGAATAGGACAAGTTTTTTTATTTAAGCGTATCTCGGTTATCACTCAGTATTGGGGTCTTTGACCTTCATTTCTTTCCATTTAAGTCTGACTAGTTGGATATATCTGGATCCCATTGTTGATGTCTTCAATTGAACTCGAGACACTTATCCAGGTAAATAAATACCGAAGTGTTACTCACTAACCTTGTAAGTATATGTCGGCTGATCATTTCACTCTTAAGTTTTGAAAACGTGGATATAAACAGCCTTTAGCCTTGACTTAATTTTCGATTAGAATCTGCGTTTAATTTTATTTTTAAATTACCTATTGGCTTTAATATATTTTTATATCTTAGAGATTATTTCTTGACATGGAGTTAAATGATTGTCTGATATATGCTAGAGGCAAACCTGCTCCATCCGTGCAAGCTACAATTGATCAGTATAATAAATTATATCATCTTGTCCAAAGTTCGATGTTTAACTCAGATCAGGATTTTCCAATACTAGTAGAACCTACACCGATCTATTCAAGACGTTTTAATAAACGGGGTAACTATAATAGTCCAGCGACAAGAGTTAGTCCACAGATAATAACGATATGGTCCAAAAGTTCACCTAATCATAATTCTTCGGCATCGGATGTGGGAAAATTAAAAACCGGATGCATCATTACATGGATTGATATTGCTTATGTAAGTTTACTGTGCGATGAGTTATAAATGGATTTTTTCTTAACGCAATTTTGTATTTACGTCAAACTTTCTTTTTCGGCAAATGAGGTTATTGAGTTTATTGTTATCCTTTATTTTGATGTTTAACAAGGATATAATGACTGACCAGTTTGCACTTATTAGAGCTACACTGTACTTGTTTAGGTATTGTATTTTAGGTCACAAGTTTAATTCTATACTCAACTATATTGGTTGTAACGTAAACCTGTGTTATTTATCACTACTTGACATTAATGTAGTTCTTGAGATGATCATACTTTTATCCCAGTTGAAGTTTGTAAGTCTGATTCATTTTTACTTCTTAGAGATCTACTAGTTTAAAATTGGTATGAGAGTTCTTGGAAAGTATAGTTTGACCAGTCTAATTGTTAGTTAACTGATTAGACGGTGATTATTTGATGAATATTCGTTACAGCACTATTATTTGATAACCTATGTTTTTCTCTAACTTCAGATCATGTTGATCATGTTTCTAACTTAACGTAGTATAGTTTAGTTTTCTTATAAGAATTAATAGACGTATATTTTATACGTGTTTGGATTTCTGGATAGATTGGGAATTCCATAACTCATCTGACAGTTGTCATGAATATAATGCATCCTCTTTCCACTTAACACTTGATTATAACATAAATACAATGTTTTGTGGGTTCCTCATGAAAAATGACTCAAGTTATTTCCGAGATACATCACCATTTTTACTTATGTGAAAAGCATTTATCTTCGATATATTTTATTGATTTGTTGTTACTTTAACATATATTATTCAATATACTATCGGTCTTATTGTACCATTTGCCTACATGCACATTTAGAATAAACTAAATTAACAGAGAGATTGGTTATAGACATATTGGAAACACCACCTACATGCAGTAAAACTATTGAATGGGAGATTTGTAGGACAAGTCTGTGGCAATTAATAAACTGTTGGACAGATAAATAAATATCTGTCAACCAGGATTTTTACATCATTTTATACGGATGCCTTTCTGAAACAGAAGTGTTGAATGATGCTAACTAATAGAGTTATCAATCAAATACACTCGTTTGCATGTTATCATTCGGTTTAGCAGTTTCATATTAACACTGGCTTAAACTAGGATCAATTATCCACTTCTTGTTCATAAATTTTTATTCATTCCTTTTATCTATACATCACTTTTCAAAGCATGAACGTAATCATTTATTTTAACAAAGTAAATTCAATGTCTGTTTCTAGATTCCCTAAATAATGATTAAAGTAGTGTTCTGTAGTGCTGTCAAGTGCATTTATAAACTCTGTATGTTCATTTTAGTTGTTAAAACAGTTAATCAAATATGATATAGCCTTAGTTTTGACTCGAATACTAATCCAGTCTCCTAGCTTTGATCAATTCAACTAGGGATAAGAACAAAATAAACAGCAACCTACCCATCATCATGATGGGTAATGTGAACAATTATCACTATCTAGTTGAATTACCCAGTTAATCATCATTGCACTCCCTTGTTTGTATTTAAATCAACACAAAACCGTAATAGATAATGTTGTTTGGGAATCTATGTCAGATTTTCGTCAGTTTCACTGGTTTTCTGAACATGTACTGCATTAGTGTACGACTTTTGTCAGAATTCTAGTGTAATAATACCATGAATATTTTATAGTGGCTAGAAGTTGCATCTTTCCTATAAAATATACTTTCCACTATGTCTATTTTTTTTCTTTTTTTTAAGCGATTAGGACAAACAAGAAATTATTCAGCATTAAAAGCCATAATTATGGCTTTACAGTCCACTCCAGTACTCCGATTATGGCATAGTTGGAATGTTTTAGAATAGTGAGTTAAAAAGATTTTGTATATCGGAAAAATTTCTTTTTATATCTTATCTCTTTCATAATAAGTATAAAGTATATAAAAAAATTTATTTCAAATCGCACGTTGAATACTTTTCTTATTTTATATTAATGAAAGTGGTAGAGATTTTAAAATTACTCTGAGTTACTCCATTTTTTTTATATCTTTGTTGATCTTATTGGTTTAGTTGGTTTTTGTACTAATGACTTATGATTTTTGATTGACTTTAATATTTTCACAACTAGATAAATCTAATTCACATGATTCTTCAACAGTTTCACTTTTGCTCTTTACATTACTTATTAGTAAACTCGGTATCTGGTATCAAATATTCTTTATTAACATATTTTATCTTATATAAGAACTTCCGTCTAAATTAGAGCAAATAGTTTCACAGTATTCGGGCGCCGAGGTGATGTAAGACATTAAAATAGGAACAATATATATTTGTAAAATCTTAGCGAATGAATTTGAAGTAAATTCAACGTTTCGCCTGGCAATCTGGTCCAATTCCTTGAAAAAGCTTGGACCAGATTGTCAGGCGAAACGTTGGATTTACTTCAAATTCATTCGCTAAGATTTTACGAATATATTATTCCTATTTAATATTTTACTTTTATTCTCATAAAGGGTTCATATAAGAACGTTACGAATGTTGATAATAAATACATTTTTGTGATATCTCAATAAGTAGACGTTCCATAACTTAATGTAAGCCATTTGTTCAGAATAAATAAGTAGTAATTATTACCAAAAACCAAAAATAAAGTTAGTAGGTAAATATTTTAGAAAAGAATAATCTAATGTCATAAAGTCTTCGATTTTCAACCGATGGGTTGCACATTCAAGCTCCCACTTCACCTGGTTCATTTGTGCTACCCTGGTATTTTGAATAACCCTCAATATAAAACTAAGGCTCGAAACGGAATAAAAATTCTTATTCCTAGCATTATATATATATATATATATATATATATATATATATATATATGATTTAGCCTAAAGTTGCTATTCACAAACTCATCACTTCACTAGGCAGACTCAGAAGGCCTACATATTTTTACGCAACCCAAAACTAACTTTTAGTGAATGCACGTGTTTACATCAGATCTTTCTTTGAGTCCCATTTCATAATTCAGATCCAGTCTCATCAGTTGTATAATTTGTGCTCAAATTTACTTTATTAGTGGTCCTATCATTTGTAAATATTGTTTGGAACTTGTTGTTCTAGGATTATCAACTTATATTTATACTACAACCTCTTGCATATTTCTTTTCTACGTATTTTCTCTTTTTTATGTAAACGTAAACTCAGTCATTATCATGAACATTTTATGAAGTTTAAATATTTGGCTTCTGTAGTAAGCTTTGATAATAATCAAGAACAATTGAGAAAACGGTTAGATAAGGTAGGCTTTATTATTGTAATTATTTGAATGACTAACAATGTTATCATTACTACCATTATTGTTATTATTGAAATTATTCTTATAAGCAAACTGAAAACCATATATATTTTTATTACTAAAGTAGAAATCGCTTGAAAATCAACTAGGATGTTACGTTTGTTTTGTTCTGGTTCTACAAACCTTAAATGATTAGTAATTCCATCCTATATTGAATAAAAATTTGAACTGTAACAGAATTTAAAGTTATCTAACCATTTGAGTAGTTGCTTATTTCATTGATTGATTAAACAAGTTTCGTCGTAGATTATAAAACGCTGTTAGAATGTTGATCTTGGTTCAGTATGCCAATTTCGATTATAGAAATAGATGAAACTCTATGCGCAAAGTCTTATACTGTTTATACTGTTTGAGTTCTCTTGTTCTTTATTTTTTTAAAAGAATACAGATCTACATATGAGAAATATCCTAACTGTTTTGGCTGACTGCCCTCCATAATTATTATCTATCATACTATTTATTCACAATAAACGTTTGTTTGTGTACTTACAAGTAAAAACGTAAAACATTCCTTTTGATAATCGGAAAAATACCAGCTCATATAAACTTTATTGATCCTTCTCAATTCGATTTTGTTAGGAAGCACAATGCAAACATTTATCTTTGTCAGCAATTATTGTCTTCTGCACGTTACACTATATAGAAAATCAAAATTATCTAACTTAAAAAAAACAGTAAACAATATGCGTGTATGTATTCACCGTTAGTTTTACTTGTGTTCTGTTAATATATGAGACTACAATTAGTAATAATATCACTGCCTACCCTTCAAATTGGGTATATGGAAGTCAGTAAAAATGAAAATATTTGCTCAGTATTAAACAGTCGGTAATCAGGAATTGAAAAATCCAATAATGTTCTGAATTAAATCCATCTTTCACCTAATATTATAGATTCCTCAGGTCTTCGAGTGGCTGTTTTTTTAATTATTTTTAACTAAAACTCACATTATAGAAGCGTTCTGTTGTGAGGGGACCGAAAACGCTGTTTAATAATGTAAAGTGACTATTCATAAGTATAACCTGGACTAACTGAAGGCACATACTTTAAATCAGTTGATCTTTCTTTTACCGAAAATTAGCTGACGTTTATGATGGATTCGAAGCTTTAAGTTTTTACCAAGTGGGTAAATCCATCTCACATCAACTGTGTAAAAACCAATAATGCATAATATTGTACTATTTTGCAAGGAAATCTTAGTCATTTTTCTTGAAACCATTGATTAGTTTTTAATGTTGTATAACAGATATCATTTACATTCAAACTGTTGATCTCCATAAAAAAATTTGCCGTTTATTACACTCCGATTCTCGTGAACTGTCTTCATTCAGAATGTAGATATGAATTAGTACCTCATACTTCACTGTACCTAATTCAGTTAAGTGTCTTGTGTGATTGCTTACATGAAGTATATAACTTCCATAAGCTTGTGTAACCAGTGATTCTAAAATGATCTCAAACATTGCACTGATGTACAATTCACATTATAGTTTGAACGACCAATATTGTGGAGTATTCGAACATTTTCAATCTAGTTATGTACTGGATCTCTTGATCGTCATAACAGTATTGATGACAGTTATTTTTACATTGCTATCAGCAATACAACGCTAGGGAGGGGATGTTTAACTTTATCCAAAATAAAAATCAATTGACTTAGTCACTTAGCTGTCATTAAATTGGAGGTTCAAGTCTTTTTTTTCATTTATAGAAGTTTGAAGACGTATATATTATAGTTATACATCATGATATACTTGCCACTTGAGTTTTTCGATCAAGTTAATGGATCAGTGTAATAGTCACTCAGTAGCGACCAACTGTTTAAATTTCTATTTTAGTGATGCATTGGTAAATAATCCACGTTCTTCTGGTAATGAAACATAAGTTCTGTAGGCTATGTCCGAAATTACAGCCCAACAATTGTATATACGCTTCATTTTTATCCTTCCTAGTTTATAATATTGTCAGTATGGGGTTGTGGAGATTTTTGAATTTCATTGAAATCATGAACTGATCCAGGTCAAACCACCATTAAAACCTCTGAAGTACATTGGACAGCCATTTCGTCCTAGTATGGGACTCCTAAGCTATATGCGTCCACCATCCCGCACACAGAACCCGTACCCAGAACCTTCGATCTTGCGTGCAAACGCTTAACCTCTGGACCACTGAACCAACATGCAATAGTGTTAATGTCTAACTTTAGTCAATCCATGACATTGTGCGACCATCTTCCATTGTCATTGATGTGTAGCTACCTCACACCCGGCACGGATTAGCTTTCCTGGTTACGGCTTCTCACTAGAACTCCTGAAATTTCCTGTTATGTCTTGATCAAGGCCATCGCCAATTTGTTGTGACTTTACAAGATAAACCAAGGACGTATCGTAATTCGTTATCGATTTTATGTCCGGCCTTTATCACGTGAATTATCCACCAATAGGAATACGACGTTCCCGACCTTAACACTGTGACAATCAATGACGTTCGATTAGTATGAGTAATCTAGCGTCCTTATTGGTCCTTTATCCGCCTAGCCCTTCCGCTTGAGTCCAGAACACCAATTACAGCTTCTGTTAAGCGAATCTATACGAATCGTTTATTTCAAACACACTCTGTTTATATATCAGACAGACAGACCACATCACACCATAAAATAGAAAATAATATTTGTACAAAACTGCCAAATGTGGCTGTGAACGCGGGAGACAATAATCAATAAACTAAGTATAGTTTAGGAACAGTAAATCGTATAATAATAATAAACACTAGGTCAAAATGAAGCTTATAATCAGATGTATATATATACATAATCTAGTTACTGAATAGCTATCCAATAAGAATATATGTAGAATAATCGTCTAATAATAGGTCCTGGGAGTTACCCGTGCTTATGTCTTCGCTAGGATATAACATTTCCTCCCGAACAGAATCACTAGTAAGCAAATATTGTTCAATTAATGTCTAGATATGTACTTATCATTATCGTTTCATTAAATTTGTTTGGTCATAAGAGTATTATTATGTCATGGAAGTATTATTTGTTACACTTTGGACTTATTCACATTTTGGTTGTATGATTTTGTGATTTGAAGTTCTCAATTTTTCTTAAGAAGCTAGTTTTAAACATATACGTAATATATTCTAATTTTTTTTCCTGCCAATCAACTGATATTGAATTTTGAAAGAAATCATCAAGTTTTACTTAATTAATTAATAATCAATTAATCTGCATAAGAAATTCACTTTTGTTCAAATAAATTCTTTCTAATTGCATAAATATTCCATTTCTCCTTATTCATTTTTCACTATATAGGATTGTGTAAATCTATCTACGTATTTGAATGAATTATCTTATTCTTAGAACAAAAAAAACAACTTATTTATTCACTGTGTTCCTTTTTTTTGTATCCTGATACAGTGTGCAAACAAAATGTATTGGTACTTAAAACTCAACAACCCAAATCCATTATGTGTAAGTTTTGTAGAATCATTCTTTAACAATCTCCTCTCAGTTAACATGTTAGAGGCAGAACAGTAATTCAACAAACTTAATTGTTACCAAACGTATACAGATTTACGACACTCAAAGTGTTCTTAACGAATCTTTGAATGAAAAAAAGTTACTAGTATTTTGTAAAAGATATTGAACTGTCCGTAGGAAGAGAAATGTTGCTGTGTTAGCCTTCTGTATTTTTTGTTTGTAAATATTCTTTGGAAACATAAAGTGAAGTTGCATACCAACAATAAAAATTTACATTTCCAAACTCAGGAATATGAATTTTTTGGGATATTTTCAACAGTCGTCTATTGCATAACTCTATTGTGTGTCATCACATGAATTCGCTCAAGATTATAATATTTTGATTAATTATTTGCTAATCTTAAACAGCCAGAAGTGCGTTGTGTTAGTAGTTTATAACATACATCAATATTGAAGTAAATGATGATATATCTACATCTTAACTGAAAAAAGATCTTAGTGCTCCCACATGAATACTTTGGTTTCAATCAGAGATAATATACAAATTATTCAAATCAAACTTTAGTTCAGGATTCACATGTATGGTTTATGAGTTTCAGTTATTTACGTTCTATTTACTTACATGTTATTGATAAAAGTGTGTCTGAATACATTGCTGGAGATGACTTTTTAAAGGTAGTAAAAAAATCCACTTTTCTGAATACCTTTAATATATTGTTACATTCATACGCGAAATTAGTCTTGGTGTAATGAAAACTAACGTGGCATATACCAACTTGAACTACATTTGATAATTTCATAAGAAGTGTTCAACTATCAAAAGTGAAGTATATATTGTTAACGATTGTTGGAATGCGGACAAAATATTGATGCTGGTTCTATGTAGATAGATTTTTATGAGAAACGGTTCTATTATCATGGTACATAAATTTAGTTTGTAAAGTTTAGACTTCTAGTACAATCGTATACTTCATTCGATAAGTGTCTAACCCCAAATAAAAATGAATCTTTTTTTAAAGCAAATTACTGGACGTAACTTGAAAAAATAATATATTAAATCACTTAAACATTAACTTGGATTTTTACATATATCGTTCTTCATACCCTAGTTTTTCAGTTTGTTTCATCATAAACTAGTTAAATTACTACTTAGATTCAATACTGTACTGGTTGTTTATTATGTTTTCTACAATCATCTGCATTTTGTTTCATCATATAAAAGTTGATAATAGTTACTTATAATCCCCACTGTACATTGTAGTCATTAGCTGCACTCAAACCTTGTTAGCCAACGGCGTGAAATTGAATGAACTGACGGTTAATAATCATTGCCTTTCCATTTATTTTAGATTCGCTCTACATATGACTTTCAATTATATAGTTACCCCTAATTTTCCTACTCAGATTGTTTTAACAGGTAAATATTGAACAAAGCAAGGCCTATCACAGTTACATATCGGAGCAGTTTGTCATAATTTAGATGAAGGCGAGAAAACAAGAGAGAATCCAAAGTAAGGGTTGTAATAATAACTAGCGAAGTTCTTAGAAGTAATAAAGGTCTATTTCAATACCATTTTTGAGGTATGGAAGTAGTCTGGACCGCCTCAGATGCTTCAAACTAACCATTAGTAGTAGCATTATGAATTAATGTAATGTTTTGGTGTGGCAACTTTTAGTCTTAGTTTATTTTTACCTAATAACTTTAAGCATCGGGTTAGGTGGAAACTAAGTATGCGTAATATAATTCTCGAACGCCTCAGTCAATGAACTTTCGAAGCACTATCAAAAGACCTCCCTCTTTTACCTTAGTACTCTGCGTCCACTATCAGCAATTTACTCGTTTGTCCTGCCATAAGTAAACAATGCCTTGTCGACATATGTCATCATATTCTTGCAGCATTTACATACCTTCTACATCCAAAGGTATATTTCACAACTAATGTGAGTGAAATTTTCACCTATCCTGATACAATAGCGAAACTACGGTCTCATAAGTTGTTTAACAACTTTGACATCCCCATTGATCAGTCATCGGTTATTTGGTAACCTAAATTCATTTACAAAGTACAGAGTTATGTGTTCAGCTTCCAGTCACATTGCTAATATGTGAGAACTGGTGATACTATCTGGGGGCTAAAATTGAAAGATGAGACAGAGTTTAAACTTTTTGAATGACTCGTATCCTTAATATTATGGATGCATATTCCATTGCTTATATCACTAGCTAATCTTACTTAGGTAACCGCTAAAAATCAGGATACAGTAAAATGTTTTTTCGTCCTAGTATAGAATTTTTCAGTATTACCCATTCACGACCTCCCAGAGAATCGGACCTAGGACCTTCAGTTTTCAAGGCCAGCTCTCAACCTTTAAACCATTAAACCCAACATCTAACGGTTTATATGTTTAACTTCAGTCTGTGATGCTAAGTATTAAACCCACCGATCTCGAAAAACCTATAGTAATGATACATAATTTGTTTGTAAATATTAAAGATCTTTATTGTGAAAATTATAGCAACATATGTAAGCAAATAATATTGTTTTCAGTTAGATCGTCATCAAACTTTATTCTAATATACATAAATATTTTTATTGGTATATGAGATTATTACATCAGTCAAGACAATTTATGAGTTAATAGTCACAATGAAATAGATTGCATAGATACTTATATTAGGTATAGAGTACAAATTGATATTAAGAAGACAGGTGTTTTAATATTTTCATATACCCTTGTAAATATTCATGAGTAAAGTCTGGCAACATTCAATTTGGATACAATATTTTTCACTTATATGTATCGTTTACAAAATCATATGGAACCAAATGGTACATATATGATTGGAAATAAACAACATTGTTGGGGATGCTAGATCACCATAAATCACTTGGTAAACATCTCATCTTTGTAATTTTATTTTGAAGTTTTGAGTTTCTTACTACCGCTCCAAAAGCGGTCACCTTTATCTTCAATTTTTATTTCCCGCTTGGAAGGACCTAAAATATCATTGGTTTGTTTCCTCTCTAAGTGCTCTATTTTGTGATGTTTTCCAAGGACATTTTTGTACTGTATATATGAGTTGTTTGTTCGTTCGTGATTCCGGGCTGCTTGTGGAATATACATCTCCCTCGGTTGAATCTGGTCTTCTCTCTCTAGTTAGCAGGGCTGGAATGCAATGGAATAGTTTAGCTTGCCCTGTTGTGTTGTGTTACTAACCTCCGTTTTGTTCGCCAGTTTTAGGTGATGTAATCTCTTCAAGCGTAGCAACTACCATATTCAACTTAGAGTGAATTTTTATTTGAATCTTCTTACAATCTTATTCAAAAGTCACACTGCATATGACCTTCTAAAAACAAAGAATACAACAGATATATTGGTTTGTTGATAAATATAAATAAACATCTATTGATACATTTTTTTGTTTTGTCAAACAAACATATTCTGATAATAATCACTTCATTCAATAAAGTTCTTAGTAAAGCCATTATTATCATTAATTTCAGTATGTTTTTTCCTCTATGTTTATATTTTTTAAAGTTTTAAATGTACTTTTATGCCATCTGTTTGTGTTTCCTTTTTAATCAAATGAAATTTCGGTATTGTTAGTTTTTTGTTTATTTAAAAAGTTATTGTTATCTAGATTTGAATGTTTCTATTACAATAGAACTTTCCATTATATTCTATTGGTTGTTTGGTCTAAATAAGATAAAATTATGATCAGCATGATATGACTTGTATTACTCTACATATGTTCAATAACAATTACTATTTTAAATCTTTATTATTCATAGTTAATGCTTAGAGTCGATCAACAGAAAACCCTGGATGTATGTTCTCTGTAGGTTTGTACTCTTCATTAAGAAATAGCTTCAAAATTGAAAGGACTGTTGTGCTCGTGAAAATTTGAAACACAATGACCTAGTGGCTCAGTTAAAGATGCTACAATTAAGTTATCCTTTTCCCAACTGAGTTTCTAATCATACTAATCGCCACCGACTAGTATCCGATGTTATGCTATCTCTAGTCTTTAATAGCAATAGAATTTATCAACTAGTTTGCAGTGTCTCCACTGAAATAAATGATTTGACTTTGTAGTACACTGTGTCGGCGATCAAAAGTTTCGTGATGTTCTGGTATTATACGTAGATTATTTGAGTAAAGGTGAGTTTACATAAAAAAATATCAGTAAAAATTTGACGAATAGATTAAAATTGATCAATATCTTATACATATCAACCACTAAGAGATTCATAACAAATTTAAGGTTCGCGCGCGAGACCGATAGGTCCTGAGTTTGAATCTCGCGAGGCGGGAGGATGGATGTGTTCTGCTGAGGAGTCCCATAATATGAAGAAACGGCATTCCAGTGCATCCAGGTTTTCCATGGTGGTCTAGCTTCAATTGAATCATGATCTCAACTATTAAAATTACTATAATATCCATAAAAAACCCCTTCTGATATTTTAGATTCGTTATAGTTTGCTCATTTTTTTGTTTCTGTTCTTTAGGGAGATATAAGCAGACCTGGTGATATCTCACAATTTGAAGATTCAGATGCAGAATATAGCAGAGAGACTAAATATTCAACCTTGGTGAGTGTTCAATTCATGTAACTCTTGAAAATATATCGATTCGAATACCTATATCCTTTTTAATTAAATCTCCAATCACAGATTGATATCATTAGAAATCAAGATTCACTGCACAGTTTTCCTTTTATGGCTGGAGACATTCTTTTAATTTACCATGTCTGACATACCACGTAATTTGAAAATTATGATTCATACTATTGGTAATGGGTTTTTATTATGACGTTGTAAATATCATACCTTTTCAATATGTTATTGGCTATCTGGACTCTGTATTTTAATGGATAACGCACTAGCTTTTGTAAGGAAAGGTATTAGGTTAGAGTCATGGTTTCTATGTGCACACATGGTTGCAGGTGTATGCTCCTGAGTTCTAAATATGAAAAAATTCACGTCCTGAATATAAGTGCTTTAACCATGTCGCATCTGAAATTTATGCTGTTGCGTTCATTTTTGGCTTTTGAAGACAAATTATAGTGATCCATCTACAAAAAACTGGTATGTTTTTGATTGATTTACTTTTCATTGTTTATTGGAATTTTTCTCTCAAAATTTACAACTCATTACCAATTATCTATACAGGTACTCCGTAATGAGTTATATTTTTTTAAGGAAGCTGTAGAGATAATATCTAGTTGCCTAAGTAGAATGGGCATAGGGGTTGTCAGAAACTGTAACAACAGTCATTTAAAGTTACCTGCTTTAACAACGAATCAAATGCTTCACTTACATGACTAATGCCTGACCATAGCTCCTACCTAGGTATATTTGCGCAATAACATTAACGCCAAATTACTTTTTATTTGTTTGTTTATTTTTAATCTTTACATTTTCAGCCAAATCAATCATCTTATTTAAGCGGTGTCATACCGTATCTCGGTGTATTTCTTAGTGATTTAACTTTATTGCATCATTCGTCACCGGATTATATCAGTCGATCAAAATATTCCCCATCAAATGTGAATAAACAAGAAATTAATACTAATAATCAGAAAAGTGCTCTCTCTTCTACTAATACTACTACTATTACTGATAATAATAGTAATGATGATATTAATTCACCAGTGATCAGTGCCATAAATAATACTAATTATTTTTCAAAACAATCAGTTAAAAATCCGTATGGTAAAATAAAGTTATTGCATATATCAGATCAACTTGGAAATTTTACCCGAAGTACACCTGATTTATCAGTAGTAGTAGCATCGTCATCAACCGTACAATCAGATAATAACAGTACGAAACAATCTTGGAAATTATTGAAAAATGTATCGAACACAAATGCTTCACCCGTTAAACCATCAGTTTCTGCTGATCGTAATGATAATATCCAATTAAATGGGCGTGTCAAGGTAAATATAATTTCACAAAATGCTATGGAGATTAATTTGTTTTTCTTTTGCTTGGGCAAAAGGGTTTAAATTATAATTTAACTTTAACTATTATTATCACTGTCATTACTGTTATCGATTTCGTCCAAAATATATTCCTCGGATTGATTTACGTGATTTAGTTTTGAAATGGTATGTAATCAATAAAATGAATTCAACTTGGATAACTTATCAGACTAACCATCTGGAAATGAATTAGATAGATATCAATTTATGCCTGTATGATTGACTGTTGTATTCTTAGACCAATATGCAACCACTTCACCTCACCATCGAGTTATTCATTTTTCTTCCCATCTATACCATAGTATGGCTTATTTGTTATTCCTTAATTTTGTACGCTAAGTGTATTGGTAATGAATATAATTGAGGGACAAATACTTACACTCTTCAGTAGTATCCTTCTTTTACTAGCTCACGTTGGAATCTTTTAGTTTTATTTCTACGACTTTGACCTGATTTGGCCTCTGTGACAGAGACAGGAACCTATAATTGATCTTTATAGGTAGAGGACTTTCCTGGGTTACAATTTTCTGATCACAAATGTCTCATAAAAATTGCGTGTGTGTATTAGGACTGTAATGAACGAATACTCAGATGGGAACGTCCAAATGTATTTTTGCTACAAAATTACAGAATGTCTTGATAAAATATGAGAACCATACATTGAATACTTCATTTGCGAATTTCCATCATTTGTCCTTCACATTCTGCATGATTCTTCATGTTCGCAATTTCTTTCTATTTCCCTTTCTATTCTCCTCAACTTGATCTTCTTAGCCTTCTGCTGCCAGTGTTTCCACTTCCGATTGGTGTTATATACTACCTATGTCGACTGACATAAATAACATACACCACTGAACCACCGGTCAGCATTAAAGCTAGACTTAGGGTATTGGACACAAATAGCAAAGTGGTTAGTACGATTGTGAATCCTCACGACCTGAAGTGGTTAGAACGTATAATATGTAGAGTCGTTCACACCCTACCTCGAAGCATGATGACGACTGACTGGTGTAGGAGTAGATTGGAAGAAACCTAGGTGCGCCTGAACAAAGACATGTGATAGATCCAATAAGTCGTTTACTGTTGGTCTGGGACATTTGATCAGGTTTAGATCACCTTTTTAGATTCCATGCGATTACCAAAACCAGGGACCGTTGGGTAGAATTGGTCCCCAAAACCTGAGTTTCGAAAGTATTTTTTACTTTATATTCTACAGATTCACTCTTTCTTTCCGAAATTAATTCTCTACACCCATTCTTTTTTATAACTATTTATGCTACTACTGGTTAACGCTTTTTGGCAGGTTTCTTTTCTACGGGATAGAGTTATAACCCCATACTCAAATCTTATCTGTCATCCGGGCATTAGCCGTAATAGGACTCCAGTATGAGTTGATACTACTTCTACTACTCTGATATTCATATTGTTAATCTAGTCTCACTTTAGTAATACGATGTGACAACTTGGACCAAATAACATATATGTCAGGTATTCTTGTTTATTATGACTGACTGGTCATTAATCAGAAATTTTAATCAGTTATGTATAGTATTCAGTATTGTTAATATTACTACTTGGTTCATATTTAGTGAGAATAATTTAGTCCTCTGAATTGTTTCAAGAACCTAAATAAACTAATAATCTGATATTTTTGGATTCTTTTAATCGAAGACTATCAATATTACCAGTGCTAACTTATACATGGACTGGTCACTAATTCATTAAAATTTAGCTGTTAAGATCAAAAGTCGATCATGAAAATTGTTTGAAATGTGTTTTTTTTCTCAAATATTTAAATAATAACTGTGACTACTTTTACGGGTTTGTATTCGTTGAGACGGGATCAATCATAAATTTCTTATTACTGATCTAAGTTGTAAACGTCATTTTTTACTGATATAACACTATTCTTCTTTTTTGGGGGTAACTTTAATGTTTCTTTTATATATTATAACTTCTCAGTAAGTATTATCCAATCAGATTGTTTCAGTGTTAGATATCACTCACGTGTATCTATTGTACAGAGAGCTACCTTTTACGTCGTTGTTTTAACAATTTAAGTCACATGATTATAAACGATTTGACCCTACAGTAATAATAATAATAACATAAAATACTTGATTAGTCATTAGAAAAATGTAATTTATACTTCAAAATCATCATTGTTGCGTGTAATTTCGTAACTTGTCCGAAAATATCTCAATACTGGTTATATATCTTATTTGAAGTAAATTGTTGTTTGATGTATCAATCACGGTCTTGATCTTGAATTTCAACTAGTCGATTACATTAAACAAGTCATCGTTACATGAAACGGTGGCTCAATTGTTTTTTGCGTTTGACTTTAACCCGCTAATTCGCAAGTTGGAACCTCACTACACTTATCCCGGTTTAGGTAACTGAGTAGTCCCACTAAGCGTCGCACTAAGAGTATAGTTTGAAGCCAAGTAAAAGAGTCTGTACGTGGTAAATGAGTTAAATAAACAAAACTTCAAGTGAATTTTTAACTTACTTACCTATATTATCACAGCCATTCATTTACCATAACGTAATTTCCTTGTGATTTATGTATTAACACTAAATATGCTGAACCCAATACTTCCAGACATATTTTCTGTTTATTTAATGAACGAGTGCCGGATATTAAAGTATAATCTTCATCAAAATGTTCATTTGAACTTCGAGTTATCCACAACCGTCTCAGATGGATTTGCCCAGTTTAACGCAGTTCGACATATTGGAATAAAAAAATGAAAATTTTGATGAAAATAAGAGTATTATGCAGTGATCACTTACTAGATAAACAAGAAAATGGTCAAACGGTCTGTGTACAGCACAGAGCACTGAAAACATTACGGATAACTTGAGATCATCGAAAAAGTGATGATAATAGTTACTAGTGTATTTTTGTGATTTATCAGTTTGCTTAAACATGTCATATATTATTCAAAAGTGGATTGTCTGATATATACAGAAGGCTGTTAAAGACATCAGAGAAGAATAATGATCTAAGTGTATTGACAATAAACTTAAATATAACTAATTATATAATATATACTATTATTGAAAGGTTGTTAGTAGAATTAATTTTATGGTTGCTGATTCATTAAACTAAAAATGAGTTAAATTATTGGGATATAGATTATGTATGTTAATTATTTAACAATGCAATCAATTACATCCTAGTATTTTCATAATAATTTACGGGGGAATTCGCTTGTGCCACGTAATAAAAAAACATGGACTAAACTAGTTGTACTAGTAGTTCATATTTAAGTAATTAGGAATGATTAAGTTTCAACAGTATCATCAATTAACATTAAAGATTAACACGATTTTTAATTGCTGATGCCTCAGATGAAAACCAACCGTAATTTGCTATTATGTGCTTAAATAAAACTATTCTCTGACCTAGAATTCGGTTCTCAATTGTTGGTCCGAGTTGTGCATCTGTGTATCACGTGATCTAACTATCAGATATCGTTATATATATGGTGTTAGTGTGTTTATCTTTTTACCTACCAGTCGACTATCTATTCTAGTATCGTATTGGCGATACTTATTTTTGTCGTTTCAATAACAGATTTTGCTGTTACTTGTAGTATTCAATGCTCTCTTGAGTACTTATCACTCATCAAAGTATTACCTTCAGTTTATATCTTACTCTTTATTAAACTGTCTTATTGTCGTCCTCGTTTACGTCGTTAACATATGGCCTTTCCAAAAACCGTTAAGCTATTAGTCTTGTATTACCGATTTAACAAAAGCTCAAGAACTTCACACATTCTTCTCAATGTATACCTATGAAAATAACTATTGTTGTTCATTCAACTTTAATTTTAAACTGTAATAATACTTTATATATCCTTTCCCTTATCTTCACTAAACAGTTTCAGTTTGTGTTTTTTTTTCAATAATAAATCAATACTGTCATCTTTTTTTTCTCAAACTGTAACAGAGTAAATCACTCATGTGATTTAATCTACCTAACTATACCAATATTTTATTTTAGATATTTATAATTTATTTATTTATCTATTTATTCTGTTTCATTCTGATAATTTTATTAAGAAGTATTAAGGATCATCTCTTTACGTATATGTGTATTGACATAAACAATCATATGACTGTAGATAAGACAAAATGAGTAGCTAGAACTATAAAAAAAAATAATCCAAAGAGATTTATCAATATTTTCTCCAGTATAGTGGTACTTTTCTAGATGAAATATCTCCTTACTCTCATCTGGATTAATATCTGTCTTGATAAGATTATTATTCATGTGATAGTCATGATGTTCTCATATCCTTTGTTTTTTATCTTTTTGTTAAGTAATAAAAGTACTAAGATTGCATACAGTTGCTAACGTATATTCATCAATAAGCTTAAAGATCAAGGTAGCATCTTGAAAACAATTAGCTTGACGTGCAACTAAAATATTTTTCATGATAGAAGATATATTAGACTACAGACATATATGGTTTCCTTATGTTAACTTTTATGATTTACTTGTGTATGGATGAATTTTGAACGACTCTTACTTGACCTTGAGAAAATTCACCTACTTACTGAGGTCAAAAGAGGGTTATAATTTCGTATGAGGAATTATTATTAGGATTGAGAGTTAGAAATTTGGTATAGTATTCAGAGCTAGGGTTTTCATCACTAACTGATATTGTGGTGTGGTCTACTTATATTCATATAAGTAGTATATGGCGATGGTCAGACATAGAATGTATTTTGGCAAAAGACCGATGAGGAAAGAACTGAAATGAAGCGCAGTCGCTTGGAAAATGCATGAGCAATGGAATAAGAGAAGAAACAGTGAAGATTGAAACAATTGGTTGTTAATTTGCAAATTGACTGTTCGTTGTTTGGTTATCAGAATTTACTGAGATAGTCTGTAATCTTTGCTTAAATACATTCGATTGTCCCCAACCAGTGTTCTGTTCACTACATTTGGTGTCGCTGCCAACCGGGAGGAGGAAGGGTGCTGTTCTGCGGACGCCGATGCCGGTCTGGTGTTGAGGTGCTAGTTGGGGCAGTCTGGTGCGGAGAATTGGCGTCGATTGGAGTGTTCTGGCGGGGCGGCGTTGGCTGTGGCGGGTGCTGTCGACGGAGAGAAGCAGTGGGACGTGCGGCTGCAGGGCGGACATCGAATGTAGATGACTCAGCAGGCCGGTGGAGTAAGGATGTTGAACGTCCCAGGTGCCGGGTGGATGCGGATGTTGGTGCCCCGGCTGTTGGATATCAGTGTAGTAATCTAGAGACTAAACGTTCGCGCGCGAGACAGGTTCTTAAGTTTTATTCCCGTATGGGCACTACTGAGTAGTCCCGTACTAAAACAAAACGACTATCCAATGCTTCCCTGTCTAGCTAAGATCTGTTCTCAATTGAAACTATGAATAATTTAACCTGCTTGGGATTCAAATTTTAAACATCACTGATGTTTATTATCCTTCCATTTTTTGTGTGCCTAGTCAACTTAACATAACTGATGATAATATTGTGTGACAACAATCATTTCAGAAAAAGGTCTACACTTGAAAATAAATATTGTTACCCCGAACAGCAAAATCTTGTAATAATATTGTTAACTATTCAGTTAACAATCCATGATGTAAATTATGAAAATTCAAAAGTCTGCCTTATGATCTATAGCAATAATATTGTGCTCACTAGTCACTAACTTTGAGTGACAGTTCAAGGAGTTCTAGTGAAAGGCTGTGACTAGTGAAGTTTAACCAGGTCAAATGTGAGACAGTTGTCCGCTACGGGCGACGAAGGACTGTTGCGTAGCATCACCAGTTGATTGAAATTATATGTGTATATTATTGGTTTCTGACTCATCAGTTTCAAGGTCAAGGACTCATCGTCATACCTAAAAGTCCTGGATCAGACCCTTGGAAGAAATCATGGCTACCCGCTTTCGAGGAGTACCATACTATCTCTTTTTTCAGTGGTTGTCTAACCAAGATCTGTCTACCATATAAGTTATGAATATTCAGTTATTATTTGAGTGATCTTTCATTATAATTTGTTAATCAATTATTTTTTTCGTCAGAAGACTTATCATAGTTGTAATGATAATTTCAGTACTTACTGGATGAACACTGATCTCTAACCCGTTTAAAACATTCGGAAAATAAAGTTTTAGCATAATGATTTAATGACTGAGTTTTTTTACTACTGTATCACATATTTGAGCCCAGCTAAATTGTACCTAGACTCACTTGATAGCTATCTAATAGTAGTATCAGCATTCACGAACATTATCGTGACCTTAAGCATTAACACATACGTGATTAGAGTCACATGATTTGGTAAAATAATTATTTTCATCCTGATAAAAACTAAATTTACAGTTCCATATTTTCTTACTGAGTTGGAGCTTGATAAGCGTTAGCTGTTATATAACTCTAAGTGGATTAGTGAACCTCCTTTAAGAGTTAATTAAAGGTTGAAACGTCTGTCATTCGAACCACTGTTCAAAGAATGCATTTACCATAGATTTAATGGAGTAATAATTCAATTGTTAGAATACTCAATTTCTAAAGACTGGTTCTCATGTTTAAACTCCACCTACCTTGATTTAACAAACCGAACAGTATTATTATCGGCCGTCCCATAAAGTCGAGTACATAAGCCTATCTTTAGACACTGAGTTAGAGTTTATTGATGAATTCATAAGAAAATGCTTTTAAAAAGCTTTGTTCAATATTCATCTGTCTATAAAGAATGTTCAATATGTTATCTAGTTGGAGGTGGTTAGCTTGAAACACTGGATCCAGGCTTCATGTTAGTTAACATTACACATCATGTAATATGTGATCAAATTTGTTTCAGATTGTTTATTAGCTTAATAAATGAATATATATATATATATATATATATATATATATATATATATATATATATATGCACACTATTTACACATTTTAGTTTGTTATAATTTTTATAGAAGGAAAAGTTTGGCCTTTCTAGGCGTCATTCTACAATCGATAGCACTGATGATAAATTAATCAATCTGGATAAACATCGTCGAGAGTTTAAAATTTTAGCAAATATTTTTCTTCTTCAACAAAATGCTCAATTTTATTCACTTAGACCCGAACCAGATTTTACTACATGGTTTCATTCTTATCCATTAATCTCAGAAAATGAAGCGTAAGTTTGTCTCATCAGTTATTTTTATTGTCATTTTCTTTATCAATATTTGTGTTATTACAAAACAGATCACAATAATTTTCACTTGCAAGGATATGTGCTTACTTTTTGGGGTTTTTTTTTGTTAATTTTAAAGAAAGTTTTTCACCATGACCTTATGCCATTGAAAGATATCTTGAGAATCAGAGATAGTGTGGATGTTTTTGGGATAATTTAACAGTGGACATTGAGTGTAGAATGCTCTTTATCTCAGAATTACTAAATTTGACAAAATCTTACTCATTGTGAAACTATGGTATCAGGAATTTAATCATTGGTGTTGTTGTAAATTCCAAAAACCAAGAAGTTTAATATTATATTGAGACAGATCCCTAGTGTCACCGGGTTCTAAACAGTTGATGCTGAAACTTCCTTCAAGTCATTGTATTTTGAAACTCATCTACACTTAAAGCCCCCTCGATAATCCAACATTCGTAATCAGTAGTTTTCAAAACCTTTTTTGTATCTTAGATCTGGTTAATGTTAAAACATTTGGAATAGCTTCAGTTAAAACGAGAGTGCAAATATGTCTTATCAATGTGTGCCAACTAAACCCAGGCTTAATTTTATGATTTTCTATCAGTTACTATCAACTATCTAATATTTAAAGCTGAGATCCATAACTAAGTCGATCATTTCCCATCTGGCTCCGAAGTGCAAATAGCCTGTTATTTCTTTCTTATACCTTTTTATTTATTCTGATTGTATTGAATATATTCTCATAATTTGTTTATTCACTTATTATTTATCTTATAACCACAGTCTCAATCGTTCTTGTGATCTAGAACCAGCTGATGAACAAATGCAACAGCATATAAACAGACCTTTCAGGTAAGTTTTAATAATTAAATTGAGAATTCATCCTACTTTCTTTCTAATAACGATTGCAGTACAAAAAATAATCACTTAAAGTTTATATAATCATATCTTCACAAAATTTAATAATATTCAAGTACACTGCCATATATTTAGAATTGTCGATCAAACATCATGTTGTGTTGTGTGTAAACACCAAATATCCGTTTCGATATAGAAGTAGATAGTTCAAAAAAGATTTTCAATTTAATGATCCAGTTATCTTGTTCAATTTTATGTACTAAGTAAAGCTAAAGTCCTGATCATTAAGTATACAAGTTTCTTAGTATTGTGAAACAAGTTAGTTTATTTATCAAGCTGTAAATAACTAGTAAATAGTCACATTGCCAACGATCGATTTGCATCAATCAAATATTATATAAAACGATGAATAAATACTGCGCTTATAAATATTGAATACAGTAATATCATAGAGTATCGATTTCAGTTGTTGTATAAGACACAACTGTTGTAATTTTTCAAAGCATAACAACTTGAATGGATGTTATTCAAAGCTCTACATAGTTTCCATCATGCCAGACAATTGTATCAAATATAGCCGACACTTTATGAACTAGAAATTCTCCTAGACCAACTCACGTCTACTAGTTTTTAGCCAAATAAATATCTTATTAAATAATTCTATTCAACTCATGTTAAAGAAAATTCTTCGGTAAGATGTATTGTCCAGTCAAATGTATTTTTACTGAGGCCCCCGAATGCCCTGATACGGCCGAGAGTGGAAAGAGTCAGCTCTCCCTTTCGAGATGCTCATAAAGCCACGCGTATACGACCACTGCCAGGGAAAGCCTACTCACTGCCTTCTCGCGAAGGAGCTGTTATTTACAAAATTGAATAGGCGGAAAGCGAATGTCCGGCACTTTAACCGGGTTGGTGGACACGATGAGTCCATATAGGGTAGTTGGAAAACCCTGATTCCAAACCAATGGTGCACATGGGCTCCAAGATCCTGATGGAACGAATGGATCATGAACTAATCGTTGGTCACCGGCTAACATGGTACTGCATCTCTTTACGATGCAACACTGCCTTGTGGATCAGACCTTTAGGTCGAAGGCTCGGGGTGTGGCCCCCTGAAAAACCACCTGCTTCGGTTTGGGCTTCCGAGCAATATCTCAGCTCTCACGCAAGTCGAATGATTTATGTGGCGTATATATATTTAGTGCCTCCTCGTACCAATGTTTTTGTGTTTAAATAAACAAATAAATACTGAGTGAATAAAACAATCTCTGGAGAAAATATAGAGGTCAGTCTAGTGCATTACTTCATTTTACATCGTTTAACTAAGTATTGATTTTTCTTTAAGGAAATGTCAGCATTCAGATAGGAAATATTCCACGCATTCTTGTGTTCTCAGGGAAGGTATTCGAAATTCCTTACATTTTTTCAGGATCAGGTCTATGTCAAGTTGTATGAACGATGTCAAATCATAAGATTGACAATGCTGAATATTCATAACATCTCGCTTGATTACTTGAGATAACAGAATGTTTGTAAGCTCTAACTTCATAAATGTTAGTGTGAATGGCCTTCATTGGAATCACTTTATTAAAAGATTCTACGATCACTAACTAGTAGCTACATTTTCATTTTTATTGTTGTCTTGTACATTATGTAATGCGTCATCCTTTTTGTTCTAATCTACATTTACCAGAAGGACTTTTGGGAAAACAATCGGTGAATGCTATTTTAGCGCTCTTTTTTCTATAGTTCATTCAAACAATAGCCTTTACAGTTTGTTTCATTTCTGAAGTGTTTTACATGAATTTCTGTTATTTAAAATATCAGTAAAAGTCCATCTGTTCAGCTTTCAAGTTTACTGCTTAGCGTAAAGTTACTTCACATTAGGTTTCTGACTCTTACAATCAGTGTTTTTTTCTAACCGATATGCTTCAAACTAAGGACTAAACAATTATATATTAAACCCTGTTTTGCTTTTTAGGAGATTTTCAATCGATTTAAGTGCGGTAAAACCGTCGTCAAAACCAATTTTACACTATAATAACTTGAAATGCGTCCTACCTAACTATATGCTATGTTCGTGAAACAGTGTCATAAGTGTTTAAGTATTCACCTTTCAACCAGTTAGTCCGCAGTTTAAACTCCGTTTATTTCTGTTTTAGCAGCTGATTAGTTTTTACTAGCTATCCATTAAACAGTGTGCCTAAAGATTAAGCGCATAAACCTGTACTTCAGAAGTTACATAAAATTATTAAGTGAATGTTAGATTAACTTCTTATTTCTAATTCTCATTCAGCGCATCTCCATACACATTTGATACAAGTGATTCAAGTGGTGCAGTCGATATAATAAATACTAATAAACCACGACATCAACGTAATGATACAAATATCCATGTGGAAAGATCTAAATATGCTATAACCCGTCCACCCAGTGCTACACCTATATATGCCACTACTACTACTACTACCTCAATCATGAGGAATCCTAATACTCACATTAGTAATATTAGTAGTAGTACCAGTGGTAGTCTAAGTCGAAATAATAAATCACGAATTAATGGAACATATTCATCAAGTGATTTACTTGATGATATCAAATACAACAGGTCAACAACTACTGACGAACTAATCACAGGAAATACTTTGGATATTTCGAATCAGCAAAAGAATCACAAACATAATATGAAAGTAAGTAACTATTTTATTGAACTGAAGTAGAAATAGGGTAAAAGTGAAATTTTCCTGGTAATTATTTATTAAACAATTGTTTAGTAATATATTTCCATTGTGTTTAATGTAGGCTATCTTTTAATTCATTAGATATTGCATTGTCTCTTGCCTTTTGTAAATTCAGTTATTTAGCTGATATATATATATATATATATATATATATATATATATATATAACTTAGCTTTATATCGAAAATGTTCCAGTTATGTACCTATTCAGGTCCATAAATCGTGGTAGCTTATGCCTTGTGATTTTGCTTGTCGGATCACGTGAATTATGAGAAGAGTTTATCGACTATACTTGTAACCACTTATCTGGGTTTTTTTTACTATTTTAATAAGAAATTCGATCAAGTAGGAATATGTGTGGTCTGTAGATTGCTTAATAATAAAAGTGCTAAGATACAATTGTTCAATATAATTCCAATAACATAGAAGAGTCAAAAAGCATTTGTTTCCACTTATATTATTTGAAATCATGATGTGATTGTTACTAATAAAATTTCTTGGATAGATTTCAGTAATGTGAATATAGGTTTTCTGTGTTAACTGTTCATTATTTAGTTCTTACAACAAAATTATTGATTAAAGAGAATCGATTTGGTACAACCGAGTAGATTGCACTAAATAACACAAATTAAAACAAATACTGTTGCTATTCGTAATTTACTACGTCTAACCGAGCTCCAAAAATATCCGATGACACCTGTCCTGGAAGCTCAGATAATAGTTATTTAATAAAAATACAACTTTTCAAATGCATTTTTAACTATATGAATATTTAATTAGATAATAAATCTGCTAGTATCATTGCCAAGGGCTGACTTGATACTTCCCAATCAACTGGACATTGAACAGAATGTTGATGATAAAGTAATGATAATATTTTTGATATCCCAATTAGTAAAAACCAGAATCTCGAGTGTTTTAGTTTAATTCAAGTCGCTTTTCCAGAGTAAATAAATAAATAACCAAAATCAGATTGACAAAGATATTCTGTCTTGTTCCTCTAGGCTATCTAAATTTCTGTTTATTTTATTTTGATCATTTATTGACTGACTCTGAAGAAACAGTTCAAATTAAGTTGCAAAACGTTGAGTTATCACGAATGTATCATAATGTTTACACATGAACATCCATCACAACTTGAACGAATAGTTTGACAAAAATTAGACCCTGAAACACAGTTATACGTAAAAATCATATTTGAATAATCCCTAAAGAATCTCAGATTATTTTTCATATTGAAAACATTTTCAATTAATTCGAATGCGAAGTATTTGTTCACTGATTACCTCGACAAAAGTATAAATTGTACATGAAGATCACTGAGGCCATACAGTGGCATAAATCAAAATGCATATTGGATAAAGTTGTTTGTTGTCCGACAAAAGCCTGTCAACCTACTACTGTGGACATTTAATAGATCTCAATAACACGATTACTAAAATTAGTTTGACAAAGAAAAGTTATTTACTAGCGAGAAACATCTTTAGATTTTATGAAATAAATATACTTTAGTTACGTTTATTCCCACACAATAATATCAGGTAACGTTCTCGTCACAGAAAGAATAATTTACGTGATATGTAATATTCATAAGTGTTTTAGCTATCGATGGAGCAGACTATTAAATTAAATAAGAATTTTCCATAACGATTCTTTCTTTCCATGTCTCTACCATTCTCCATAATGATTCAACAATTAATTAAGTGTTAAAGGAGAAATAAGCCACTAGAAGGAACAAACGTTTTACATTTGGAAATAAGCTGCATAATTATGACACAATTTTGTAGAGATCCTGTCGACAAACGAGCTTGTCGGAAATAACCTACTTTTACAATTTCTAAACGATGTTGTGTAATACGCTCCTGTTGATCACTGTTTACAGATAAAAATCCTTAGAAATTAGAATCATTTCAGTAGTGTAGTACAATCACAGCATAGTTTTTAACAATTCACATATATATTAAAATTGAGATTTTCATGATGGCGGATGATTGATGCAACGATTGAGTGTTTTATCATGATTCAGTAGAGATACTCTGTGGTTTACTTTACAGCAGTCATTGGAAACGAGAAATCACTGAACGGCTATCCTGTTCCAGTACCGGATCCCTCAACAGCGCGCATCAGTCACTGGTGATCGAACTGAGGACCTCCAGTTTTCGCGACTAGACCTCAACATTTAGATCACTAAATCAACAATATCGTGAATCGACTGAAGTTAAAAATGCTAATCATCGTGTATGACTCATCGGTCTAAAGATTAAGCGTACACTGCGCAACCCATAGTTCCTTGATCCGAACCCCAGTGGAATCGTAGATATAGACCTTTGAGGAGCACTATACTAGGATGAAGCAGCTACCCAATACTTCTTGCTCTAAACTGGTTCTCTTAACAAGACAAACCTGTGATGTAAACTATCGAACCCTACAGTTTTCACAGTCTCTTCATACTACTAAGAATAGAAAAATTATCGTATTCACAATGCACTCATGAAGATTCTCTTGTCATTGAGATTAACTAACTGATGGGTTATATGACCTTGATATTGTCCGTTAAGAGTTAGTTGACTACCGATAAATGATAGGACTCCATATAGCTGACTACCTTTAGATGCCATTTAACACTAAATCATCATACTTCATAAACTCTTCTTTTCAACCTTTGTAGACATCAACTTCTAGATGGACTACACACAAAAGTTCATCAACTACATTCGATACACGTAATGATTACAGTAGTAACAACAGCAATTTATCCATTACTATTTCTTTGCATCATACAAGTAGTCAGCATGATGGTCGTGTATCACCATTTATTGCTAAAGTTGCTCATTTAGGTAGTCTGTCTCATGGATCTCATGGCCATAATGATAATCACTTTTCTCATTCGAAACAAACACAACCCATAATTCAGTTGGTAAGTATTTAATAACAAGTATAAAACCTATCTATTTATTCATTTGTATTAGATATTTTAAATGAAATGTGGGGAAAGTTTCAAAATGTGCTCTAACTGATAGAATATATGGTATTTAGAGGGAGATTCTAAAGTATCAAAAATACTATTTTCCGATCATTGATTTCTCGAAACGTTTGATGAATATATCTTCATGGGGTACAGTATAGGTAAGTTTGTAGGATCTTGTTAACATCAGTCTTGTGATGTGCTTCATAGAAGAATGAAACGGCAGTCCAGTACTTTTTAGATTAAGATCTTACTTACTCTGGTTACGTCACGTAGCACAAAGGCTTCATAACAAAGATCTCCGACCATCTCTCCCCTGGTCTCTTCTTTCCATTTGTTTCCAAGTTCTATTCATTCTTTCAATGTTCGCTTCCGATTGCATAAGCAATGTGCTCTTTGGTCTACCCTTTTCCTTAAGCCTTCAGGATTCCGAAATAGGGCTTGCCTTGTGAAGCATGTCCTACCCACATCCAGCGTATTTACCTAATCTCCACTTCAGTGGGAAGTTGATTTGTTCTCTCCCACAGTAGGCTGTTGCTGATGGTATCCGGTCGACAGACATTGAGTAAATTGTGTAGACAATTGTTTATGAATAACTTTGATGTTTTGATGATGGTCGTAGTCGTCCTCCAAATCTCAGCTCTACACACTAGAACTGTCTTGACTTTCTCACTGAAAGTTCTGACTTTGATGTCGGCTGACAGTCGTTTAGATTTCTATATGTTCTTCAACTGTAGGAATCCTGCCCTTCATTTAACAATCATTGCCTTCACATCTGCATTAGATCCTTTCTGTTTATTGATGATGTTGTCCAGGTACTTTGAACATTTCACGCCTTCTACGGTTTCTCTATGAAGTGTGATTGGGTTGGTATTTTCCTTGGGTATATTGAGGCCCACTTCTGTATAACCTGATGCTACATTGACTGTCTTCACTTGAATTTGTTGCTGCGTATGAGATAAGGAAGCTTGGTCACCTGCAAAGTCCAAATCGTCTAGTTGCATCCTAGCTGTCCATTGTATTCCGTGCTTCCCCCGAGATATGGATGTCTTCAAATTCCGGAAAACAACCAAACAAAAGAGGAAAGGCAAGAGTATGCAGTCTTGTCTGACACTGGTCCTCACTGGGAATGTGGCCGTCAGTTTTCCTCCATGCACAATATCGCAGTGTAGTCCGTCTTATGAATTCCGCATGATGTCGACGATTTTCCCCGGTACACCATATTGTCGAAGATGGTTCCATCAGGTTCTCCTATCAATGTTCAATGTGTTCTACCCACCTGCTCCTCTTTTCTTAAATCTCAGTTATTAGCTTGGCTTCTTTGTTATTGACTGGTCTCTCTGCTTTACTATATTCCCTTACTAGTTTCTTCGTTGGATCATATAGTTGTCCTTAATGTTCTTCTCTTTCAGTTTCTTCCACTTTCATTGCTAGGTCTTTCATGTATTTCTGTTTGTCAGCTCTAATACTCCTCTTCACTTTCTTGTTTGTTTGTATGTTCGATCTGTGCCTTGACTTTCTCTGCTCTTGTTTGACTGTTGTTAATTGCTGTATTCTTGTTTTCCTTTTCTTCAATGTTTCTCAAGCTATTTATCTATAGAGATCAACTGTTCATGCTGGTGCTACTTACGGTTAAGCATCTGACACTGAACTTATTGCTTGTTTAGTCCTTTTCCAGTTCTCCATGGCGGTCTGATCTTCATTTTGTGGGACTTGTAAGGCATTGAACTTATTACTAAGAGTTATCTTGAATTCGTTGAGTCTATCGGTACTTCAAAGAAAGATTGTATTAAACTTTCATGATACTGTGTACCTAGTTGTCTAATGCTTATTTAGTTTCAACTAGACCACCACCAGGTGGTGGTGATCTGAAACTGTATTAGCTCCTCGTTTTGTTACTACATCTTCCATGGACCTAAATCTTCTGTTGGTGCAGATGTGATCGATTTGGTTCTATGTACGATGATCCGGTGAGACCCATTTGGATTTGTGCATGCGTCTGTGGCGGAATACAGTCCCAAGTAAATTTTCAAGTTTCTCATGATTCTCGTTTCTTTCTCCAAGTTCATTCCATGCCAAGATATCTTCGTATCCGATTTTGTCTATCCCAACTTTTCTTTAACGTCTAGCTTAAGTTAATCAATGATGTAGGTCATTCTCCTCTCCCTGTGTATAGTCTCTCCCTTAGCTGCGGTCACATAGTGGTAAAGAATCCCATACTACGATAAAACCGCCTACGAGCACTACTCTTTTAGATGGTTCCCCAGCTGATATCAATTCGTGACTTTAACCATTGTCCCTCATCCAAACATTTTGTTAGAAATGAGCAGTTGAACAATCATCATGACTAACACATTGCTAAGATAATTTTTCAGATTTAAACTGCGATTGACTATTTCAGTAAACAAATTCTTACATAGTAAACAGACTGCAATACCCTCGTCTGATTTCTATTCTGTAGGGATTCATACATTACCAACCTACGGCGTAACACCGTTTCGATTATTCATAAACATTTGCTCAGAATAATTTCAGATCCTGTATAGGTATCAACGTATTTTTCCAATCCCTAATTCCTGTCATAATCCATATATTCTACATATATTTTCTAAACATTTTTCTCAATAGTCAGTTTCTTCTGTGGATAGTGTTTCTGATGTACTATTTAAAGCCCTTAAATTATTTGGTTGTGCCGATCAAAAGGTTGATAACTACGATCTAATTCATGTCCATAAAGATGCCCGAGGTAAGTTATTTTTGCAATATTTCGAGAATTGTATTTATTTTTGTTCCTTTGTTAAGAATATCATGAAGTGACATAAGTTAGACAACCATGGAAAGCAGGAAGCTCTGGATGGTAGTTTCGTTGTAGTGTACACACAACCCTACCACAAACTATTGGACTCAGGTTTTTCAGATCTGGAGGCGAGCGCTTAATCTGCAGACCACTGAGCAATCATCCTGTGATGTACATTTCTAACTTCAATCACATCACAACGTTACGCAACCATCCTCCATTATCTTCTGAGGGTGACGGCCTCATACTCAAGATTGTTGGATTCCACTAATCACGGTTTCTCACCAGAACTCTGGGGATCGGTAACGTTCGATATCTTCTGGAACCTCTATACTGATAATTATCATGTGCTTACTTGTGACTGATTTTAGGAGTAATATCTAGTTTTAGTGAAAAACCGCGACCAGCGAAGTTCAACTATCATGTAAAGCGATTCCCCCCTCAAGATAATAAAAAAATGGTCGCGCAGTATCACGAACTGATTGAAGTTAGACATGTACACCACCTAATCCCAGCTAAGTAGGTTGGAGATTAAGTGCTCGCCACAAGATCTGAAGACCATGCCTTTGATCTCTTGTGACGAAGTTGTGTATGCACACCACTGAGGAGTCCCTTGGTTACTGCTCAGCGCTTCATGTTTTTTTTTAATGTCTAATTTATGTCGATTTGTGATATCAGTAACATTCAAAAGTCTCCACAAAACCCTTACACTGATCGTATGTTAATTTTTGATTTATTTTTACTGAGACAGGTAGTTGGAAACTTACTGGTAGATATAAATGGTGTAGAAAATTGTTTACTTTTTCTACTGAGCCTGTTTACCTTCTCTGTGAAGTATCATTATTTTCTACTGACTTTGTGCGTTTGATGTATATTTATAAATAATCACCAAATAATTGCATTCTTATTAAACTGTTATGGGTATATAATGGTTAAAACGTCTGTGATCTAAATTTTACGCTTAGCAGCTCTTTCGAATCTGAAAATATTCAATGTAACAAAGGATATACGGATCATTGACCTTAAAGATGTCTTTTTGATAAGTGTTTTAAAAAGCATAGAATCTAATCTCATAAATATCCTACTAACAATCGTTATACTCTAATAGCAATGTAACACTATATTGTATTGCTTAAAATTAATGACTGGATTTTCATCTCCATTACTGAACAGTTACTTTCTAATAAATAGTCGATAAATGTAAAACTATAACTTTTTATTTCTTTAATTTACTCTTTTTTTTCTCCGATTTTCATTTCCCACAGATGTAACTCTTCCAAAACATTTCAACTTTTATGAATCGATAAATTATTCTTCTTTCAACTTATCAAATAATAAACATTATGAATTATTAGAATTTATTTGTACACCAACTATTCATAATGAGAACAATAATGACAATAATAATAGTTTAAACAGTTCACCATCATCATCATCAACAACAGCAGCATATATAAAAGCCAACAATAATAAAAAACACAATCCAAAGCCTAACATGACTACAACTGAATATACTAAACAGTATAAATTAACAAGTAAAAGCTCAAATAAACACTGTACTGTTGAATTATGGTCATGAATATTTATCAATAATTGTTTATTTTAAAAAAAAGTTGATTGTTTTTCCCCATCAGTTTACCGTTATTTTTCATTATCAAATGTGCTCAGATGCATAATTGATATTGTGAATATTTCTTGTCACTGCGCCAGTTATTTTTTTGTCATTCATTGATCCTATCAATCAGTAACCAAATAAATGAATCAATTTTTTCATCCCTAAAGAAAAATTTGTCTTTCATGATCGTGCATTTTTTAAATAGTTGTTCTAATTTCTTCTATTCTTATCACCTCTCCTAATCCAATTCCCCTTTACTCACCTTGAATTTGTTGCCGTGTTGTTCATTGTTTTGGTTAAATCTTTTATGGACTGATCATGAACTGATATCGACAGAGAAACAGGTGTGAACGTTGAAGAGTCATAAGCTACGACGAAACATACCTAATAATGTATCCTCTATGTTAATGTGATTATTAGATGTTGTGATTTCACATTTTCTTTGTTTATTTAAAACTATATTTTCAACCTAGATACTGTTCAATAGTAAAGAATCGTTGTTTGTTTTACTTTCATTTATTTTTATTGATATACCACTATTGGATTCAGAACATAATCAACTGTATATTTATAAATAATTGTGTATTTCGAATACCATATCATTGTCACAATACATGAATATATTTTCTGAGAATAATTTCTTAATTTAGAAATTTCGATGAATTTTTTTCTTATTAATTGATATTTAAAGCTAGATAGGCGATAGTCTAGAGTTCAATCATAACAAGCCATGTTCTTACCGATATACCAAGTCTTTGATACAATTATTTTAAATATGATCTCATTCAAATCCGAAGCTTAACACACAGTAGATAACCTCATTATTACATTGACGGGGATAATTATTAAGCTAATTATGAAAACATTGAAAGTGTGGAAAGAGCCACAAATATATCAGATACCAAGTATGTTAGTTATACTAACGTTGGCAGTTTCTTTCATAACATTATTCTTAAGTTATGATACAATTTTCAACTGATTTATGATTATAACAGTGGAATACTGTGGGGCAGCGTACTAGGTGCATGGTCCTTTCTTGAAATTATTGGCTACCATGAACATACCTGGTCCATAGCAAATTGACGAAAATGAGACTCATCACTATGCATACAAATAGATCCCTTTAAGAAGTATAATTTATACCTCAAATAGTTAGTCAACGTCGGTAAATGTTTGTTATTAACCAAATAGTCAAGTTGGAATATTGACCATTATTTTACATTAATAAATACGATACAGTCATTAGTGAATCAAAATGTACGATTACTATATTTATATGAATCAAATTCACTTTTTAGTTATGATTTTCGCGATCGTATTAACATTTTTTCGACATCGAAGGACTTTGAAATGGCAATAATTGTCTATGTATTCGACTTACACTATTTATTTCAAAATGTATTACACAGAGCATTACTGACGCATCACATCCCGACAATCGGTCTCTGTATTAAAAACGTTTGAGTGAAATTTCATTTCTAAAATAGCAGTAAACGTCACAAACTTCAGGAGTATTAGTTATTGCTAATTTAATTACTTGAATTTATTCTAACCTGCAATCCGTGTCTTAAACGTCTACCGACCTAGACACAAACCTTCAACAATAATCACCTGATCCCGTGGTAGAAATTCAATGCAAAGGAGCATGCACAGTATTAAGAAGAACAAAGAAAATGGTCGTTAAAGAGAATTGAATAGAAATAATCGGATAGTAACAATAGACGTCTAGTACTAAATCATTAAAAAGGTATGTAACCTCTATCTGTTAAATGTGAGGTATCATTAGACAGAAGTATATTGATTTTTAAAATGAGAGGCAACCGATAGGAAGCCGTTGACCTAGGTGTCGTGCTATTAGACACTCAATAGCAAGAAGTATTATGCAATTTCGAGGAACTGAGACTCCGTGGGAATCAAGTCTGCGTTACCTAGTGTTACAATCACACAGTTGTTTATAATTTATTAATAAAAAGCCTATTGTTTTATTTTAATCATGGAATAGTAGTGTTACTGCCAATTTTGTAAACATGTATGTTTCGCAAATAAGACAACCAATACGTTAATTCTTTGACTGCTGTACTGGTCAACTTGATTCCACGAGTATTTTCCAGGTTCCATGTACACTGCGTTTTGAAGAGAATGATTATTCTCAGCCTTAACTAACATAAAAAGTGACAAATTAAACTCTAGCAGCCATTTTAAATTATTTCGACCAATACTGATGAATACATAATTGGCAGATAGTTGATGAATAGTCTAATGCATAGTTTGCTAAAAACATACTATTTTTAGATATACTTATTTAGTATTTCAGTAAAATGCTATTATTAAATGGAGGGTTGATCTATTTTGCATTTTCTAATTAATAATTCTATAAAGCTCAGTATGAAGTAAACAAATAGCTTACAAGTGATATAAAGAATGGTTGGTGATATAAACTATGGGTTCATATATGTTAGGTATGAAATGATTATTACAAAATTACCAAGGCAGAGATAAGTATTTTAAAATGAACATTGTATTGGTGAGTAACTATCGATCCTTTTTGTATTAATATTCCGATCTTAATTTTAATGACGCCCAAGTATCTACAAAATCAGTATCTTCTAATCGCTCATCTTTAAACTGATTTCTAATCATACCTGTTTTTATCTCCAACAGTTTGTATAAAAGCATGTTGTTTTATTACACATAAAACCTATTTTTACGACTGATGGTTTTGTCTTTGATATTAGTTCATTCAGAGGGTTGAGCTAATAATTCGGTCTCGTGTACAGGCATCATTCAGTCACACAACCAACTCGCATTTGAACTTTTGCGCCAAATAAATACAAAAGCAAACGTCTAGTACACAGAAAATGTTTTATTTTCATGAATAAATCTTCTTTACACAAAGATTCCATAAGAGAATCAGAAAATAATTACCAATTGGATCTTCAAGTAATTAGCTTCCAGTATTACTGGGTTTGAAAAATGATGACAGTGAAGCTTGTCTACTAACTGCCGGCTTATTATTCGTGTTCTTTTTGTTTGGCTGCTTGGGTGGCTTCTGTAAAATTAAAGTGAATTAAAACACTAAAATTCGGAATTTCATACCTACGGAAGCAACGCTGATAAACAATGTGAAAAATTGTTAAACAATTGTTGAGGATGATCTTAGCTACTTATAAGTAGTATGAATTATTTGAACAAAATTCACCACATTCAACTTTAAATGGAACCAAAGCTCAAGAAAAATTAACCAGAATTTTAGTATTCCTTAAAAAACATTTACATCTTGATATGTTAATTCACAGCCTCATATGGGAATAATGAAGTTCAACAACTGCTGTTTCGGATTTTCTGTAGAAATTGTATGCCAAAATATTGAAAGCTTCATTCACACTAACTGTTCAAGCTGAGGGAAATATTTCCCAATATGGTACTTAAAAAATAACAAAGGCTGGTTTCTTACACATTATCAACGTAAATACAGAGATATACTGCCGTTAAATTGTGTCGTACATTAGTAAATTTTTATCATAATGACGGTAAATTCAATCGTATAACCACTACAATAAAACGCTTGGCTGTACACTAGTCCCTTTTTATTCTCAAGAAGTTTGAAAATGAGATCTTAAATGCTTCATGACCAGTTTATATTGTCTAAGTAATACGAAAAGGCCCTTATTAGAAGATCTACACTTCACATTGAAATTCTCAGGCCAGAATTGAATAAATTAGTAGTTTGAAGAACAGCACATACTACAGTAAGTACTCAGAGAATTCTTCTTGTTTGAGTATTTTTAACCATCGGTAACTTTTACTTACCTTTGATTAATGACTGCATAAAAGTGCAAGTAATTAGATACTTTATTTGGTACAAAGGGGCACTAAAACTTATATGCGCCAAACTTCGGCATTCGATTTGCGTGAGTGTTGGGATACTGCCAGGGCGCCAAGAGCGTAATTAGCTACAGACATATACTGTATGGTGACAAACGACATCTCAATTTTCAATGACGAGAACACAAAAATGTAGTCAACTAAAGGTGAACTGCCTTTACTGGAAATTCGCAATTTGAAGACATCCACCATGACCGAGGGATTTTATTCTGAGTGTTTAAAAACTAAGTTATTAGCATCACCTAAAAGTGTAAACCTAGCCTTGGTTATCTAGGAGTTTCACTATTGCTTTGAAGGAATTAACACCTGTTTTCTCCCAGTACTGTCTACTTTTAACAGATATCTTTTCAGCTCACTTGTTCAGATACTAATATATTAGTAGAAGCCATGTATCATAATCATCGGAAAGTTCGAAGCTTTTTCCAACGACATAGTAACGAATAAATCACCTAATACTGTAGTGAGGTCAACCACTCTTATATAATATTACTTAGTAAGTTTTTTTAAAAGTGAAAGAAAAGTCAGAAAAGTAACTCTAACTTCTACTTACAGTCTGTTGAATCGTTGGCGGTGCAGTTAGAGGGACAGGATTATCAATTTTTGGTTGCCCAACACGTTCATTTTTCCCGTTTTGATCCGTACAAGGAGGAGAGGTTGCGTTTGTAGGTTTAGATGTTTCATCGTCTGACGAACATTCCCAGCCTTTTTCTGTAACTAAATAAATATATATATACATCACTTTTAAAGCATTATTATAAGAACTCTACGTTTAATACTAATGTAGTATGATGATTTAACAATAAAAACTAGATAATCACACACTTCAGTAATAAAATCAATCACATAATCGTCCACTATTAACAATAGTGTATCGGGAAAATTTATTTTACCCATAAAGCCATCTTCATCAGCAAACGTTTTCATTACATGGTGGCGAATGCGATTTGAACGAGCAGCACTGCTAGATTTCTCAGTTCTTGAATTTTCTTCACATTTACTTGGTGTTGACGAAGTTTTAACACTGATTTTCTTAACATCATCGGGTGATTTTTCTGATTGTGTAGGTTCCATGAAAAATGAATCAGTTTCTGAGTCAGAAGCTAACACTTTCAGTTTATCTGAAAAAGCGAATAAAAACAAATACCTTTGAACGAAAAACATATAATGTAAAATTATAAACGTCTATATACTCTAGTACACATCAAAGTCATGATACTGAAGGATTATTGTTTATATTGAAATATTTGGTGATTGTGTAATCTAACATTATCAAAGCAAAAGGATTGCACTCATCCGGTCGCCATATTAATTAGTTATTCCGGGATTTGGCTAGGGTGTATTCGGATGCAGTGGTGACAAGCTACTTTTATCATTCTGAAAAGCTGACTGTGGCAGCTTGGACATATTTCATATAAACCAAACGGCTTTTAATTCCTGACGCCGCAACTCGGTGGAAAAACGGAAAGAGGGTTGGTTTATGACGTGATACTGTGGTATGAAATACACCTATATAATACTATCATATGTTGGGAAATTACAACTTTCCGCTTGAGGTCCTAGATAAGATGCAGCTTAATAGCTTGAGACTTTGTCAAACATGAGTCAGGACAGAAGCCAGTGACAATTCCGTTCTAGTTTTCTGTCACAAAAAGTGAAATGAACTTCTATAAGTGAGAAAAATCCTTTTTAACCATATTTTCAACTAAACTATATCCTTTATCAAATAATATTTCTGCTTATTTAAGCATAGATTGTATGACAATTTCCTCATATGCCTTTACAATATAATTAATTTGTTTAAATAGTGCAGTTTGAGCACTCTAGTCACGTCTTATTGGCAAATAATGTCAGTCATCTACAACGTAGGACCAGGCACGTATATACATCTGTCCAAGTTGCCATACCTCATTAGCACAATAAGATGAACACCGAATTTATAGAAGCAACTACTTCAATGGTAGTAAAAATATTTTCATGAAAAACATGATACAGGGAAAAACAATTGGTTCGTAGAAAGAAAAGTATAAAATAATTTTTATCTCACGGTTTAGGGGAAGACAAAGAATGTATACACCTACGCAATTGTGATTGATTCTGAACGTTGTCACTCAGAGTTTCCAATCATTGGTTACGATAGTCACGCCGATCCCAACCTAGTAGTCTGCATCTACTAACATGGCTTAGACCAGAAATTAGTGACCTCAACGACTGATGCCATGTTTTGGTTTGGCCACCCCTAACTTCCTCCCACTCGTCTCCAACACTAGTCAGCATTGAGCGACGTGGTAATTGTTGTGACTTTTAGCCTGGCTAATTATCAAGTCGCCAATCGGAATACGACTTATACAACCTTAATACTGTGCCAAACCAATGACATCTGCCGGTATGAGCAGCCTAGTGTCCTCACTGGTTCTTTTTACTTCTAGATCTGCCAGTTGAGTCCAGAACACCAATGCCAGCTTCCACTATGCGAATCATGTATTTCAAGCATGCCTGGTTTATATACAAGCCAAACAGACATTATACTACAAAATAGGAAATAACATTTGTACATGATCAAGCCAAAAAGTGGCTGTGATTGTGAGAGATTGTAATTAATAAACTGAGTATAATTTAAGAATGGTAAATTGTATCATAATAGTCTACAGATCAAAATAAAGCTTATAGTAAGAGGAATATAGATATACATAATCTAGTTACTGAATAGTTATACAATAAGAATATATATATAATATTAGTTCATTAATAGTTCTCAGAAGTTACCCGTAACTTAATCTTCACTAGCATATAACAGTAATCGGTGGTTGAGCTTGTGTAATACATAGCCCAACCATCTCAGTTGATGAAGATTCACAACCACATCAACTGATTTACCATCATTCCCTAATACTCTGCGTCTAACCTCACCATTAATTACAAGGTGATCTCAGAAGATCCGAGCAATATTTCCAAGACATTTGTCATCAAATACTAGTAACTTACGAATCACTTCTACTCTTAATGGCCACATTTCTCATCCGTAAAGTAAAACAGAATGAACTGCTGCACAGTATACTCGTTCCTTAATTAATAGACGGATATCTCGCCTTTATCATAAGTGACGTAAGTTGGCAAAAGCCAAGATTTCGTCAGACCTCAACCCATTAGGGCTGATCAAACTTCCAAGGCGCGTGAAGATGCCGATGCGTTCGACTACTTCACTCCCCATTCTTAATTCAGGCGTTGATGCAGGCCATTCCTGAAGCAACAACTTGCTTCTAGAGGAGAAGAAACGCACCCTAAACATCCTGGCATTGTTGATCAGTGCTACCAAAAGACTGCATTTTATCAGCGTCTCCACTAAACAGGACTTGTCATCTGCGTATTCTAAGTCGACAAGTGAACCTCCTGGAAGGAGATCAATCCCCGAAAATTCAGACGACGAGAACGTTATTTTCAGCAGTAGGTTCATGATGAAATCGAAAAAAAATGCAGACAGTGGACAGTATTCCCGGACACCACTTGAGGTGACAAAATCAGATGACAGTTTGCCAAAAGCTCCCACTCGACTGGTAGTGTTCGAATAAAGAGCCTTCACAAGGTCTACGTACTTCTGAGGTATACCTTTCAATGACAGACAGTACCACAGAACCTCTCGGTCTACAAAGCCAAATGCTGCTTTTAAGCAAAGGAAAACTATCATTGTCCGACGCCGATAAGCATGTCTGTGCTCTAAAACTTGACGAATGGTGAATATGTGGTCGATACAGCCACAACCAGGTCTGAAGCCAGCCTGGTTTTCTCGTGTTTGCAGTTCACGAGTCTTAGTTAGGCGCCCGATAATTATTGAGGCTAGTATTTTAGATTCTATGTTAGTCAGACTAATCCCTCTATGATTATCACAGGATGATTTTGACCCCTTCTTATACATTGAGACAATCAGTGATTGTGACCAGTCAGATAGGATTACATTCAACTCTCAGATTTTAGCCAAAATCTTTGTGAACTTAATCGCTAAAATTGGACCACCATATTTAAAGTCATCTGGAGCCAGTCCATCTGGACTAGCTTCTCTTCCTCGTTTCAGATTAGCTATAGCTTTTTGAACTTCAATTAGAGTCAGGGGCCTACTCCAATGTTCCATTTAGGCTGTTTGGGAATGATGGGTAGTTGTAGAGTAGCTGAAGGCCAGCTGAACCACTACCTAAAGTGTTCCCCCATCGTTCTAAACGCCTGAACTGAGAGCAGATAAGTGTCGCGTTTGTCTGAAATCGTCTCACACTTAACTTCTTAATTCCAGGTTCTTTTAGTCTGAAAAATCATCGTGTGTTACCTACAGTCACTAGACTTTTCCACCTCTTTTGCTTTCGTTACTTACCACTACTCACGATCGTTCCGTAGATATTTTGTTAGCCTACATCTGATTTGTTTTCGCTCTTTATCGTGTTCGAATCCAGATGGGATGAGTTTACGGGCATCTATCAATGCAATAGATATTGCAGAAATCCACCAGTTTTTCGTAACCCTTTGGTTAAAATCACTAATAGGTGTCGCTGCTGTTTCCACAGCTATTTCTATATCTTTCCGAGCAACATCTGGGTCAGCCTCGTTTTCAAAACTAAGTGTGACCTTGACTGTCCCTGGAATCTACTTTTGGCTTTTTCACTGTTGAGTTCAACTCTAATGGGTTTTCTTAATGTGGCTTTTCTGCGTCCAGCAAGGCGCAAGCAAATACGTGTTCGTATTAGAGCATGATTAGAGCCTAAACATGTATTCCAGAACGAGCGACAGTCTTCTATCGAGCGTCTCCAACGATGACTAATGTCTGTTTGAGTCTATAGTTGGTTTAATGCAGGGGGTCGCCATGTTAGACGATGTTTCTCCTTATGCTTCAAATTATTGCTTTCTAAAATTAAACGATTATCTGAGCACAGTTGTGGCACACGGTCACCATTATCTGTTCGACGAGCCAGAATACCACAGTACCCACCTAAATGTCTTTCTGTTTGGCCTAAGCTACCTACTTGGTCATTAAAGTCACCTACTACCAGTACTATGTTTGAGTATCTAGCTTTTTGAAGAATTTCAGAAAGCTTTCTATAGAAGTCATCTTTCACTTTATCCAGGCTGCAATCGTTAGGAATGTAGACAGAAATGACGAGAAGGCAACGTGTGTCCCTATCCTTCCGAGTTCTTGCGGAGCCGTTTAGCTGAACAGCATATAAGCGACTATTAACAGGGATCCATTCTAAAAGTGCTCGTTCTGCCCTCATACTCAGTGTTATTCCTACACTCGTCAGTCCACGAGAACCTGCCGTCGGATCGCCAGATAAACGGGTGTATCTCGTCGGCTCATCGTTTTGGTTAGGTGAGGTCAAGTGTATGACCACACTAGGATCCTGTATGTGTGTTTCAGAGACACAACATACATCAATGGCATGAGATTTTAGGGCCTTAGTCAAAAAGGCCTGTTGGCCGGTTTGACATAGGACACGACACATTGAAGGCTCCAATGTGCACTTTGGAGCGATGTTTCAGTAGACCTGAAACAGTTTTTCGAGCAATGGAATTGTTGGCAATGGTGACACTTGAGGAGGAAGTTTACAGTTGATAGTCGAGGTAGGAGGAATGATAGGAATTGAATAGGGGAATTGGTTGTGAACATAGTGGTCGTGAGTGTTGTTAGAGTTATGAGTGGTTATCACTTCCCGGCTGCTCACACCACGGAAAGTTTTTTCTAGAAATGCCTGAAAAGGTAGTTGGGCTAGAGTTGGTCTTGGTGACCTGAGAGGGTAACCGCAGTATCCAAGGGACAACTGCTTGCAGTACAACTTCGTCCCTAGACCTTGGGTTTGCTGCTTTTAGTCTTATCGCTATTTAACCGACCTGTTTGGCATGGTAGGACCTTGAGGAACGATTGTTCCAGACAGTACAGTCCGATTGATTCATCACAATAGACAAACCCGACCGCCACGTTAAGGTAACAGCAACAAATAATGGAATAAGTTTGGAACTACAACTGAATAATTGGGAATTGCAAACATAGATTGCCCAGTTACAATAATGGCGTGTTTCGCGTCCATTTAAATTACAGATATTTACTAATTACTGATTTTAATACTCTTTAAACCATACTCACAAAGGTTACAATCCATTAAACGACTCAAATAAAAATCTAATGTCTTGAAGTAATAATATATCTGAACCGCTCCATCTTAAGACTTCTAATCGAATACTAATCCATAATATATTGAGCGCAAATTCCAACTAAACGCTCAGTACATATTTCAACTGATTGTTTACACATGCAAGTGATTAGACAGCAATTAATAAGTCATTTATTAAATAAAATTTAATTACTCAGCTTCGGAAAGTACGTTCTGTGAGACGGTTAGTGATACTACTTCTGCTTCATAAGTGTAAACGATGCTGAAAAGCGACAACAATTATATACCTAAATTATATCCCTCTCCTATCAATGTTTTAAAACCGTTTGCCAGAAGTGTACGTCGAATATTTAATAGAGAAGTTTAAATAACTTTAATTATCGTAAAAACAAAATCTGATTACCTTTACCACGAGTAAGTCGCTTTTTCTGTATATCATTGTTTCTAAGTTTCGTACTTGCTTTAGAATTAAGTAAATTAGTAGACAGGCAATCCTTAGGCATCGTACCACTCCCTTCTTCTTCCTCATCGGATTCAATGACAATACGTTTCCGCTTTTGTGAAGAATCTAAAAACATACATAAAAAGTATAGTTGAGTGAGCTGTTACATGTAGTTTTCAAACCGAATTCTTCGTTTTCGTCCGATACGTTCAGCTTCACACTTTCTACTGGCTTGGGAACTCTGGAATAATAATATTACAGACGGTAAGAAACTTAATACTGACCTACATATCATTTCTAGTGTTTGGAGCCAAATAATTTTCAAGCATTTTATCTACAGAAACGAGTATAGAACAAACAGTTAACTAACCATCCTGGACAGACTTTTCAGTCTTACTGAAAAAGTTTCTGAAATCTGAAGTTTTAGTTTTTTTATTGCATCCACCTAGTTTTGTTTTTGAACAATTCCAGTAAGACTTACTGGTAGCAAGACTCGGTAACACAGGAGAATCAACATGTTCCGGAGCTTTCTGTGCAGTCTCTTGATTTTCTCGACATGAGAGTGGACCAGAAGATGACTCCCACGGAATACTAGTTAATCTAAAAAGAACCAGTTACAAAGTATTTATTTATTTATTTATTTAAACACATAAATATTGGTACAATGAAGCACCAGATAAATATGCGCCTCACAAATCTCATTCGATTTGTGTGAGGGCTGTGATACTGCCCAGGTGCCCAGACTGAAGCAGGTGGTTTTCTTAGGGGGCCACACCCCGAGCCTTTACCTGAATGTCTGATCCACAAGGCAGTGGAGCATCGTGAGGAGATGCAGTCCCATGGTAGCCGTTGACTAATGACAGGTTCGTCCGCCATTCGTTCCCTCAGGATACTGGAGCCCATGTGCACCATTGGTTTGGAATCAGGGTTTTCCAACTCCCCTAGGTGGACCCTCCGTGTCCACCAACCCGGTTAAAGCTCCGGACATTCGCTTTTCGTCCTCTCACTTTCGTAAACAACGCCCCCGCCACGAGAAGGCAGTGAGTAGGACTTCCCTGGCAGAGGCTATATATTCGCTGGCCATATGAGAGTACTTCGAGAGGGAGAGGTGACTCTCCCCACTCTCGGCTGTACCAGGGCATTTGGGGGTTACAAAGTAGTACACAAAATATACACGAGTGCAAGTATGACAGATTTGAATAATATCTCAAAGAAGTAAACTAACCTTTTCAATTGATATGTAGAAATATTATGCAATAAATCGTAGCAAGCCAATGATAAAGAATCCTAAAAGCCAATTATTAATTTATTTGTCGGCAGAAACACCTTGCACTTTCGGCGTTGTATACTATACACAACACACTTAGGTGGGAACGAGAACGACTTATGAGCCAGTGATAACTGGTCTGAATTGGCCAACTTAACTAATATATCATTTTGTTTACTGATCCCAGTCAGTATATATACAGATGACAAGTTATCACGCGTCTGGAGATATGTCGCCATCAAACTAAACGAATATGTATACACATATATATATCTACTGAAAACCAGATGGATTACCGTCTCGATGCATCTATATTTAAGTCGAAAGTGATAGATAACCAATTGGCAGTAATCTAAAAAATGAAGGCTATCTAGTACATATCAGAACGCATACAAATCCATCTTCATCCTCTAGCTTCTCGTCAAGATTTTCGAAAAGTAGTTGATCCCCCATCGTACATTGAGTGAATTCGAATAAGACTGTAAACACGAAAAATTAAAGGATTGATTACACAAGGTTAACTAAGACGAAAATTTCCAGTTTGAAAAAGCTAAGGTTTGAAGATAAATGCCAACTCAGACTCTTGCTTTTGTAGACCTAATCTTAAAAATATAGTCAAATACAGTAATTAAGTAAATTCTTATATACTGCGTTTGGAATTGCGATTCACAAGATAAAAATATCTGTTATATTCTTAAAGTGGCTTGTACAAACTCGTTTCAAGGACATAAGATCAAATAACGTGGAATATCTAGGAACGAGGTTTGGATGAGATGACATCCGAGGGATTAAAAAATTGTGTGACACTACATATATAATGGGTAGTGGTTTGAGCTATAACACGTTAGTTTATACAAATGCAGCTTATGTAAGACATATCATGATACATGCGAAGCTGTGTTTGAACTCAAAAGTTATGTCACAAACTAGCCGGTTAGGACTAAACAGCAATGGCATGTGCATTAGTGACCAATTCTGGAGAATTTCCGAAGGTCTAGTCAGAAGTTGTGACTGGTCTTCGTTGAGCATGTAGACAGTGAAAAAGACATAATTAACATGCTAAATCTAAAGCTAATATAATTCAGAAATGTAGACCACAGAATTCCAACCCAGAGGTCTAAAGAAACTAAGCTCGCTTCAACACCTGAAGGTACTGGTTCTGATTCCTGGTAGAATAACAAGTGAGCGCCCCTGAAGAGTACTTGACTGAAGAGAAAGTCATCTGCTGGTCCACCAGTCGATAAGCCTGACAACATCAAACTTAACTGATCTGATCTCCAGAATCAACTAACTAGATTCTAAACCTGTCAAGTACTTTAAATGTGTTAAAATTACCGGACCTTAAAACCCCATAATCAATGAAAACAGATTTCACTTAGAATAAACGCAGACCGTGGCACGAAGTTAACTAGATGATCGAAGTAAAAGACAGCCAAGAACTTCTGATGGCACTAAGAAGCTGATCTTTATAAATCTACCATATGTACCAAATATGGTAGGACTACAACTAATATTGAAAATTTATTTATTTTATTATTTAAACATAAATATTGGTACAATGAAGCACCAGATAAATATGCGCCTCACAAATCTCATTCGATTTGTGTGAGGGTTGTAATACTGCTCAGGTGCCCAGACCACTGAAGCAGGTGGTTTTCTTAGGGGCCCACACCCCGAGCCTTTGACCTAAAGGTCTGATCCACAAGGCAGTGGAGAATCGTGAGGAGATGCAGTCCCATGGTAGCCGGTGATCAACGATTGATTCGTACGCCATTGTTCCCTCAGGATACTAGAGTCAGCCCACGTGCACCATTGGTTTAGAATCAGGGTTTTCTAACTCCCCTAGGTGAACTTTCCATGTCCACCAACCCGGTTAAAGCGCCGGACATTAGCTTTTCGTCCCCTCAATTTTGTAAACAACACCGCCACGAGAAGGCAGTGAGTAGGACTTCCCTGACAGAGGCTATATACGCGAGGCCATGTGAGAGCATTTGGAGAGGGAGAGCGAACTCTCACCACTCTCGACCGTACCAGGGCATTTGGGGGCAAATATGGTAGGACTACAACTAATATTGAAAAACACCAAATTATAGTTAAGGGAAAGTTTATAGGATGTAATATAGTAAACCTAGTTGCTGACTTGACACAAACTTTGTTGCCTGAGTCTATTACTGAAAATTCTTAACGAAAAACAGCAAGTAACTGTGACTGATGACTCAAGACTGTAACATTGACCGGTGTCTTTCCCAGCATAATTCTTCTAAACAAGTCGAAATAACAGTGATATGCTTTCACTTATAAGTGATACTTGGTAGTGCTCACAGTGATTACAAAAACTTGATAAATATCTGAATATGATGTTCCATTTCTCATTTACGAAATACGTCAGCTCCGAAGTACCTTTAAAGTCCACTAGGACTATCGTCAGAACTAATTCGGATGAGTAATTCGTTGGAAACACAGACTGAACCGTCATCTGACATCAAGACAAAAATAAAGTGGCTTGTACAAACTCGTTTCAAGGACATAAGATCAAATAACGTGGAATATCTAGGAACGAGGTTTGGATGAGATGACATCCGAAGGATTAAAAAATTTTGTGACACTACATATATAATGGATAGTGGTTTGAGCTATAACACGTTAGTTTATACAAACGCAGCTTATGTAAGACATATCATGAAGAAAACCTCTACCCAACAACCAAGCTAGCCACACTTTTTGCAACCGCAAACATCTGTTTTTATAACCATAGATAGGAAACAGGAAAACGTGGAGTGGAATAACTTATACTCAAATCAACGAAATCTCCAGATTTTCGGGGAATCACAATCAATACCAGTTGTTTAACCGATCAAATAATCGATGACTTCTAAGCAAAAAGTAAGCTCCTCACTTACTAAACCTAATGACAGCTGTAGTGAGCAACTCGATCAGTTTGCTGAAATTGCCGTTACAGTAAGCCTCCGCTGAGATGCGTGTATATTCTCAGCTTAATTAGCTTTTAACTAACTGAAACTGCCCAACTAAAGGGATTGATCCAAACAACCGATCAATCAATAATTTCTAGATCAAGGGCCATTCCTATCTTACCGAGTCGGTACAATTTATAACCACCGCGCGACCTCAACCGTCAGACGATATCGTTAGTTGTGCCAAAGTAAAACTTGGACAGATTGGCTAACCGTTAGCCTCCTGAAGTTCTGTTATGGTTCTAAGAAACGTTTTTAATGATGAAAAGGCTCAGCTTTTGTTTCATTCTCTCAAAAATAGAAAATCTAGTTAACAATACAATAGAGAATGCTGAGACAAACACTCGTACACTCTTTCATTAATTCTAAAAAATAAATGAATTATTGGGCTATTCGCAACCATCCAGAATGAACCCAGAGTGCTGTTGAAGTGTAACGAGAATAGTGTTCAAGAAATTTAGTGTTTATTTTTATACTTACTCTTGTCATCCCTCGTAAAGCAGAATAGGCCTTTGACGAAAATTCTCAATCCGATTCCATTCTAGGAAAACCTTTCCAGTTGCTTCAATTTGCTATTCGTCCTTTTAGTGTCTGCTTGCAGTTCCCGAAGCAGTGTGTTCCTTGATCTTCCTCTTCTATTCCATCCCTTCAGGATTATAAATGAGCCCTTGCTTCGTGATGCAGTTTGATGATTTCCGTGATGTATATCCCAAACAATTGCACAGTTTTTCCTCAATTTCCTCCTCAGATGGAAACTGGTTTGTTCTCTCCCACAGTAGGCTGTTGCTGATGGTATCCGGTCGACAGACATTGAGTAAATTGTGTAGACAATTGTTTATGAATAACTTTGATGTTTTGATGATGGTCGTAGTCGTCCTCCAAATCTCAGCTCTACACACTAGAACTGTCTTGACTTTCTCACTGAAAGTTCTGACTTTGATGTCGGCTGACAGTCGTTTAGATTTCTATATGTTCTTCAACTGTAGGAATCCTGCCCTTCATTTAACAATCATTGCCTTCACATCTGCATTAGATCCTTTCTGTTTATTGATGATGTTGTCCAGGTACTTTGAACATTTCACGCCTTCTACGGTTTCTCTATGAAGTGTGATTGGGTTGGTATTTTCCTTGGGTATATTGAGGCCCACTTCTGTATAACCTGATGCTACATTGACTGTCTTCACTTGAATTTGTTGCTGCGTATGAGATAAGGAAGCTTGGTCACCTGCGAAGTCCAAATCGTCTAGTTGCATCCTAGCTGTCCATTGTATTCCGTGCTTCCCCCGAGATATGGATGTCTTCAAATTCCGGAAAACAACCAAACAAAAGTGGAAAGGCAAGAGTATGCAGTCCTGTCTGACACTGGTCCTCACTGGGAATGTGGCCGTCAGTTTTCCTCCATGCACAATATCGCAGTGTAGTCCGTCTTATGAATTCCGCATGATGTCGACGATTTTCCCCGGTACACCATATTGTCGAAGATGGTTCCATCAGGTTCTCCTATCAATGTTCAATGTGTTCTACCCACCTGCTCCTCTTTTCTTAAATCTCAGTTATTAGCTTGGCTTCTTTGTTATTGACTGGTCTCTCTGCTTTACTATATTCCCTTACTAGTTTCTTCGTTGGATCATATAGTTGTCCTTAATGTTCTTCTCTTTCAGTTTCTTCCACTTTCATTGCTAGGTCTTTCATGTATTTCTGTTTGTCAGCTCTAATACTCCTCTTCACTTTCTTGTTTGTTTGTATGTTCGATCTGTGCCTTGACTTTCTCTGCTCTTGTTTGACTGTTGTTAATTGCTGTATTCTTGTTTTCCTTTTCTTCAATGTTTCTCAAGCTATTTATCTATAGAGATCAACTGTTCATGCTGGTGCTACTTACGGTTAAGCATCTGACACTGAACTTATTGCTTGTTTAGTCCTTTTCCAGTTCTCCATGGCGGTCTGATCTTCATTTTGTGGGACTTGTAAGGCATTGAACTTATTACTAAGAGTTATCTTGAATTCGTTGAGTCTATCGGTACTTCAAAGAAAGATTGTATTAAACTTTCATGATACTGTGTACCTAGTTGTCTAATGCTTATTTAGTTTCAACTAGACCACCACCAGGTGGTGGTGATCTGAAACTGTATTAGCTCCTCGTTTTGTTACTACATCTTCCATGGACCTAAATCTTCTGTTGGTGCAGATGTGATCGATTTGGTTCTATGTACGATGATCCGGTGAGACCCATTTGGATTTGTGCATGCGTCTGTGGCGGAATACAGTCCCAAGTAAATTTTCAAGTTTCTCATGATTCTCGTTTCTTTCTCCAAGTTCATTCCATGCCAAGATATCTTCGTATCCGATTTTGTCTATCCCAACTTTTCTTTAACGTCTAGCTTAAGTTAATCAATGATGTAGGTCATTCTCCTCTCCCTGTGTATAGTCTCTCCCTTAGCTGCGGTCACATAGTGGTAAAGAATCCCATACTACGATAAAACCGCCTACGAGCACTACTCTTTTAGATGGTTCCCCAGCTGATATCAATTCGTGACTTTAACCATTGTCCCTCATCCAAACATTTTGTTAGAAATGAGCAGTTGAACAATCATCATGACTAACACATTGCTAAGATAATTTTTCAGATTTAAACTGCGATTGACTATTTCAGTAAACAAATTCTTACATAGTAAACAGACTGCAATACCCTCGTCTGATTTCTATTCTGTAGGGATTCATACATTACCAACCTACGGCGTAACACCGTTTCGATTATTCATAAACATTTGCTCAGAATAATTTCAGATCCTGTATAGGTATCAACGTATTTTTCCAATCCCTAATTCCTGTCATAATCCATATATTCTACATATATTTTCTAAACATTTTTCTCAATAGTCAGTTTCTTCTGTGGATAGTGTTTCTGATGTACTATTTAAAGCCCTTAAATTAGTTGGTTATGTGTGATTTCTAAGATTATTTGAATTACAGTGTGAACTAGTAATCCTAGCAATAACGTAATTTCATCTAGAAGTATTAGATGAGCTCGAACGAATGTACTGCGTTTGGAATTCAAAATGCGAAACAGTCATCAATACCAAGAAATTAATGGTCTATATAGACACCATATATGCCACAGCTTAAATTGGACTGTGAGGTTCTGTAGTTCATTGTACGTCTTCTTCTTAAGTTCACCTCATGTCTGCTGGACAGTGTATTGGATGCCGACTCTGTATTATCTATAATTCACTCGTTAGTATTCGAATTAACAGCCGAAATTGGATCAGACTCACCTGGGTCCAGAAATTGTGTACAATCACTATGTCGTTTATGCACTGAAACCACTGATAGCTAGAGCTTGAACCATAGATTTTTTAACTCTATCTTCCCCCACGAACAAATGTTGGGCAGTTACGTCGCAATGTTGTAACCGATTTGGCGTTCCTAATTTGCATTATCTTCTCGAATCTTACACTTCGATTATTGTGTGTGAGTATTTGGGGATACATACTGATTTATAATTTGAGGTATCTCATCATGTGACTTTCACTTGAACAAAAATTATGATACATATTCTTTTTTATTCATATTATAACACACAGACAAATATGCAATGATACATGTAATCAACACATGTGATTCATCTAGGCTTGATTCACCTGCGAAATAATCGAATGGAAAACACGCATCTGTCACATACTCTTCAGGATAATCTTGGGCTTGATTTGGATTCTCTGCCTGTGCAAACTGGTTCTCTGATTGCTTCACGATAAACTGCTATTCTTCCTGATTCATCATACCACTAAACAGGGATTCTACTCAACAAATATTTTTCATGAGAATATCCAACATCTGATGCAATGACATCAGAAATGTGACTAAAATTCAACTCGGTCGGAACATATTTGTCATATTCATTAATAATACCACTGGAGATAAATCCATTGTAAGGACTACTGACACTTGATATGATATAAGAATTTAATTTTTCTGAAGTATTTCCCTCAAATTTATTAAAAGTTTCATTAGAGAATAATGGATCATTAGGAAAATCAGCATCTACCAAAACTGAATCCAGTTTTTGATCATGACTTCACTCATTCAACATATTATTCTCAGAGTTGTAAAAAAATTTCATCAGAAATATACTAATCATTATGACAATCCATATCTGGTATAATAACATGAGAAATCTGATATGGAGTTGGTTGATTGGAAACTTTTGAAGATACGACTAGTTTTCTAGTTTGACAACTAGCAACCAGTAACACCTTCTATATTCAAACCTTTCCCCAACCAATCGAAATCAGATGCGAAGAGATCGGAAAGATATATTTGATACGTTATCAATATATCGAGAAGCGTTTGCTCTAATCTGGCTAGTGAACGCAGGAGCTGTGTCCCACGCTGGTTCGAAACGTGATCTGGTACGGATGCATGACCGAAAGCCTTCAGTTTAAAAAGTCCACTTAAGAAAATGTGGTCAGCTACACTTTTGTCTCACAGTGATTCTGGGTTTCATTCAACTCCGGACTGCTGTTTGACGCTATACTTCTTATAGAAGTCTTGGATAAAGATAAGTGATCATTAGAGACATCCACCTAGGTAGAATCACAATAGTAAATTTTAGCATTAGTTTCAGCGAGATGAATAGTAGTATTACAAATTAACTGAATTTGTCCAATTTTACCACATTTAAAGCATTTAGAATTACGAAATACATATGAATTACATGGGTGGAACTTGCCACAGAACAAGCATTTAACAAACTTGTGCTCATCTTCGTGGACTGTTTCACAACTCAATGAATTTTTATTTGAATAACTTGGATTAAGTATTGGAGTGCGACGACGTAGTAAAGTAGTGGAATCCCTGATGTTCGGGTGAGTCATTTCATCGAATTTTTCTGCCTAACCGCATTCAAAATTTGTATGCTTCACATAGTCCAACAGTAGTTGCTTGAGAGTTGCATAAGGGAGTGAAATTGGCTTGTCTGGAAATGCCAATCTTTATTTAGCTGTATGCTTCTTTTCCGATGAACGTAAGGAATTGAGCCACAATATTAGAATCCTCAATATTTTCCTAGGTCATAGCCTAGATTTCGAACCTCTCTATGAAATCCTCAAAAGCATTAAAATCTGAATGTATATCCAACCCTTCCATCACAGGCTCTACTGCGACGGAAATGTGATGTTTAAGAGTATTTGCATTATGGTATAAACTTGTAAGCCCAGCAATAACGCAATTTCATCAAGAAGTATCAGATGAGCACGAGCGAATGCATTGCACTTGGAATTCAAAAACAAACAGTCATCAATACAAGGTAATCATTGGTTCATTGAAATACCACATAGGTCCACATGTTTCTTTTCGATTGAGGATGGAATGCAATGTAACCATTGCAACGATTCATATCACGTGTTCACTGGAATCATATCAGCTGCATATTAAAAGTTTTGTGAGCCACTATCATGTTGACTGTGAAAAGCATGCTGCTCCTCAAAGCCTCAGCTAAGTGTTGAGGCAATTGCGATGCTAAACATAACTAGAGTGTTGCATCCAAATGAACAATCAGCAGCAGATAACTAGCTGTCACATTTCGAAGAGGCGGTGGGTGTTATCATGAGTTCAATCTTAGAGAGAATTGAAACCATCAAGGTGGATCACAAACACACAGATGAACGCATAGTTACAATGCAAACTAAGGAGAAACAAAATATAGAGAGCTGTAAAATATATTAGTCAGTGGTTGCAGCTGCCATTTGTGCAAACCAATTATTGACATTACTTTGCTTATTAATCAAATGATCTACACCTCTCAGACTTTGGGGAAGTAAAGAAACGGTGAGACCTGCATATCTTACGCCAATTCGAACTACAGGAAAGAGATTTTAGAAAATAAAGCCTCTCCGTTTATCGAACGGATCTCGCAAAGAGGTTAGTCGTTCCTCGTAGGTCCCGAAAAAGACTTAAAAACAAGGTTTATAGAATAGGACAAAAAAGGATTCTGAAAGTACGCAAGTAAGTTTTCTCTTAAGAGATACATTTGCTTCTACTGCCAAAAGAAACTTAAATAAAATTCATGCGGACTTGATCCGGAATATGTCTTTCAGGATCTCAGCCTAGTAGATAATGTTAAGAGACTATCGGGAAAGGTAGAAATGATGAAAGAAACCTTATACTTAAAGGTCTTCACACTGTAAAACTTCGGAGCAAAATGACACCAAAACCACTATTGGTGTTACGGGAACTTTCTGCACAGAATTAAAAGTATTCTACACAGTTCCTCGCAGCCAACTAAACTAAATAGAGGAGTTAAAAAAACACGGTGGACACTTAAAACCCTGATATCATTGCCATGTCAGAAACATGGTTTACGTCAGGATTGTATGGTAGTGAAATTTAATTGCTTGGTTTCTTACTTTGTAGGGTTCACATCCGAAACTGACGGAGCGGTGGGGTTACCCCCTATATGAAAAACACCTTAAAAATACTATCTATGGAGACGCTGGTACACGACTGAGGAACATGCGGACTGGTACACTGCCGGCCAAAATGTAAAGGTTAGGATATTGAATTAGTTGCAGTTCACCACAGCCCAGAATATGTGGTGAATGACTTCCTCCAAAATAAACTTAAGCCCCGGCCAAACATTTTGTAATAGCCTTATGGTAGATGACTTTAATGCATCCCCCATAAATCGGGTAATTTTAGGGGTGGGGTCATCTAAAAAATTATTCGAATCCACAATCGCTTTGGGGTTATTCCAGCACATCAGAGATCCCAATCAGATGTGACAAACAAAACTCTTCCCTCTTGGGCTTAGTCTTAATACACGGTGATGATGTCACCCAAACAACTCTCCTCCTGCCCAAAGGGAGAAATGAACATGCGAACATCTTATTCAAGTCTGACTGATATGGTCTGTCAAGCAGTTGAGCCGGCCAGTCGTAACATATGGTAGATATACGTAAATGTGATCAACTCTGGAACCTCGACCGAAAAATTGACGGGACATATTAGTAGAAGAGATGTGGATTCATTTCCGTCAGTTATATAGTCAAGTGACTAGTCCACCTTTACCCTGGACAGTCTTAAGGCAGGAAAAGCACGACTAACTCAGAATAGACCGGAATATTCGACGTTCACTATGACAAAAGGAAAAAATGTTGGAACGTCGCAATCAGCCTTTACATAGTAAATACTATGGAACGCAATAGGTCGGTACAAAATAACCGCATGAGAACAGTTTGGCGAAAATATGAAAAGCAGTAGGCCTAATCTGTAATCAAGCAGTCGAAGAGACTGTTCCCGCACGTAAATTAAAGAACGAGGACGTAGCATTGGATTCCTAAACTAATTACAGAGGAGAATGGATCACTAATGACAGAGGGAGATCAGGACTAAGCAGAATCCATGGCAAACTATTTTCGGACAGCTTTTATTCGGGAGCCTCTTCTTGACTAAGAACTAGACCCAAATACTAAGTCAAAAAATCGACTGCCGATCATGACCTTTGGTCGTGACGATGTACCCAAGACCCTTCGAACTTTAGACATGGAAAAATCAACAGAACCAGACGAACTATACACTGAAATCTTGACACAAATAGCATAATATATTGCTGCAACACTTACTATGGTATTCAATATGTCAGTTGGCCAGGGTGTTACCTACCGACTAGAAGGATGCAGTTGTCACTCTGATTCATAAAACAGGACCAAGATAATTCCCGTCAAACTAAAGACCTATCAGCCTGACCAGTGTTGTAGTTAAAATACCGGAAAGGACCATTACAAGTTCAGTATTGATTGTTAACTATTATTTTGTGTCCCAGAAAATTGTTCAGACATGCCAACTTAGTCAAAAGCTGGCAAGGTATATAATCCAGAAGTAGATTTGGAAAAGTGAAAGTTTGGTATCATTATGTTTCGAAGGCTGGACGGCCTAGATACTGCTTCGTACTATTCATATATAACTCGGGACTAGTCGCGGAAGCTATGACCCAGCAACTCAAAGTTACTATTAAATATTCAAATGTACTGAACAGACTTAAAGCCATTGACCAACGATATCTTCCATAATATTAAATATGGGAATCAATACGAAACTAACTTTCAAACTCAACCGAAATTCCTAGAAAAAGATGGTGAAATGAGAAACGGATTTGCACCCCACTGGCAATACTGTGATAAACGTTAAAGATCAGTTTTATTCGAAATACTGTGATGAGAACACCTTGGGAACCATCGCAATGACAATACAAGCCAATAACTATAGGTATATCAAAACTAGGCACAGAAAACAAATACACAAAACTGAGTGAAACTTGATTAGTCTAATAGTTTCCGAACTCCAACTGTGCAATAAAGTCAATAATAGTTTTAAAAACAGGTTGTCATTAACCATCGTTAACAAATAAGAGGGCCAGAGATGATTCCGTTTTGCATAGTGAAAATACTAAAGTAGAATTATGAAATACACGTATTCGAGGTTATCTTCAAAGTTGACTTCAAAAAATATTGTTAACAGGAATGATATTATAAAAAAGCGACATATAAGAAAACGACCGACGTGAAGTTTTTCTAAGAATCAAAAAGTTTTGTAAGTCCCAGATACACTGAAGTTTACGAATACCACAGATAAAAACGACACAACTGAATAACACATAAAAGGGGAATAGCAATCATTTAAAAGAAATACTGAGTATTCTTGAAATATTCGGTGTTTAGGAGAAAAAATCAAAAAGTCATTAGCGCATATTAGAGCTAAATGTGGTGAAATGAAGAGTATCTATAACTGGGACTTGTTTTGTAATGCTGTGTGTACTTCTTGAACTAAACGCCGACGTTTTTCCTCTTCTGAGGCAGGTACGATAGAACGTAATGAATCAACAATATTTTTTGTTGTACCGAAATATACTTCATTGAGCGTTGAGCGGATTGAGTTTTCAACATCCTAGAAGTAGAATGGAAGAACGAAATGAATGTTTTGTGCTAGTTAAAAGTTGAAAAAATAAAACTCCAACACAATTAATAAAGCGTTCTATTGTGGACAAAAGGATTTTTTCTTCTGGGATTGACTACCATTGAAGTTAAATTGCATATCTTGTTTACATGCTTTGTCGATCAGGAGCGTGTTCAAAATGCGAAATCATTCAAAGCTATTTATATCTTTATATTAACTAGACGCTTGATAATCTGGCATTGGATTTTGTGACAGTATAGGGTTAACTGCCACTTGTAAATTAATTTCATCCAAAGAACGCTCTCAAAAAGTGGATGTGTCAAGTAACTGAGAAACGGATACGAAACAGAACAGTGGTAAAACAAACGAACTCAGTTTGATAACATTTATATGTTGACAAGCAAAGATGATGGTGATCAGCAGTGGAAGCTAATATGCGTGTTTCGTCTCATTTGGATTCAACAGCTCAGTGGGCAACGCGATGGAGTTTGAACCAAATGGCACTGGGTTCGAGTCCCGGAGTGAATATCAACTCTGGAGCAGATACATCAGGCTGATGAGTCACAAATGGGACGAAACGTACGTCTTGGATTCCACTGATCAATTGTGGTCCTAAGCATCAATAAGAGGATTCAAACAGTCGATACAAAAATGGATTCATAAGTTGATTTGGGAAAATTTAGCATTATTTGAGACTCAGTAGTGCTAAACCGCTGATGTTTTCAAATTATTTATAATGTCTTGTATTAAATTCGGTTGAGTAACCTCTTAAAAATTATAGGATACGTGTAAGTTGTGAGCACTCTATTACAGAAGCATACACGAACTACTGAGCGATCAACGAGGATGTTCGATATAAAACACTAGGTAAGCGTAATAAACTTGTTATTGTTGTGAAGTCTCATCGATCATAAAACAACGTTTAGTATTTAAAATATTTTAGTCCTTTCTACTTTCTTAACTATACAACTTTTTAATCACAACTGGCATAATTACGGATGAATGATTAGCTTCACATGGATAATATCAGGTGTTATGTTAGCTATGTCTACACGTGAAGTGACTTACCAGATTTTACTTCAGCTGTTCCTTACTCTTACTCAGTCAGATCTTCGCAATGCTTTCCTTTATTTAATTATTCCCTTTATAAGCATGACTGTTATTCATAATTATTCATTTTGTTGCACTTCCTATAATTATTTACCGTGTTTTATCACTCTTGATTCTGGTCAACTTTATTTATCCCATATTCTTAGATTAATTATGTTAATTTACGTTTCAGAAACACAATGTACGAAAGACAGTCTTACTTGTTACGCTAGGAGAGAGAGTATTATAGAGAGTGGTTGTAATAGAAACCAGTGGGGAAAACAAATACTACACTCTATATAAAAGACAAGAATCTCTTGTGATTCTATATAAAGCCGTTACAGAAAGGAATTCCATGATTATTTTCTTTATTCAAAATCAGTACGCAAAATATGGTCTTGTAAAACAGTACCAATTCAATTCTAGTTTCTTTAGTAGATATATGTCCCCATAGAGCACCATCACAACTGAATGTAAGTAGAGACTAGTTAGTATCACTAACTTATCTAAGAAAATAGATAATTAAGGATAATATACTAAACAGAATGTAGAACAATGGTAAGTACTAATAATCTTCCCAAAAATATGGAACCATAGAAGCTAACGCGCCCAGACAACGTAAGCTGTGATTTGCTAGAGAGAGAAGATAGACATGACCTTGCGTGCTATGCATAATGGACTAATTTCATAGTCTAAATGATTGTCTTCCACTCTGCATACGTGTCAATACACTTTTGTTTTCGATATTTGATTTTCAATTAACGATAGGTTAAAAGTAACTATGGTTACGTGATTTTATCCCTCTTATAGATAGTATTTAAACTCTACCAGGTTACATATTATTGCTTTTCACATTACAACTTAAACAATATGACAAGTGTTTATCATATTTTTGGATAGTGATTAGCAGAGAACTTACTAACTGAAGGTGTCCAGATCCCAGTGCTCATACACACATTGAAATTCGAACACACTTGACGACTAATAAAAAGGGTTACTAGATTTGACTCCTAACCATCGTTTACAGACATAATAGACGATTAAATGAAGGTAATATCGAGACAACTGCACAAGGAGCTTATAGCCCAATACAGACTGATCAAATTCAGTTTTGAACTTTAATAACAAGAAAGTACAAGCCCTTATGAGTACTAACACGACAAACTGTCAGATGGACAAGTTCATTAATCCTGAATACTATAGACCTATCAGTAGTTTAATTAAAAATTGTTGTGAAAATTATGCTCTTATAACAGTAAACATGAACAAAGAACTAATCAATGTTAACGACCTAAATGGAATTTAAATTTAACAAGATATACAAGTCTAAATACAAAATGTTATTCAACTAATGATAATTACACTTCTATAATTAAAAGTATAATAGACCCAAACTGTAAAAAGTAAAACCTTAGCTATTAAAGTGTAAATGCCCCTTATTTAAGAATATTATTATTATTATTATTATTATTACAACGTAAAAAAACTAAGAGCGCGTAATAAAAACACAATAAATGTTGAATAAAACAAATACACAAAATGATTCAAAACCAAAAATCATTATGCCTTTCAATACAGCCTACAGATGTAGACTGAGTGAAAGATAATAGGAATGAAGTTAATAATAAATTTACCGAACGATAAAAGCCAACTATGATTATTCTCAGTACATGTACTTTCAGTGAATATCATTTCTATAAGTTTGTCCTAAGCAATCATCTGTAATCGTAGTTGCATGCTAATGACATTAGCCTACTTTTGTTCCTTTATGTCTTGTTACTGTTATTTGTTTTGTCACCGTAAGTTTATATGGATAGAGCTTAGAGAATCGATCGCGGTGTCATTTCTAGTGTAGTGCATCAGAAAGAACTATCCCATCTCTGTGGACAAAACTAAGATTGAAGTAGGAAAACATAAACCATCATCTACATTTTTGTAGCTTACAAGCTTGATGTTTTCCTTATTGGTCCAGTCTTCCTAAGTTTAGCTGAAGTCTAAGGAGCTATTATAATTATCTAAATATGATGCAGTATCCTGTCTGAAACTCATTATTAATACTACTGCTGAGTCGTTATATTTGCTTTTGTTTGAGAAACCGTTTAATCCACAATAGTTTTATTTGACATATTTCTGACAAAACGAAAGCACTATCTCTTAAATGATATGAAACAAATCAAAAGTTTTGATGTTCAAACTATTTAATTTACCTAATTTGGAAGTACTATTTTGCATTATCTTTCACACCAATATTCATATCACATACTTAGTATTTCTAAATAAGCTAGCAGTTTATATACTAAAGACAATTTTATATCTGTCAAAACTTTTTTTTGCTTTGATCTGTACACAAACGCTAAGTGTTATACTATAAAGCCGACTCACGCAAACTTTTACACTCACTGTTTAATGGTCATTAATTTAAAATTATCTTAGAAGAAGTTATTTGAAATCCATGCATAACCACATGGTGTGAAGTTAAATGTTTTATTTTACTATTATAATCTAGTAATTTGTGTCATTTTGATCGCTCCTGTAAACTGACGTGTATTCTGCACTAACTTTCTGAATATAAATTATTATTATTGAAATAATTTTCATATTGGGGTTTGTAGTGAAAGTATTATCTCAAAAATGAAAAACAAATTCCTAAAACTACTTGCAGTCAATTAATAAACATGAACATTAGAAAATAAATCATTAACAATAGTTTGATATAAATTGGCCAATAGAATCAGTATATCATTAGTAAATTTTGCCTCAACTTTCTATTTCGTAAATAAATAGGTAAAATGGATATTTAGTATTTTACTATCTAATATTACGTTACTTACGTTCGCCTGTTACTCCCAATGGAGCATAGACCGCCGACCAGCTTTCTCCAACCCACTCTGTCCTGGGCTTCCTTTTCTAGTTCTATCAAGTTCTTGTTCATTCTTCTCATGTCTGTCTCTATTTCTCGGCGTAATGTGTTCTTTGGTCTTCCTCTTCTCCACTGACCTTCAGGATTCCATGTGAGGGCTTGTCTTGTGACGCAATCGGGTGATTTCCTCAAAGTGTGCCCAATCCACTTCCAGCGCTTCCTCCTGATTTCTTCCTCCGCTGGAATCTGATTTGTTGTCTCCCACAGTAACTTGTTGCTGATAGTGTCTGGCCATCGGATCCGAAGTATCTTGCGTAGACAACTGTTAATAAACACTTGTATCTTCGGGATAATGGCTTTCGTAGTTCTCTACGTCTCCGCCACATACAGTAGAACTGTCTTGACATTTGTATTGAAAATTCTAACCTTGGTGTTGGTTGACAATTGTTTTGAGCTCCAGATGCTTTTCAGTTGTAAGTATGCTGCTCTTGCTTTGCCGATCCTCGCCCTCACATCTGTATCTGATCCACCGTGTTCATCAATGATGCTGCCCAGATACGTAAAGGTTTCCAAATCCTCCAAAGCTTCTCCGTCAAGTGTAATTTGATTGGTGCATATTGTATTGTATCGGAGAGTCTTGCTTTTCTCTTTGTTTATATTGAGACCTACTGCTGCTGAGGCTGCTGCTACACTGGTCGTTTTCTCCTCCATTTGTTGTTGCGTTTGTGATAGAAGAGCCAGATCATCCGCGAAGTCTAGATCGTCAAGTTGCATCCTTCCTGTCCACTGTATCCCGTGCTTTCCTCCAGTCGTTGACGTCCTCATGATCCAGTCGATCACAAGGTGAAAGAGAAAGGGTGAGAGTAAGCAACCTTGCCTAACGCCAGTCTTTACTTCGAATGAGTCGGTGAGTTGTCCTCCGTGGACGATGTGGCAGTTTAGTCCATCATAGGAGTTCCGTATGATATTGACTATTTTTTCAGGCACACCGTAGTGTCGAAGAAGCCTCCATAGTGTCGTCCTTTCCACGCTATCAAATGCCTTCTCATAGTCGATGAAGTTGATGTAGAGTGATGAATTCCATTCGATTGATTGTTCCACAATGATACGTAGAGTTGCGATTTGATCTGTGCACGATCTATCCTTACGAAATCCAGCTTGTTGATCTCGAAGTTGGGCGTCCACGGAATCTTTCATCCTGTTTAACAATACCCTGTTGAAGACTTTTCCTGGTATTGAGAGGAGAGTGATGCCCCTGTAGTTGTCGCACTTGCTAAGATCACCTTTCTTTGGTATTTTGATAATAAGTCCTTTTTTCCATTCTGTTGGTGCTTGTTCTTCGTCCCAAATCTTACTGAAGAGGATGTGTAGTATCTTGGCAGTTGCTGCTACATTCGCTTTCAGTGCCTCTGCCGGGATGTTGTCTGGTCCCGCTGCTTTGCCGCTCTTGATTTGTCTAATGGTCATGCTGATCTCTTCAATTGTTGGTGGGCCAACATCGATTGGGAGGTCCGTGGGTGCTGCTTCGATGTTGGGTGGGTTCAGTGGAGCTGGTCGATTCAAGAGTTCTTTGAAGTGTTCTACCCACCTGTCACGTTGTTCTTCAATGTCGGTGATTACTTTGCCTTCCTTGTTTTTCACTGGTCTTTCTGGTTGACGGTAATTTCCAGCAAGTTTCTTTGTTGTATCATACAGTTGTCTCATGTTTCCCTCTCTTGCAGCCTTTTCCGCTGTTATCGCTAAATCTTCCACATATTTACGTTTGTCGGTTCTCATGCTCCTCTTCGCTTGCTTGTTTGCCTCTGTGTATTCGGCTTGTGCCTTGGTTTGTTCTGCTCTGGTTCGGCTGGTATTGATTGCTGCCTTCTTGTTCCTCCTTTCTTCAATCTTATCCAGTGTACCAACAGTGATCCATTCCTTGTGATGGTGCTTCTTTTGGCCCAGAACCTCCTGACATGTTGAAACGATTGCCTCCTTGATACCTTTTCAGTTGCTCTCCATGGTAGTTCCCTCTCCATTGAGTAGATCATGAAAGGCCTCGAACCTGTTGTTGAGAGCTATGTTGAATTTGTTGAGTTTGTCAGCATCTCGAAGAAAGGCCGTATTAAACTTTTGTGATGTTGTCCACACCGTTGTCCAGTGCTTCTTGAGTTTTAGTTTCATCTTGGCGACCAGCAAATGATGATCGGAAGCTATATCAGCTCCTCTTCTGGTTCTCACATCATCCATCGTCCTCCTGAACTTTTTGTTGATGCAGATATGGTCGGTTTGATTCTGTGTAGAGTGATCCGGTGAAGTCCATGTGGCTTTGTATATGTTTTTGTGTGGGAATATGGTACCACCTATGACCAGTTTATTGAAGGCACATAGGTTTGCAAATCTCTCACCATTTTCGTTCCTTTCTCCCAGTCCATGTTGTCCCATGACGTCTTCGTATCCAGTGTTGTTCTTTCCAACCTTGACATTGAAATCTTTCATCAGAATGGTCAGGTCCTAGGTTGGGTACTTCTCGAAGATCGACTGCAGCCTATCGTAGAATCGGTCTTTAGCGTCTTCATCGTAGTCGTTGGTCGGCGCATAGCATTGGATGACGTTCATTATAATGCCCTCTCTCTTTGTTTTGAAGGAGGCTTTGATGATCCTTGGTCCATGAGATTCCCATCCTATAAGTGCACTTTGTGCTTTTCTAGACAGCATCAATGCAACTCTTTGTGTATGTGGGACATTTTCTTCTTCATGACCGGAGTATAACAGAAGTTCTCCTGAAGACAGTCGTTGTTGTCCAACCTGCGTCCAATGCGTTTCACTGATTCCAAGCACCTCCAGGTTGTATTTTCTCATTTCTGCAGCAATTTGGAAGACTCTTCCGGTCTCCCACATTGTCCGGACATTCCATGTACCTATAAAAATTGTTGCTCTGGTTGTAAGAAGGTGCATCATCCTCATGACTTCCGAATGAACTCGGCTTTCGTCATGAGACGTCATAATTATTCCTTCCACTCCCAGGGCAGAGTTTAAATGGTTTGAATTATTTTTTCTGGTTAGCGTTTTTTTAGCGAGTTGATTTTCTACGGGATGGGGTAGCTAACCCCATGCCCAGCCCTCCTCCTTTACCCGGGCTTGGGACCGGCAGCAACCCCCAGAGGAGCTACAGGCGGAATTACTAATTTCAGAAAAATTAAGAAACTAATTTTCTCCCTACGTAACGTAACTTTATATACAAAATATAAATTCGGGCACAGCTTTGAGGTATATAATTTATTAGATGAGGTTTGCTGCTACCTTGACGTGGTGGTCGAGTTTGTCTATCGTGATGAACCAATTGAGCTATACTGTCTGGAACAATCGTTCCTCAAGGTCCTACCATGCCAAACAGGTCGGTTAAAGAGCGATAAGACTAAAAGCAGCAAACCCAAGATCTGGGGACGAAGTTGTACTGCTGACTTTACAGAGGTGTGACGGCAGTAGTGTTTCCTTCAAACAACCAGCATAACGGTGATGCTGCCTTCCCACAAGGAGGGGTTGGGTTCGAAAAGGTCGACCCTAAAGATGCACACCTCGCCTTATCCCACGGCTACCCGTCTCCGGCGGTAAGGTCCCAAAAAGTACAGAGTTAACACAAAAACTACTCACTAAAAGGTTGTGTGTGACCGACCTCAAGCAGTTGTCCCTTGGACACTGTGGTTACGCTCTCAGGTCCTTAAGACCACTTCTAACCCAATTTCCTTTTCACGTACCTCTAGAAGAACCCTTCCACACGGTAGGCAACCGGGAAGTTATAACTGCCCTCATATCTCTAACAGCACTCAAGATTACTGTATTCATAATCAATCTCCTTCTTCAATTCCTACTATTCCTTCTACCGCGACTTTCAACACTAAACTTCCTCTTTCGGTTTCTTCCATGGCCAACGAGACGAGGGTGGTGAACTACTATTTGCTCCTTAAAACCGAAATATACGAAGGAAACTGTAACCGGTTGACTGGAAAAATCAAGCTCTTTAATCTCGAAGCCATCGACTTTGTACCATAGCAATTTTTTCAGTAAAACTATAGACTAACCAGTGTAATATATCAATTACACATAAATGAGTATATCTTACGTCAACTTTTGCGATTAATTGCATAGACATAAATAGTACTGAAAATAAACTTTCTTACTTAGTATGTCAAGTTTTTATTCGACTGCTTCTGAACAGTGATCATGAAGCAACAAACATATGAAAATAACGCTCATTATTTACGACATTATGTTAAATGTTGATAAGAATGATGGGCCCATGATAAATTTTATCTACGAATAGATAGGATCTAGAATACACCGAACTTTTGACACACATCAACACTTTAACGTTAACAAACCACACGCTAATATGAGACATAGTTAAGACTTTCAGAATAGCTTTATATTCCGAAGCAAAGTCAGAAGTTGAAAACGAACAACTCTGTTTTTATAGTAACATGTGATGGCTTTGAAACACATAACAGTTAGCAAACTAGAAGCGATAACAACCAATCAGATGACACCAAATGTCAATGCAGAAATACGAATCAGAAGAACCTCATTGAGGTTATCCTGTAAAGAAAGAATTAACATACAATAACAAAATACTAGATAGCCTTATCTATTCATAGCAACAAAAAATAATTTCTTTTAGAGATTCTGTTGGTAAATTACACAGATATAATTAGTGTTATTTTACATGTTGAAAAAGCTTTGTCATTTGATCATAGGGAATCGCAAATGTGACAAGTTGCAACCATATGTGTAAGAGATACTTATAGCGATAATGAGTCTTAATCTTCGGTTACTTATCTTTAAATCATACTTGTTATCCCACAGAACTATACTACGTCCATAAAATTGTGAACACAGGAGTGCCCATAGGATATACTTCGACATAAAGGAATCTAACTTGAAACAGGTAGACTTAAGATATCACAAGTACGATTGCACTAACGTATTAATTAGATATTTATTAAAAGTACTACTTGTCAAAGTATGGATTCATTTGATAATAAATATCACTTACTTCTACCATACGGCCAATATTAACAATATGTGAAGTAGTTATTGGAACACCTGAGTCTCCCAAAGGAAGTTCACGCTCACTGAATCTTGAAAGACTACCACCAAGATTGAAATAACCTGCAGATTCTCGTTGGGTTTGAAGCCATAGCATAACTGTACTTGTAAGCTTATATAAGGATATTTTAGCAGAAGGCCTTTCCTAAAATAAACACATACCTGGAGCTTAGGACAAGAATATATCACTTTAAAAAAATGAAAGTATAGCCAAAAAACATAATTAAAAAGCCATATTTGCAGAAAATTCTGAGATTACAATTATTTTTTTACTGCTTGGTAAAAATATTTTCTGTTCGACAGTAATACGACCAGTGACCGAGATTCTCATAAAACCAGATCGGATGGTCGATTGATAAAATATACATACACAGGCTGGATCATGTTATGACCACTTCATAACCAATAATGGAGAACCAGAGTATACTCTAGACAATACTTTGTTTTTAAAATTACAACCACTTAAACATAATGAGTCCAGAGTAGAAATCAATAATGCAGAGGAAATCAAAAGTTGAGTAGTCGGCGAGCTGTGTCTATCAGTTCACGTTCAGTAGTCAGTCACATTTATTTTCACTAGCGACACATCACTATATTTTTAGTAACTGGTTCCACCAGCCCGTTCCTATTTAATAACTACGATATAGTAAATAAACCAGCAAATAATAATTGATTATGATATTTACGACGCACTAAATAGATGTTATATAAACCATATACAAATATACAGTCTATATACTCCTATATATATACACAGGGAACGAAACACAAGAATTTATTATTGAATTTATTCTTCTTGAGAAATACAGCCATTTTGCGAAACGGGTAGTAAAAGATACGTTTTTATAAGTATATGGAGTAGCGAATATGATATGTGTAGCGGAAATTAAGTGGGTGAAGGATTCGGATCTCACCCGAAAAATCGTAGGTTCAAATCCCACTGCACCTATTTTGATTTCAGTAATGTGAATAAACCTTACACTAGCAATGTGGCTCAAAGCTGAGTACATAACCCTGTGCTTGGTACATAAGTTACATTATTAGATCAGATATAATGAGGCACTTAAGTATTGGATATTTTTAAATTTTGCTTCTTTGTTAAAGTAAATAATGAGTCGAAATTATTATTACTCGGTACATAAATCATAACATGGTTATAGGATGTAAATTGTATACTAAGTACTGGTTTATATGGTAGTCTTGTTGGATATTTAGGTGGTACTAGTTGACTCCTTAAACTGAAGTAGATGATCTATTTTGTTTGAAGGTTATATGACTTAATCACTAATCCACTGGTCCATAATTATGTGAACGTATACCGTAAGAACTAAAGATTAAACTGAGTTAGAAGTATAAGAAAGTTTTAATAGATAAATAGTTACACACCACTAACTTACAACAACATCAATAACATGTATTGAATCCCAACAACCACTAGCCAACTTAGCATTACCAGCTTTCTTTATCAGAATAACCCCAGCGAATCCATGATCCATATCCCATAGGTAAACTGAAGATATCCCTCCCTCATAATACCTAATTTTATAAAATATAAAACATGGTTAAACAACTACTACTAACGAGTAGAAGGGGAATTTCAATAAACTATTAACTAATGAAAACTTGACAGAATAAACATTCCCATGAAAGCACGTAACAAAAGCTTACACTTTCATGTCAATTTAAGTTGGAAAATTATGAAGATTCGGATATCCTATGCGGTCGAAAACTGTTTTTTATTCCCAAACTACTCAACAAAAAGTGCTGACAACTAATAATACATCGATGAAAAAATCTAACACTATCTATAACTAATATTCCGAAATCCTAGTTCGCGTTGTGTTGTTCAGTGTCCGACTTTGATGCTGTAACGCAATATATATCTTCAGTCTAATATATGCCCCCAAATGCCCTGGTACGGTCGAGAGTGGTGAGAGTTCGCTCTCCCTCTCGAAATGCTTCCACATGGCCACGCGTATATAGCCTCTGTCATGGAAGTCCTACTCACTGCCTTCTCGTGGCAGGGGTATTGTTTACGAAATTGAGAAGACGAAAAGCGAATGTCCGGCGCTTTAACCGGGTTGGTGGACATGGAAAATACACCTAGGGGAGTTGGAAAACCCTGATTCTAAACCAATGGTGCACATGGGCTGACTCCAGTATCCTGAGGGAACAAATGGCGTATGAAACAATCGTTGGTCACTGGCTACCATGGGACTGCATCTCCTTAAGATGCTTCACTGCCTTGTGGATCAGACCTTTAGGTCAAAGGCTCGGGGTGTGGTCCCCTAAGAAAACCACCTGCTTCAGTCTGGGCACCTGAGCAGTATCACAGCCCTCACACAAATCGAATGAGATTTGTGAGGCGCATATTTATCTGGTGCTTCCTTGTACAAATATTTATGTGTTAAATTAAATTACAATTATTCTATAGCTTTTTGGATGTCATTCCACGCTGCCTCAGGGTGGGCACAACTTACATGGCTGCCTAACTGTTTTTCTAATTATTCCTGAAATATATTCTTAGCTTGCCTATCATTAAGTAGGACTCTAAGAGGCTTCCTTGCAGCGTCTTTAACTAAAGGTCTAATCCATAAGGCAGTGGAACAACGTCAGAAGATGCAGTCCCATGGTAGCGGTGACCAACGATTGATTCATGCGCCATTTGTTCCCTCAGGATACTGAAGCCTATCTATGTGCACCAATGGTTTGGAACGGGAGTTTTCCAAAGTTCTAGGTGGACCATCCGTGTTCACCAAACGGGTTAAAGCGCCGGGCGTTGGCTTTTTGTCCTCTCAATTTCGTAAACAACACCCCATTCTCGAGAAGGCAGTAGTCGTATGCACGTGGCCATGTGAGAGCATTTTGAGGAGAGCTGCCTCTCCCCACCCGGATGCAATCAAGGATAAATTTTACCACCAGTTAACTGTTCTTTATCAGAAAGTGCATCCGACAGATATTGTAGTACTAACCGGAGATTCAAACGCTCACGTCGGGCGTCTAGGTACAGAAGACAATCGTCTAGGTGGCCGATGGGGACTTGTTGGTTGCAGGTTAGATAACGGAGACCGTCTACTGCATCTGTGTTCAGACCACAACCCGTTTCTAGCTAGCACTAATTTCCGGCACAGTCATCGCCGGTGTGCCACCTGGCGTCCTCCCTCTGCATCTCAAGCCTGGACTCAGATTGATCACATCGTGATCAGCTACAGCTGGCGTGGTTGTGCACAAGATTACCGCTCCTTTTGGAGTACCTATCTGGACTCTGATCATGTCCTTGTTTGCGCTAATCTTACCTTACTTTTCAGTGGCCAACAAATCCATCTTTCTAAACGAATTGATGTCAGTAAGTTGGTTGCAGCTTCTGTTGAAACTAAGTATCAAACCGAGCTAGCTTCTTGGCTAGCTACCATCCCACCGAAAAGTATAGATGAGTATTAGTTGGAATTGCATGACGCCATGAAAATGGCGAGCAAGGTCGCTTGCAGCTTCGAGAAAAACAGTCCCGCTTATAAGCACTGGGTTTCCTCTGGCTCCTTACAAATCATTAAAACCCGTCGGTCTACTCCGGGTGACCGTAAGTTCGACCATAAACGACGACTGTTACGTAACGAAATTGGGCGAAGCTTGCGTAAGGACCGGGAAGCCTGGTGGTTGGAGCGTGCCAATGAGATGGAAGCAGCAGCTGCATCTGGTAACTGCCGGAAGCTCTTCCAACTCATCAGAGCCACTGGCAACAAGAAGTTTGGTGTGATTGAAACAATCTGTGAAGATGACGGGATGCTAATCACTAACATCTATCGACGTCTTGGACGATGGGCAGAGTTTTTCGAAGAGCAGTTCAACTGGTCTGCTGCCCCGACAACATCGATCAGACTGTTCTACCCTCAATGACGTACTTCATATATACCCAACGGCTTTTACATGGAGCTTTAATTCCTGACGCCGCAACTCGGTGGAAAAACGGAAAGAGGGTTGGTTTATGACGTGATACTGTGGTATGAAATACACCTATATAATACTATCATATGTTGGGAAATCATAACTTTACGTTTGGGGTCCTAGATACGATGCAACTTAGTAGCTTGAAACTTTGTCAAACATGAGCGAGGACAGAAGCCAGTGACAATTCCGTTCTAGTTTTCTGTCACAAAAAGTGAAATGAACTTCCTTAAGTGAGAAAAATCCTTTTTAACTATATTTTCAACTAAACTATATCCTTTATCAAATAATATTTCTGCTTATTTAAGCATAGATTGTATGACAATTTCCTCATATGCCTTTACAATATGATTAATTTGTTTAAATAGTGCAATTTGGGCACTCTGGTCACGTCTTACTGGCAAATAATGTCAGTCATCTACAACGTAGGACCAGGTACACAAAAAACAATTGATTCGTAGAAAGAAAAGTATAAAATAATTTTTATCTCACGGTTTAGGGGAAGACAAAGAATGTATACACCTACGCAATTGTGATTGATTCTGAACGTTGTCACTCAGAGTTTCCAATCATTGGTTACGATAGTCACGCCGATCCCAACCTAGTAGTCTGCATCTACTAACATGGCTTAGACCAGAAATTAGTGACCTCAACGACTGATGCCATGTTTTGGTTTGGCCACCCCTAACTTCCTCCCACTCGTCTCCAACACTAGTCAGCATTGAGCGACGTGGTAATTGTTGTGACTTTTAGCCTGGCTAATTATCAAGTCGCCAATCGGAATACGACTTATACAACCTTAATACTGTGCCAAACCAATGACATCTGCCGGTATGAGCAGCCTAGTGTCCTCACTGGTTCTTTTTACTTCTAGATCTGCCAGTTGAGTCCAGAACACCAATGCCAGCTTCCACTATGCGAATCATGTATTTCAAGCATGCCTGGTTTATATACAAGCCAAACAGACATTATACTACAAAATAGGAAATAACATTTGTACATGATCAAGCCAAAAAGTGGCTGTGATTGTGAGAGATTGTAATTAATAAACTGAGTATAATTTAAGAATGGTAAATTGTATCATAATAGTCTACAGATCAAAATAAAGCTTATAGTAAGAGGAATATAGATATACATAATCTAGTTACTGAATAGTTATACAATAAGAATATATATATAATATTAGTTCATTAATAGTTCTCAGAAGTTACCCGTAACTTAATCTTCACTAGCATATAACAGTAATCGGTGGTTGAGCTTGTGTAATACATAGCCCAACCATCTCAGTTGATGAAGATTCACAACCACATCAACTGATTTACCATCATTCCCTAATACTCTGCGTCTAACCTCACCATTAATTACAAGGTGATCTCAGAAGATCCGAGCAATATTTCCAAGACATTTGTCATCAAATACTAGTAACTTACGAATCACTTCTACTCTTAATGGCCACATTTCTCATCCGTAAAGTAAAACAGAATGAACTGCTGCACAGTATACTCGTTCCTTAATTAATAGACGGATATCTCGCCTTTATCATAAGTGACGTAAGTTGGCAAAAGCCAAACGAACTTTTTAAATCCGTTCTGAGATTTCGTCAGACACCAACCCATTAGGGTTGATCAGACTTCCAAGGCACGTGAAGTTGACGACGCTAAGTATCGAAAAATATCAATGGTATAAAATGATGGAGATATGCAAATAAAGTAGATACTTCTGATCAAGCCAAGCCGGATGGTATATATTGTGGAGCTTTCGTTGTCAACTACTCAAAATCATCAGCACTCACCTCTTTTCACGTGAAATAACCCCTGATGACATCCAGAAAGGAAAGGTAGGGGACTATTCATGATTCTCAATAAATTCGCCGTGACAAATCATGTGGTTTCAATTTTCATGATATTTTTGCAGTATTCAATAAATTCATGTTTGTTCTATCACACCTCGGTAGCTAATTATTCATCCTAGAGCTACAGATTTCACGCAACGATTAGCAATGCTATCTATATGCTTAAAGCAAAACAGAGTAGAGTTCGAACAGCATTTTAGCAATTCTCCTCATGCGTCTAACATAAGCGGTCGTACATGGTCTGTACGTTAGTGGATATGTCTAGTTCACCAATAATGAGACTACTCACATTTCTCTGTATTGATCAAAAGCTGTATTAATTTCTATTTCTCGTTTACGAAGACTTTCACTTGGCATAGCTCCATCTTCTAGTGGTGGGTCGTAGGTATTTGACCAAGGTGATCGATAAGAATCACCATCTCTATTATAATCGCATAATAAATAATCACGATCAGCATGGACATCTCTCGCGATCTTTAAAGGTTGATCCACTGAACTTAAAATATCTTCACAGTGTTCTGGTTTAAGCGAGATTACATCCACCAAAGTATGATTGATTTTTTGCGGCGGTAGACGTCGCATCAAATCCATGACAGAAGTGAGAGGATTGGCCTGGAATAAAATTATTGAGACGAGTAAAAACTGTTTGGAGGGAATGAGAATAATCAAATAAACAACAAGAACCAAGAAATGTTATGAATAGCTTTGGATATGAATAGATTGCAGACTCCATATGTGTCAAATCAACAAAAAGAAATTGATAAATACATGCTGTTAGTTAGAAACAAAAAGTTCACTGTCGACTGGTTTGGAAATACTTGTGAAGCAGCCAAAGCACACTAAACTATACCTTAGTGCTAAGAATGCTTTTGATTTAATAATAGAAGCTTGATTTGGTTTTGTCAAACAGCATCACCTTTTGCATGGGAGAGACATCTACCTGTTAACCGGGAAGTTAGTATATTATGCAGAAGTTCGTTTTATTTCAAATCACAGCAATAGAACATGGAAACTAGAAGTAGATAAACTTCGTAAATCATCAGTATTTGACAAAAGATTTCTTCGGGGCGTTAATTACATGTGTTAGGACTAAAGAATAAGCAATGTTGAAGTTAAACAAAGGACTCAGCACGATTGTGTAGTTCCACGTTGTTACACTTTACATTCCAATAATTAAAGAAAACCTACAGGATTAGTAACAAGAAGGCTGAAGTAACACTCATGACAGTGACAACACAACACAGAGAGTATAAGTCAAAGGAAACGAAAGAAATGTATTAACTCTATAGTCTAAACGGTCCTTCTATGGTTAACGAAAATTGATTTTTTTTTTTATTAGCTGTAGACAAGGATAACCAACCATTGAGACCGGTACATGGACTGTTTACCTCGTACTCTAATGAGTATCCAGATTAGTATAGTTAACGATGCCTCATTCTCGAAAACATCCAAAATCACAATAAACGATTGAAATGAATAGCCTTGATTTTATTTTGTAACATATATATTGATTTTGCGGAGGACCGCAAAGTTTGTCCCTAATCTCCTATTTGAGATACAGAACCGTACTTTCTGTCGATGAATAAAATCTTGAGAAGTTAAATGGAGTTTTATGTAAACCACAGTTTATGACAAAACTAAATAAAAATGGATAGAAGGAACCCTTAACGAATACCACTTAACAATGCCAGTTTAATTTACACTTTTTCATAAGTTCTGACTAAACTTTTCAAGTGAAGAGCCTTCAGGTCTACATACTTTCTGGGTAAAGCTTTCAATAACACGTTGGCACAGTCCATCAAACGCACACCCATGAACAAGAAACACGACCAAAGTTAAACGTAATCGAAGATAACATTTAACACTAAGTAAATGATACCAACAAAAAAAAGCAGTCGAATAACCAAATACATAATCCAGTTTAAGCAAAATCACTTTACTGACCAGTAGGAAAGTAGTGCAGCTAAATATGGTCGTTTACTGCAAAATTCAAACACAACCATCATCAACCAGTTGCTTGGAGTCATTTCTTAGATCCTAACATCATCATTCATGACAAATTAAAGTTATATGACTACTTGGTATTGCTTATTTCTTCGGTGGGACTATAATTTACGAACGACCCTTGATCCATGCTAGACTGACCTTGAAAGTGTTCACTTAGTAACTAGGACCATATGAGGGTTATAAACCAAATTTAGAGCTTAACTTCTACCAGGTCTGACGTTTGACGAAATTTCAGCACGGATACAGAAGGCTCGTTTAGCTTTCGCCAACTTGCGTCATTTATGGCGTAGGCGAGATATCCCTCTAGCAACTAAAGGACGAGTTTACTGCGCAACATTTCGTTCCCTCCTACTTTATGGCAGTGAAACATGGTCGGTAAGAGTAGAGGATATTCGTAAGCCACTAGTATTTGATCATAGGGGTCTTCGAAGCATTGCTCGTATATCCTGGGACCACCCTGATTCCAAACCAGTGGTGCACATGGGCTGACTCCAGTATCCTGAGGGAACAAATGGCGTATGAAACAATCGTTGGTCACTGGCTACCATGGGACTGCATCTCCTTAAGATGCTTCACTGCCTTGTGGATCAGACCTTTAGGTCAAAGGCTCGGGGTGTGGTCCCCTAAGAAAACCACCTGCTTCAGTCTGGGCACCTGAGCAGTATCACAGCCCTCACACAAATCGAATGAGATTTGTGAGGCGCATATTTATCTGGTGCTTCCTTGTACCAATATTTATGTGTTTAAATAAATAAATAAAAAACTAGGACCACCGAGTAAGCAACGTAGTTGTTAGGAAATGGGTACTAGGTAAGGATGGCAAATCGACTGATGAAGTGGTGAAACTTCATCAGTTGAGATGGCTGGAACATGTGTTACGTATGCCCAACCACCGACTGCCCCGACGTGCAATTTATTTCTCTACATTATACTCCTTGAATAACATCTTCAAAACCTAATCTTCCGGATAACTGCTTATACTCATACTACCTCTACCACTATGGGATTTGAATCGACAACTGCATCTCTGTGCTAATGTGGTATGGCAACTCGAACTGATGTATGTACGTACGAGGTTCTACGTTGTGACTGACTTTCATCATGAACTGACATCAGCTAAAACGTCAAGATCCCATTCAGCTAAACAGAAAAAGAATTTCGCGCCAAAATCCAAGACCTACTGTCTCATACCTGATTGGTTGGTCCGCAAATTATAGTCTCACCATTTCTTCTCGCTATTAGTCTACAGAAGCCATAAAGTGTTGATCAATCTTTTTCCTCCCCATATCAATCAAAATGCATAAGAATCACACTCATGAGTACCAGACAGAGTTTTGTTTTTGTCCCAGATAAATCAACCAGATGCCTACCCATCCCCAGACCCTTGAAAACCGCCATACATACTCAAGAATAAAGCTTTAGACGGTCTATAAGTTAAAAGAGACTGATCGATTTTTTCTATGGGCTTAGCTAACTACTGTTTCCTACTGCATAAAAACGGTAAGACTACAATTTATGTATAACCTTTGAGCGACGCTAAAGATGTCTTGGGAATATTCACCTGCTGACTAGGGCTAAATGAGGGTTTTAAACTTGTGTGAAGGATAGGGGTTGTAATTTACAGTTGGTGGTTAGGGATAAGGATAAATGTAGGGTTTCTATCACAAACTGACACCAATCAAAATGCCGAGACGCTATTTAGCCAAATAGATAAAGGATTTCACGCCGAAATCTAAGATCTGTTATCGCAAATATGATTAGTTTGTCCGTAATATATAGTCTCGCCAAGATTACGGTTAACCCAATGCATAACTTGAGTCTCAATCCCACTAAACCCACTTTCGTTCCCTCAACTCCATTACATCGGGAGTTATTTCTTACGAACAACAGTCGATTCGCGATCTCTTGGCTCTGTTGCCATTTTAAACTCAGAAGAATTACTGTAATATTGTCTAGCAACTAGAACTATGTGGGTTTAGACATGATAACCGCGAAACCAGCTCACCATATCCATCGCTGTTGCGCAAACTTCGGAATAAGCGCCTCCACTTCCCATTCCCAAGGCGGGAGTGGAACAAGTGGTCTTCAACGATAAATGGAGGTTTTGGTGCATAGTAGCGGTAGATTTTTGATTCACTCAAGTGATTACTTCAGTAGATTTAAAGAGGACAATGGCATTTTTCATCGCTCAGTAAATGTTGTTGTTTTCACCTGTTACACTTCCATTGAATTAATTCAGTCAAAGTATCAGCTGGGAGTGTCATCTGTGTTTCTAGAGTACTTTATCGTCAATAATTTTGAGTGCTTTGTATCTGTCGTATATGTTAGCACTTTGAGTTGTAACAGTTTTCTGCCTTTTATTTTTATCAGCGGTCTGTTTGAAAATCTGGGATACCTGTGTTTGCCATTTAAATATTTCAACAAGCAATCTTTTTTATTTTGTTTTAACACCTCATTATGTACATTAACCACATAACCAATACAGCCGCGTTTATGAAAAGCTTTCGCTGCACAAGTTACAAAAATGTGCAATAATAGACATCGTGGTGATTGACAATATGCATTGAAAAGAATGAACATTAGTCTTATGTCGATTCACTAGCTGCCAAATTCCAACTATCGTTCACTAATTAACAAGGTGGGCTATCTTTAATTCCTACCAAGTCAAAACATGTATCATAATTGTGTTGTCATCACAATTCAAGAATCTTGGTTGACTGATTTACTGGACGATTGCTTAGTATCACTACATGACCTCAATATTTATCGTCAGGATCGACCAGGCGACAAAAAGAGGAGTGGCAGTGGTGTAGCCATGTTCGTAGAAGAGAACTGGTGTTGATCTACTTTCGGATGTTTCAAGTTTTTAAATGATTTTATCGATTGTCTAACTTTAAGATGCCGTCCCAAACACCTGAATAAGTACAAATATGTTTATCTTAACACCATCTACGGGACTCCAGACTGTACATCATCTGCGCAAGCTGTTTTCGCTGATGAGTTCACTGAATTCGCTGTTACTGCCTTCAGTGGTTCACTCTTAATTGTATGTGATTTCAATTCAGGTGATTTTAGCTTCCCTGCACCACTAAGTCACCGTAATATAGTAGATTTTCCCACTCGTTTGGATGCTCGTCTAGACTTCGCTCAATCAGTATCAGTTTGCTTACAAATGCAAGAGAAGCACCTTAGATGTTGCTATTGTTCTGCATCATAATATAGTGTTCAGGGTAAGAAGTATTTTCCATGCTCTTTTCTAGACGATACTTCTGTTTTTGGTTATATTCCAAGACAACATTTACTTAACAAGCTTATAACGTCAACACTGACAGCTGGCTAAGTTATTACCTCTCTTGAAGAAAACAGTATACTGTTTTTGGAAGAGAGTTTTCAACGTCTCTACTGTCTCATGAAGGTGTACCACAAAGAGCTGTTCTTTTCTCTTTTTTTCGCATGATCTGCCATCCTCCACAGAAAGCACTTTTGTGAAATGTGCGGATGATCTCACTGTATGTATGCCGATTTCTACCTCTTTACATCCAATAAGAATGAGTTTTTGTCTCTTATTGACTGTTGATCTGTTGTTAATGGTTTCATACTCAATCCGTCTAAATGTCAAACTGTTAAATTTCGCCTGAGACATGAACAGCACCTAAACACCACCCGGAGATCCCATAATGCATGCGCCATTGGGGACTCATTGATAAATATAGTGTCGTCTTGGTGTTACCTTTTCCTCTGGTCTCTCTTGGTCCTCTCATGTTTTAATGTTATAGAAAAAGGTTTACCGTCTGAATTACTACATAAATAGGGTTCATGCTTCTGGGATTACTCGACATTTACTCTTACAATTTGTCACTTCTTGCATATTACCTATTATTCTTTACTGTTCTTCATTGTTCTTTCCCAGGTTTTTGAGAAGAAACTTTGATGTATTGTAGAGAGTGCTGAGGGTAGTTATCAAGGTGTGTGGTGAACCTTTTGAGGTCATCATTAATATAGTTATGGATAGACATCTAAAGTCTTGCAAACTCCTCGCAAGTGTTATATTATCAGATACTAATCATCCCCTTCATTCGTATCTTACTCCTTATATATCTTCTGGTAGAAGAAAACGTAAATACATTGAAATCCATGCACGCAAGCAACGACATAAAAATTTCTTTAATACCCTACCTAACAAATATACTCTGTAGAGAACAGGTTGTTATAGTTGATCTGATCAATAACCCGTATTCCTAACACGCCTCAAATTGAAAAGTCGAACAGATTCAAATATTTTTCACTTTTTTCTTTTCTTTTTTGCTTGATCTGTTTTTTTGTTTTTGTAAAAGAAACTTGTTGAAATACCTCGTGCTGAGAGTTCTATGTTTGCCAAAATATAATATTGAATAAAGCCATTAATAATAATTCATTTCCTTTGTCTCTAAATGTTATTGTATCTCGGTTTTTAGACCTCTGTTTGATGGCTGGACAGTGCAAGAAAAGCAATTCCCAACGCCCAGATTGTTGATACTCTGTTGAAGACGGCATGCAGTGCGACAAGTACAAGGAATGATGCCATGACGTTTGCACGAGTCTAACACCTGCGGCTTTCAAATGGCTTAGAAAAAATGGTTGCGTGTGTTTTCGCTAGCAATACTGCTTGGATGCGGACAGCTTGCTAATCGAGGCCATTTCAATGGTAAATGCTTCTTAAAAAATTTGTTGACAAATGGGACCGGGACACATCGGGCAGTAATCGCTCTGTCGAAACACAAATTGATGTGAAGCCACCTCAAATATGCTCGGTGACGGCTGACTCACGTTGATCAAAGGAGGAAAGACCGACTTCCAAGAAGTCTGTCGTAAATATAAACTCAAGGAGGGAAGTTTCCTCTGTCTTCTCTAAATGGTAGTCGGCCATAAGCGCCGCAGAATCCCAATAGCAAGGCTAGATCCGTTTTCAACAGGAAACACAATCAGGCTACAAAGGTCATCGACAGACTTTCGGAATCCCACAGTGTGCTTAACGCGACTGTGGTTGCTGCTCCAACAGATGGGTACATGTTGGGAACAACCAAAAAGTCAATTCCCCTCAGAAGTAGCCTAGAAATTAAAGACTGATCCTTCATAGAATCAATGATAGTGAAAGCTCAGAACCTAAAACTCGTTTAGAGAATGACATTGAGTTCATGAAACAGCGACAGAATAAGCTCATGTCTAAGGATATCTCCGTAGGTGTGTAGAAGGGGTAGCTAAGCTG